CTGCAGACCAGCCATTTTGGATTTGTCTCGATGACACTTCTCCTCGCTTTTAAATCTTTACTTCATTCATTTGTTTGCCATTACGCTTGGTCGTACCTTTTTTATTTTATGTGATTTTTTTTCCTTATATATTTAGCTTCTCATTTCTTCTTTGAGGTCTTCATTTTTTTGTGAAATTTCTTTACATTTTTTTTTGAACTTTATGCTTTTTTGAAGCAAACGCTTTATCCTCCTTAATTTTGCTCTTTTTTTAACGGCTATTTTTCTTTCTCTAACAATCTTCTGAAGTAGATCACCTGTTTTTTTATATTTTTCTTTGCTTTTTTATCCAGTTTTTTGTGCATGTGTCTCATTTTTCTATTACCTAAAATAGAACTACCTTTATTTCACAAATGCGCTAGTGTACTTTTGCCTGTCTTTGAAAAAAATTGGCATTATTTTTTTTTATTGCACGTGTTTGTTCTCTCCCTCCAAACTAGCCGTCCCAGCGTCGTCTTGTTAGCGTTCAATTGCACTCTTATGGCCACACGCAATCACTCCATAAACAACGCATTCAAAACACATACACTAAGAGGGAGAAACTCTTGTGTAGCACGCAACCACAGTCTTCACTTATCCACAATAACAAAACAGCCGTTACCACCAGCACCATCACCACCACAGCGGGTTGTGAACATTTTTATAGTAAGATTGCGTGCATGTACTCGTTCAAACCTTCACAACTCCTCCCCAACTCGAATAATGGCTGCCAATGGGGAAAAGCATCGATTTCTGGGTCATCGTCTGAATGATGTGTAAAGCATGCCTGGTAAACTTCAGTAGGAAGCGAATGTCGGCAATGTATTTGCCACATAAAATCCTATTAATTCATAAATGTATGTGACGTCTTAAAGGGAAATTTCCATATTTATCGTTTAGTATATTTTACTAAGCATTGGGCCAAACTATGCTTATAATTTGCTATTCTCAATTATCTGTGCCGCTTAAATAATTGCAATTCGCCGTCCTTTATAAAAGGCATCATCCTCACCACTCTAAATTCCAGATTTTTTATCACAATTTAAAAGGTTCCTACCCTTATTATAGGTGTTATGCCACTTCATTCAGTAAACATGGTGAAACTCTTAAGTCAAACTTTAATTACACTTCTAACTACTTCCAGCCCCCAGTTCAAGATTTACTCCTACAACTTCCATCTATTTTTAGCAACTAGTAGCACTATTAGGAATATAAAGTATTACTTCATGGGGTCTATAAAAAGGACCTAGCCGTGGTTTAAATTATAGTAAAAACGCGTACTACGAAAAGACTGCAGTTGTAGATAGAGTCACACGTAAGTGATCCAATTTTTAGAACTCCTAGATCCAGTTTCTTCGTCAATATTAGTAAGAGGAACAGTATATACTGATTTTCAGTTCACTTTTGATGTGTTAAGGCAATAAGTGTAATTCAAGGTTTGTGTTTAATGCATATAAATGCACTAATAATACTACTACCAGGTTATAGTAGGACTCGTGAAATTTATTTGCATTGCTGCTTTGAATCGGCCATTAAATCAGGGAAGCATGAATTATTGCTGTCCAGTTTGGTCCTATCATTGTGTATTTTCATTCCAAAATATAGCATATTAATTTGCATATCACTGTGATAATTAGTGAATATGATCTTGTTAGCAAAATAAGAGTCTGTATACTAAATTTTAACCTGTCCATTTTTTGAGGTTAAAATTACCTAAAATTGCCAAATTACCGACTAGGAGCATCACGGTTTTATTAACCTTTACAATGTGCTTATTGTTGACCCAAAAGCTTGTAACGTAAGCCAAAAACAAACGGTTATCTATTAGTTCAATTATTTTACCCCCTCATGTAGCCTTTGAGGGTTACAGCTAATGGCAGTGACAATGGTATATTATTATGTAAGTATGCCTGCTGGAATCTCTAATGATATCACTTTCACCTATCGTGGACTTGACATACATTCAGAGACAAAAGGTGGGAAACGTCTTGGTGTAGATAGGCAACTCATCGAGTGAAAAAGGTGACTCAGTAACTAGATCTACTGGCTAGCAAATCCCCCTCAAATGATAATGTGTCTACTCATAATGGTAAAACTACCAGGATAAGGCGCAAGTCGAAATCCCTTTGGGTCGCAAGAGGGCATAGTGCTTGCATCGATCGACATGCACGCTGACCTAGGAGCCCCTGCAGCCCCCTTGGCCTCAGAATATAGGCTGCTCGGTGGTTGTCTGTCTCCATCAACAGACTGTTTACCTCTCCTTCGAAAGGCTATGAGGACAAAAGTGCAGATGAGGCCGAGGAGGATGGTGGTGGCCACGGCCAGACAGATAGTTGCGGCCCAAAATGCAATAGGCGATGAGAAAATGGCGATGCGATCAGCAGAGCGCGGCTCAGCGATCTCGAAGCTGGTAGGTTCATCACCCCCTTCATGGATCCAGTGTTGACGATCGTCTTCTGAGGAGATGATGGCTTCGAAGCGCGAGGACGATGCAGCCTCAGCGGTGGACACAGAAGAAGTGAATCCAGGCAATCCTCGGCCGACAAAATTTGATGCCACAAGATTGGCCTGAATATCGTTAAAAAGATTTTTAGTGACTGAGTATATTAGAAAGTTCCAATTCAATTTTCAGCTCTTTGGAGGTTCTGGTGTTTAGTAAGGGGAACAAAGCCATAAAAACATTTGAACGACTGATGCAAGTATTAAACTGAATAGGAAGTGAGAAATTTTTTGTAGCCTGGTTGCCAATGTGCGGGAATTTCCTTCACTAGGCTTAATGGCATTTTGTTTGCCGGTCATTCCGAGCTAATTTTGGAGTCTTCCTCAACTACAGGTAAGGTCGATCAATGGGATTTTAAGGCAGGAATTTTTAAATGTGACTCCTGCAAAAACTGATACCGCGAATGTCGGGGGAAATCAAAATTACGTGTACTGTTGCCCATATCTGTGGCCACTTATCCATTGTCACCAAACTGCACCATTTTGATGCCGACACAAACTCATTTTAGTTTAATTCGTCGTTTTGTAATATTTAAACATTTTGGCGATATGCGTAAAAAGTTTTGTCTCACAGAGACAAAGAAAGATGAAATTCTCTGCTACGTTTTACTCGCCCATTATATTTCATTGCGTTACTCTACCAAAATTTCCATCCATGGGGCTAACTGGTGAGGCATCCCACACTGTTATAGCGCCAGATTTGCACTCACATTCAGATTTAACTCTATTTTTATTTCTTTTAATCAATTATTAGTAGAAGATACTAATTGTTGCTGTATACCGCCGTTGTCAATTAACTTCAAGGTGTTGAGCACTTTACCATGATTTGCAGATAGGGTATGTAGGTAAAATCACTCATTTATCAATTATCTGCACAACTTGCAAATCAGAGCTTCAAGGATTACCCCATGTCTGTACTTATCTTTAAATTGATCAGTGCGAATAACATTGCGCTTCAAGGAGGTGATGCTAGTAATCTGAATGATCAGTCAAAAATGAACTCGAACGCTCCATTTTTTAATAATGTGACTTTTGGCTGACCCTCAACACAAGTTTTAAGAGTAGAATTTGTGCCCAAATACTCTAACATGATGCACCATAAATAATTACGTAGGCCCACAGTCATCTTTGTACTGTATGAGATATCCCTTAACCACATTATGGCATTTTCCTTCATGCTAAAATGACCCATGCCACTCGACCCTACAAATAAGAGACAAAATATTTGCTCAGTCTAGACACCTAAACATCTATAGTAAAAAAATGGAGAATGTATTTGTTGTGTTTGTTCAAAGTAGATCTAACGGAAAAAAAAGAAGTGGAATGCCTGCAATTCAGAAAAACTCCATTTTAAAGTATTTCTATTTTGAACTAAGAAATTCTCGTTTCCTGTGTTCATTCTCACCGATAAGGGCGTATTACCTAATAAATTCGAGATCATTAAGTTTAAATGGTCATCAGAGACCATTTAAGGTTTATTCGTCTGTTGCCACAAGAATTAAGCAACTACGGCTAAAATGAACTTATTTAGGTCCAATTCGATGAGACCCATTTTCTTCCTTCTTTCAGTCGTCTTCGCTGCCTGAAGGCCTTGCATTTATCAAAATACCAATCAGGTTCAATCATCGCACTTTAAAATTAAATTAAATTGAAAGGGAGTTCGATCATCACCACCCACCCATCCACTTAGTGGTGGGTTCGGCACTCGTGTACGCGACCACGAACACACACTAGCCCCCTTCCCTGGGGCGCAGAGCTGCAGGAGGAAAGGGAAGAGCGAAGACCTTGTCCTATCTCCTCTCTTTATTGGCTTGCCCCTATCACATCCTCTTCATTGCCTTCTCCTCCTACAGATTGCTCAGCTCCCCTTTTCAACCAAGCATTTATGCTCTTTTTTGCACAGCCAACTTCCTGTTTCCAGGGAATTGGCAAAATTAAGTAAAAAAGAACCCAGTTGAGCAAAAAAGGCCAAATAAACCTAATACTGGTCACGAAACAGGGATGAGATCTGAGGTATGTGATTATTAAATAACAAAATAAAATTGAGGTTGAAAAGTTAATTAAATAAATTTTTGTTTCAAATATACTAAACACCATTAATTTTCTTCCAATATTTGGACCCAGAGGTCAGATCTAAAATCGGAAGTTGATTATTTAAAAACTGGTTAAGCTTTCTGACGAAGAAAAACTGTCCGCAGCTCTCCCATTGTAATAAATCTGGAAATCAAAATTTGAACAGTTTAGCCGTACACATAATCAGATCACAATTCGCAATTAGCGAAAAAGTGAGTGAACTCTGTTTAACCTAAAGCTCATAACCATCAATGTGTCGGAGTTGCGTACAGAAAATTCTATTAACTTAAATTGCTTTGAAGCATGCTTCAAACTAACTACATTTCCTTCTCCACTAACTTGATTTGTTTCAATTCTCCAGACAGAAGGATAAGAGTTTTTCAGCTAATGAGGCAAAACATGAGATTCTTACATTCGATTATGAATCGAATGCATAAAACAAGAATAATAACCAATCACATTTGGAACCCAAACTGTTATGTATATTCTACTTCTCAAACTATCTCACGTGTCAGCACTTTTTTTCTTTAGTAAGTTAGTAAAGAACAGAAGAACATAGTTATTTAGAGTTCACGCATAGTTTAAGTAAGTACACTTACGGTTTTTTAGTTTCCTGATTGAGTATGATCGTCCCCAAATTGTTAAATAAACATTTCCCTTATCTTCCTGTAACTAAAAAGTCGGATTCATGGGTAAAACGCTTTAGCAATTCAGGAAAAAACAGCCAGTCTCTCAGCTCAATTTGCACAGCATATTTTAGGCGTCAAATAGAACTGATTCCAAATAATTGGCTACTAAAGTACGCTGCTTTAAATGGATAGAAGAACGTTAAAGCTAATTCACCAACCTTCCTTTAAACTACAGCGGGTTTGGTTAAACTCTCATTTAGAACCTATGAGTTTTTTGGAATTTCTGAATACCATGCATTTATTGATGACGCCAATGCACATATTTAATTGGTTATTTTAATAAATGAGGTTGAGAAATCATGTAAGCAGAAAAAGAACTTTTTTTCCAATGACCATGCAGTGTCCCTACTGGGCTTGTCTACAACTTCTGACGGTGTAGGATAATTCACGACTTACAATCTCTATGAGTTTACACTGACCAATATTATGCGGAGATCCTCTGTAGATGCGCCAACAATCATGGCACGGTCAAAGCCATTGAAGTTACTGTCAATAATTAGAAATGGTGCCATCAAAACTCAGCACCCCAGTGGACGCAGATACCGTGTACTGGCTGTACGCACATTTTCGGCATTAAGGGTCTCCTTGTTATCCAAAGTTTCATTTGCTGATTACTCCAGTCGGAATCTTGGTAGCATGTGTGCTCACACAAGTAAGAATCAGTACATAGCGGTAGCCCACAACAAATTGGCCCCACTACGAAGCAATTTAAAGTGATTGATGCATGCATGTGCACAGGCACAACCAACCTGTAATCTAGTGACACAAGTGAAATGGTACTCAGAATCAACAATAAAGAGTATGTGACAAACTTGGCTCTGGGTCAGGTAGAGAAGATCGCGTTGTTGTACAGATCCCATCACCCACCTATGCGTATCCATCTACAGCAGTTAATTTGAATGCTTAGCTAGCTTGCCTCATAAGTATCCGCATCGACAATGGCATAAACCATCAAAGAACAATACATACTCTTGGTTCAAGTTCCAGCACTCACATTTTCAAAGGTAAGAAAAAAACTAAATCCAGTAAGAATTTATCTGGAACCTCATTGTAAAGACCCGTGGGATTAGCGATAAAAACACCTCAGCTTGTGGTTACTAGACGACATTAACTTCTTGTAACAAATCCATATTTGAAGTAACTTAAAAAGTTGGCGTATGAACCGCCTGCATACTTTGCATTTTGCTTTGCAATGCAGTTTTTACACTTAAAAATTAACTCTTTATTAAATTAATTTAAATATGTAAAAAATATTCCTTCCTCACTCATATTTCGCTACGAACTCAAGGGCACTTGCCTCTTCCATGTTTTCCTGATCAGAGGTGATGAAGCGGACTTGAACCGATGCAGTAGCTGACAGTCTGGGTTCACCCTTGTCCGTGGCACTGACAATGAGGTCGTACCTACCTAGGTCTCTCCTGCTGTGCTGCTCAATAGTCTCACAACGCGAGAGCAGCTCGTCCGCAGCAACGAGACTAATCTCACCCGAGCGTGGATCGACCTCAAACCAGGGAGCATCAGAGACCGGTGTCGTCCTGTTGTCTTCATGCTTTCTGTTGCTTGTCAAAAGCTGGGTATCATTGTCAAAGTACAGCGAATACTCCAGTTCGGAGTTTGGTCCTTTGTCCGAGTCGTTGGCAACAACCTGTAGAACGACTCGAGGAAGGTGTTGAATATCTCGACAAGTTAGAGAAACCTTGCCCTAAAAACAAATTTAATGTGGGTAGAAAAAGGGAAGTTGAATAAATTTAGCCAAAAAGGCGCAACAGTTTCATTAAACATCCTGATTTTGTCTCCTTCATCGATCATTTGTGGCCATAAACCGAAGCTGCCACGGCCCAAACGGATGCAAACCACGTCCTCCTTCACCTCAAGGTAAAGAAGATGAAGAGATTTTTCTTTCGAATAAATTTTTGACAAGGCTTGCAACCTCCCAAGTACAGTGTCATTCTGTGAGCTAATGCCACCAAAATTGCACGGAAAGGCTAGCAACTGCTTTTTAATCTGATATACACTAAATTAAGCTCATTTCTTCATAATTCCATTTGTGCATTTGAATGGAGCCTAGAACTACTCAGACTGGGAGAAGTTGAAGGATGGTACAAACCATGAGATACTTCCTCGTTAGCTAATTTTGACTGGATTTTTAATTGCTTTATATCGTGAGCGCAAAGCAGTGCATGTGGCACCTAAAACTGCATATGAAAGTTGGGCAAGCTTAGGCCAGGACAAAACAAAAATTCCGTCAGTTTTATAAAAAATAGGCTTAAGCCAAAGAACTTTTGCGAAAGTGCATCCAATATGAAGCCCAAGTTTTGGGTAGACTAAACGAAGTGTATTTTGCTCAAATGACACAGAGAAGCAAATATATCAAGTGATGTAGAACTTTGGTGTTTTGAATGATAATTCACCCCGAAGAAGGTGTTCAAAGCTATTTGAACCAGAAAACGAGTTTAAAACTTACAACAGCATCGCTTTTGGGGAAGATGAATTTCGGCACGTTGTCATTTTCATCCTGAACGTTGATTTGCACGATGGTCTGAGCAGTGAGCCGACTAACCATTTGATTCCACTGCTGCTGATGCGTAAAGCCACTTTTAATTACCTGTCGCTTTCCTCCGTCTATCACCTCAACAAGCAGTTCAAAGGACTCCAACTGCTCCCTGTCCAGTCCATGGGGCCCAACAGAAATTTCACCCGTCTCGTCATCCAGCTAAAAGCCAAGTTCTCCAAATAAGTGCTTGAAAAGTTGAAGTCGGTGGTTGCTAGTGATTAAATTTATCATAGGGGTCGAATTAGACTTTTAATTATACTATCTAATGCGTTTCCAATAGTTACGGCGAACGCTATCCTGAATTTAGGCGAGTATACCTTTTGGTAAACTGTAATTACGTCGGACATTTCGCGCGACTTAAATGTCTTGGAGTTTGTGAAGGGGGGGTTAATGTTGTTTACCAAAAATAAGCCCTTTTATCACCTTGAAAAGATAAAGCCGAAACTTAAAACTCAACTACTTCGATCATTTGTTTGGAGTGAATTTGGAAGCATTATTGCAAATAATCTTGCCATGGAAAAAAGGGGACCAAAATGCCGTGAATTTGACGTCGAAGCGAATATTTGGAGCAATGTTTATGGGCAACGGCCAAAAGGATAAAATGAAGTAGCTTCAGTTTTGAAAACAATATCTAAAGATATAGTGCCCCTTTATAGTCATAGAAATCCATAAATCGTGTTGATTCTTGCTTCTAAGCTTTGTCCTCGATTGATTTCACACGTATATCAAAGACCATGACAGACCATTATGATCAATGACAAGGTTAAGTCCGAGTTCAACAACGGTAGCAAAAGAAATTAACTAATAAAGGAATCAAATATGTTACTTCGAAGCAACCGCCCCTTACGTGATGCGACAAAAATGCAAGCGAAAAGTACTCAACAGTCTGAGCGGTGGATGATACAAAATAATTAAGTCAGACCTGTGGGTCTCGCTAACCATCTATGGCTAATACAGTGTCGGCAAAAATTGCTCACAGGAATGTTGCGGATTATTTTGTGAAGCAAAACGGAACCATCTGTAATTTGATAAATTGCGTCTTCTGGTCTCCTGCAAGTTAAAGTGAGTAAAAATTGTCCGTTCTCTATAAAAAAACATTTTGTTATAAAATGCGTAATACATTCCCTCACGGTCTGTACGAAGATCCTACCATCTGCGTAACCAGAACTGTTGCCATCTACAAAGCAGGAGTAGAAGGCACTTGGAGGCAAGATTTTACCTATCCCATTTCACTTTAATAAAGTTGAGTCAATTTCCGGTCAGCAAGACCAAGCGCAACAGCACTAAATCGGCTGTTGTATGTGAAGTAGTAAACTGGGGAGACATGCAAAATTTTATCCATTCTAAAGTAAAGTTTCTTGAGAAAAATTAGGCATAAATGACGGTATCGCATTTTAATATTTACGTGTGGAGGCAAATGCCATCGAAATAAGGAGCAGTAGGTGACGGATTTGGTCTGATCAGTTTACCCTTGCTTAATGACAAATTTTTTATAACCGCTTGGATGCTGCTGCATAAATGCAAGGCAGATTCGGCAAAACAGAAATGAAAGAACAGGGATTGCTGGTATTCAGAGATGCAACTTATTCAATGAAGCAATTGCAATGGAGGATCTCAGTAGTTTCATCTCACCACCAATTCAGATCTAGTAAGTTTTGATAATTGCAGAAACCACATTTTTGCCTTTGTGTTAGATAATGAAAAAGCGCAGAGTTTTTAAGACTGTTGCCAGTATGAAGATTTTGTGGCGTACTGATTATTGCGCCTTCCCTTGCATTCGTGAAGTCTTTGATTAAGGTCTCTTTAGAGCCGCATGAGACAAACAGTGCGTCCGCTCATGCGCGCCTGGTCGGACAGAGCATGAGTAGCGTGAGAACACGCAGGGCAATCGCAGTGGGCTAGGGATGTGATAATAGGACTGTCCGCGACCGACACCGCCCCATCCCAGTTCTCTTCCAATTTCCCCTGTCAGTGAAGAACAACCGTGTTGAAGTTAGGTTTCAAAGTTGGCTTTTAGTAATGAAATTATCCTTGTTTCTTTTACATTCGACAAGCAGACAATAAAGATACCTAGAAAAAGGAATGATGAATGATAGCCTATAAAACCTTAAAGATACCACTTGCATTACATTTTTTCGAGCTTTCATCTAGTCTTAACAAATAGGAATTACTTCCCATTTCGGTAAAGTTATTTGCTCACACCTTCTTAGGATCACTTTCGTTATTCTGCTTGCATGGGATATCTAGTCATCGGTCTTAAATTGAAAGGTGGGCCTTAGAATAACAATGCTTTTCAATTATTTTAAGTTATGGAGACAGTAGAGCATTCAGCTCCTCACAATTAGTGGCAAGTCACTTTGTGACGTTTCTGGGCTTACATGCCAGCCAAAGGCAATTAAGTAACATTTTGTAGAAAATAGGTAGTGGTACAGCTTTGTTAGCTCTGTCAAAAAAAGAAGGCACTTGAAAAGGCATTGACAAACTTTCAAGCGTGCACTGATTTTGCGATCATTGGCGAAGCTCTTTGCTATAACTTTTCATATATGTTATTGCAAAACAATAAAAGAAACGAGGAAATTCAAAAACATCCACAAAAGTCGAATCCCTCAAACCGTATAGGCTGGAAAAAGGTCTGTAGAGAGAATCCTTGCGACCTGATCCCACTTAACTGGTGTGGGCTCTGGCAGGGGATGCAAAAACTACCGCTGGGATCTTAACAACTCATCCTTCTCCTATCCCTCCATCACAGCCTCAATAAACTATGATATGAGTAGGCATATTTGTTGGAAAATAACAACCAGATTCCTTTGCTATTTTACTTTAACAACTGACTGGTCGCTATGACTTAATCCCAAGCAAGGCAATCTTTTCATCAGACAAGTCAAAGATCACCAGTTACCTCAACAATCTTGTAGACTTTCAGTCTTACTCATTAGTCGTAAAGTGCTGTCGAAAAGTCTTACTTATTAGTAACGCGGAGAAATAATTCCCGTATATCCATGACGGGCTACAAAGGTCGTTCACATTCAGGCGCACATACGTTCACTTAACCCTCTACTTACTCTTTAAAATAAGCAGACAATACCCAGCGACTACAAAGAAGTACCATTATCAATAACATATTCCACCTCTCTTGTGTCCGCAAAAAGGCAAGTTGAGTGAGCATTTAAAGTCAAGCCAACTGAGGGGATATGAAATAATTTGATGTTACATGCCGGTCATGCCATACCAACCCCATTGACAAGCTACACACCTGAATAAACTGCTCCTCCTCTCACTGCTGTCACATCACTGCACACATGGATCATGAATATCCTACGTCATGGCCATTTATCATAACAGTTTGGGGTGATTGCGATGTCTTAGAGTGGTGAACGTAGACTATTCGGGAGCTTAAATGGATCGGAAGTGGGCAAAATACTACTGGTCTTCTAAAAATCCTTAGATTTAGAGATTTACTGCATCAGAAACGTGATAAAAATTAAGGAAAATCACGAAATTCTGGAAGAATAACAGCAAGAATTTCAACACCTAAATGCAGTCACCTATATAAAAATCTATTATAGTCCCTCAGCATCAGAGAAAATTTCTGCTAAAAATACATATTTTAGAATCAGTAATCAGTTATCTATCAATGCTTCCATCGCGCCAGGTAATCACTAGAATCATAGTCGTAGTTTTTACAATTTCTAGCGGAAACTTTGCAACCTAACCCACTTGATTTTACAAAACATCCCATTCAATGTTTACGCGATGTTTAATCAATTCTCCGTCTAGTAAGGCAAATATTTAACTTTCAAACAAAAAAAACCAGTCAAATAAATTTATAAGTCTTAGTTAAAACAAAAAAAGTTAATTAAAACACTCATGTTGCAGCTAAATCAGACTATTTCTCCTTCCTGTCTTTTCTGCTAGAGGCTTTAGAGGGGCTTATAGCAGCAACTTTCTAGTCCATCCCCACCCTTTGCTGCGCCCCTCCCCCTTCTCCGCTCTCACATCGCACTACCCCGGGCAAAAGATCTCATCTTGATAACAGCTGACCAGTTTTGGTAGTAATGGTGGGGTGTGATGGAAGAGTGAGGGGAAATCGTCCCTTCATGTACGCGATACACACATGAGATCCCAAGCACTTAGCAAACTCGCTCGCTAGCGAGGATGCGCGCCACCACACTAAGTAATTATCGTATATAACATTACACGGTAAGTTCGCAATCAGATAAGGGTCACAGCTCGTCAGAATGTGCGGACCTAGGTACGTAAGTGCTAATGAATGCGCAAGAGACAGCACACACAAATTCTCGTCCACTATTATGGGTTGGCGAGTGAGCAAGTGGGTAGGTGAAGCATTTAGCTAATGAGTTCCTGCTTTCATGATACTAACCCCATCATTAGGTCTGTTCGCTCCCTAACCAATTGTGTGTGGAAATGGAATTGGGATGGTCTTCCGTTTATAATTAGTAATCTCAAGCTACATGGGATGGAACCTATTTATACAAGCCGAACTATTTTGGATTGGATGGGATATGTTTGGCTGATAGTTTAGTGATTCCAATAGGCAGTCTTACAGTTATCAGTAAATTAAGTGTAAGTGTAATTACATTTTAAATAAAATGTTACTTATTTACCAGTAATCAAACTGGGATCGCTCAGATTACTTGCCAAATTAAGCGCCTAAATTGTAATATAAAACTTTTTTATAATAAAACTGCATTTATTCTTGTGAATTGCCTTAATTTCGTCTCAACGTTTTCATCATTGGGATTACTCCAAAAAGTCAAAGAAATCAGAAAAATAAAGCTTATTCTATAATGTGAATCAAATGGAACTGGTGGATACTTGACAAAAGCAGTGAAGGAACACAATAACTGGAGAGCTTAAATAAATAAAATGAGCACCAATTTTACAAAGTGATACAAGTTAGTTTAAAGTTTATACTGCTTACTAATGACAAGATTTGCCAACTGGAATTTTGTCTGTGTAGCTAAAAAGGTCAGAAACTAAAAAATACATTTGGCGAGAAAAGCTACCAAAAATAATATCAGATGAATGTTAGCACAATATCGGCGTTTACACCAGTACCATAAGGGTTCCGAACTTAATGCAATTTTTTTATGAGATTTGATGATGCATCATTAACTAAACCTCTTCATTTTATTTCACCCACCCGTATCACTATAAAATCGCAATAGGAGTTAGTGCATAACCTGAACAATTTCTAGGAATGCAGTAATTCCTTCTTTTAATTTACCTTGTTTCTAAAAAAAAATTCAAATGCAACGCCACGAAGTGATTTCACACAAGCCAGTGAAATCGTCGCTTCAAGTGTGTTGAGGAAACGTGCATGTGCAAAGCCCCGTAGGTGACGCAGAATCAAAGAGCTAACAATTTCCTTATGACGCGTTTCTCCGCCTTTGTAAGTGCTACTCGGTTTTCTTTTCCAATAGCGATAAACTTAATTTGGAGATCGTGATTAGTCTTTTTTTCGACTAAGGTGGTGTAATTTTTCCCATTGTGAAGCTAAAATTAATCGCGTTCCCGCGGTAGCAATCCAAGCAGTAAGATCATTTCGTTTAATTCATTCGCTAAAATTAAATTGACAGATGCAATTCATTTATTTAAATTTTACTCATTTTATTATTCAAAAACGTGGTCCCAACTGTATTTAAATGTTTTAAAATTAAGCTTTAGTTTTTTCTACTTCAAAACGAATACATTACGTACTAGAACGATGGGGTTGTCATTTGCATCATGTAATTGCTTGCTTTAGTCCGGGCGTTACCCACTGCAAACCTTGTCTTCACAGAGTCCTTCCAGTCTTTGTTAGGGCACGACTCGGTGCCCTGGCAATGGAGCATGCCAGCTTCCGTTTAGCATTTGAATGTTCTCTGCCCGCTAACTCTACAGCATCTCCCTTTTTAGGCATCGTTTTAGGTACAAAAACAAGCGTTATGTGCAGTTTATTAATCCGGCGAGGGGAAACTTCTTCCGCTAGCTTATTAGCATTGAAAGGAGCGACCACTTGTTTAAAGATCTTTAGAATTTCTGTGCTTATATTCACCCGCCATGCAGGAGGGTAGTGCAGGGCACAATCCGATGAAGGCTTGGTGAATATGTTGAATATGCCTATCGCTAGAGCACTAGAGCGCACAAATTAAGTATGCCGCTAGCATACGTAGTATCAAAGGAAAGTATGTTAAGCTGGAAAATTAGTTTGTAACTACAGGTGAGCAATATACTTTAACTTCTCCTAACTTTGAACTGGCTTATAATTATCGCAGTGATTTTACCACACCAGTCCACCAAGCATTTACCCCTTCTATAGTAATTCATTGGAACCAAAAAGAGGCCGAGAGATATTTAAAAATGTGCCCAAAGTAGACCAGAAAAGAAAATAAGTGAACAAGATATGTAGCATAATGAATTTACAAATAATCGCTCAAAAGCTCCTTGGAATCCATGTGAATCATGGTAACAATTTCTCCCATTTCCAATTAAAAATTATCTCATATATTTTCATCTTTTGATTCGTATGTTTCAGAAATTGACCACTGAATAATCAGAAGTACATATGCATCAGTCCCACCGTATAATCAAAATATTAAACAAGAAATAATGGTGGGAATCACGACACATGCAAGAACACAGGGATTGAAGTTTGGTATGAGAGTGAATACGTTTTAGGTAACGCGAAACCCTCTGCTACCGAACGATCGCAGTGTGGAGTTGAGGATTTAAATTCGAATTTTAACAGCGCATATTTCAGCAGATTTGTAAGGAATGAGTTATGGAGTCGATTTATTTGGAGTGATATAAAACTTCCAGTTTATCGACAGGTAAGGTACAGAAATCGGTTTACTGGACAGTTCCTTTGTCCCACTCAAACTGATGCGTCAGAAACGAGATGATAAAATCAGTCTCTAACCCGATCTTACAGTCATTTCATTTACAATGGCCCATTTGAGAAATTATATCGAAAATCATACCACTTCTTTAGATCTGCTTTTCCTGTAACTAAATCTTCAAAAGGCTTGCCAGGCTCAGAGGCCCCAATGTCTAGCAATACCACGTCACAGCTAATTTGATCCGTAACTTCTTGGTCACAACTAAGCAAAGAAATCTAAGAAATTTTACCCAAACCTTCTTCCTCTTCGACATTATATGACTTAGTGGATTTGTAAAATTCAAATTTTAGACTAATGTTTACATCATAAGTTTCTTTAAATTTTAAATTCGTAAAATTGTAAATTTGTGATAGTGAACGCATGTGATCGCCTGGGGATCATGGCCTGATAAAATTTTACAAAAAGACAATTGACTCAAGCTTACCTTGACATCCTCTTGACACGAGAGATGTCTACGTCATTCACCCACTTTTATTTCAAATAGCTTATTTCAAATTCATTGCCTCTAATGCTCTTATCAAGAATTCAGGTGTGACTGTGTGCAATAAAGGCGATGTTAGGGAATTCAATGCATCATTCGCTTTAGCAGAGTCCTCGGAGCAGATCAATTAGGCACGCATTTTTCAAGGGAAAAAGTGGTAAAACGAATGACAACTTTTTGGAGTTTGAAAGACAAGGTAAAGAAAACTGCTATATTGGGGATAGGAAGTTTGTAAGCACTTTACAGTTGCTTACTATGTGTGATTTGATGTATTTCACTGATACACAATTAATAAAAGTGGTCAATTTGAAGGAACTTACTTTAAAGAAACCTGCAAATTTATAAAAATCCTGGTTTGATGTTTAAATTAAATCACAAATTTAGTGGATACGATCATAGAATACGTAAGCTGAAGAAAAAGTTAGCTTACCACTACAGGAATTTTGCTTTTTTGAGAACCTGCGTTGGGGTACGACCAAACACCGGGTTTTTCATCCACCTCAGAAGAAGATATCCTATTAGGATCGTACGGTCGCATTCTCGCAATGGTGTAAGTAAGCGCCGCGTTATCCGTTCCCGTTTTATCCCTATCTGTAGCATTCAGACGTCCGATAAATGTGCCAGGTGGAGCCGACTCAGAGATGGCGAAGTAGAAGAAGGACCCGATCTCGGGAGCGTGGTCATTGACGTCAGTCACCTCAAGAGAGACAGCTACGGTGGTGGAGAGGCGAGTCTTTCCTCTCCTCCCATCTGTTGCAATAACCGAAAAGTTATGACGCTCAGCCATCTCCCTGTCGGGACCTCCAGGTCCAGAGGCTACTAGCCATCCGCTGTCGGCATCTACCTTCAACCAACTGGGCATGTCATTTCCTGCCGTCCACTCCACCATCGCGTTCTCTCCTTCGTCCGAGTCAACGGCCTTAATCTGACAGATCTTCATGCCTTGATTCACATTTTCCACCACCTTGCATGCTACTGTTGTTCCGTCTGAAAGAAACTCATTCTCTATGGGAGAAGCCGTAGGAGAGCAGTCATTTTCATCCAAAACGCGAACAAAAATATTCACGACGGAAGTCAGCCGTACCTCGTTGGGATCCGTTGCCCCTTCGCTATCAATGCAGATAAGGCGAAGATCGTGAGAGCTCTGCGCTTCACGATCCAAAGGACCCGCGGTTAAAATCTGATATCCCATGTTGCTTTGTTTTGTAGTCCATTCAGGGAAGGTGGTTTTAATCAAGCGAAAGTTTGGCGTTGAGCCATTTTTTAAGGAAACTTCAATCAGATCACATTCTACACGACCTCCACTGCCAGTATCTGGATCTTCCACACTCACTGTTGCGACAGGTTCTAGGGCTGGGAGATTTTCGCGTACACTCAGTGTCTTTTTACCACCTGGGCTGAACGAAGGCATTAGGGAAATGGGAAGCACAGTGATTTTCGGATGAGCGTCATTAATATCGTGAATGTACAGTACAACCTCGCCGACTGAGCTGCTGCGCTGCTGTGACTCATCTTTTGGAGAATCAACTGCTTTCACAAAAAACCGAATGCCTGCACCTTCGTTGCCGTTCGAACTTACCTGTTTTAGAGGGAGTTGACGAGAAATGGCCTCATAATCGATAGGATAACGCCGTAATCGAAGAACACCTGTGCGGGGATCGAGGTGTAGAAGATTGTTGAGAAGACTCTCCACTTCCAATGACTTATCAGTGTCCATCATCATGTGGTATTGGATACGCGCGTTCGGACCAATATCCCCATCTGTTGCTTCAAGTTTCAGAATGTGGTTGTTCCGCCCCATACTTCCAACAGTGCCCTCCTTCAAATCAACTCGGACTGGTTGGTTGAATTTGAACTCCTGTGGACTAATCCATTCTGGATGGTGATTATTAATATCCAAAACGTGTACGCGAAGATGACAAACTGTCCTGTGGGAGGAACTATAATCACTCGGTTCGTCGGAACTATCCCAGACTGCATATTTTATCAGGTATTCGCCCAATAATCTAGAACTTCTGGAATTCATGGATGGTTGCTTTTTGAAGGGGCGATTTAACCGTAGTTGAAGTGTGACCTTGGACCACGGACGTTGGGTCAGTGTGGCTTCTGAGAGATCGAGGGAAAACTGATCGCCAGCGTAGTCAATTGGTGAGGTTGACAATTGACGAAAGCCATAAATACCGTGTTTTGGGGTGTCTGCATCTATTACAGTCCAAGAGGCAAGCACTTCATTTAAATGAGCATCCTCAGATACCTCTATGGTTGGGATAGAGTGCTGATCGTCCTTGAGAGCGGTAGATGGGGGCTGGCAGATTGGACGATTGTCATTTGTGTCCACAAGAAGAAATCTCACAAAAACAGTGCGCAAAAGAGTTCTGGAATTGTGATCCACCATCTGCAGAGCGTTAAACTGCAGTCGAAGCAGACATTCGTCCTGTTCTACAGTTCCACAGATAGTCTCGCGATCAATTCGTTTAACTACTACCAAATCATGGTTCGGAGAAACACGAAAGTACTCGTGCTGTTCAGCAGGAATTAGCGTAAATATTCTTGATTCGGAAGCGAAGCGGTGCTGAGAAGCATTGTGACGAGTATCGTGCAAAGTTACTACTTTGTTAAGGTTTAGAATTATATGTCCACTGGGCAATTCTTCCAATAGCTTTTCTTCAATCACCACTGTGTCAGGTAGATTAAGAGCGTGGTCTTTGGATAGGGCGTAGGAAAAAGGAAGCAGGAATTTGGTAAAAAGGAGGATCCAAGGAAAGGTGTACATGGCTGCAGGATATTGCGTAGGCACAAAGTGCTGATTGAGCAGACGTTGTGAACAGGCTAGACGCAAGAGCATCATTACAGCCCGTAAGCGCGCACTGATTGGCCCCACTTGACTGACCAATTAGAGGGCGGGCGCCAAGTTGTGAGCAGCAATCGGCGTGCCTCCCTGTGAACCCGTCACACACACAGCAACAGAGGCAGGGGGCACATCAGTTCCCCTTTTTTTGCTGGGATGCCTCGCCAAAAAGTGTACTGGTATCGTTTTGTCATACACATAGAAAAGAAGAACGCTTTTTTAAAAATAACTCAACTGTAAACTTCATATCGGTTTCGGAAACCTGGGTAAAGAGGGACCTTGCGACATCGGACTATTCTTTAGCATATTTTTTATGTTCCTCAGCCATAAATTGATGAGATAATGATGTGTGCTAGCACATCAACTTATTTAATTACAAACAAATTTTCGAAAGCTAAAAAGTAAATAATTTGCCTTATAAAGTCGTGACGAAATTTTCCTCATTTGGAAAGGTTAGTTGCTAATTGTAAGAATAGGGGGGGGTGCTTTTTTAGCAAAATTTTTTTGCCTCAAACTACTTCAAAGTTTTTTTATTTGCTACTGCATATTTTGTAACAAACTAACACAAAGAACCTGGGTGGCTGCCTGCTTACAGACATTTTAAGAATATCAGTAAATGTCAGAATTTCTTGCATTTCAGTTTAATGATTCTTCACGAAATATGTCTATAATCACACAATCAGATTTTAACCTAGAGAACTGGAAGAGTTGAGTTAGTATTGCAACTTTTCTTAATCTAAAGCGCTTCTTTTTTTAGAAAATACGTTAATATGGTCGTATTCAGCACACATACAAACGTGATTTAGTTAATAGTTTTTTTGCAATTTTTGTTTTTTAGGCGGTTTTACCTAAAAACACTAATATACGAGAATATCTAGGCCAAACCTATCTTTTAGAATTCCATTCAAATTTCATGTAAATGAAATCTTAACATGACCATTCCTTCTCCCTTACCAAGCCCTAAAATTCATTATTAAATTGACACAAGAGTTTTACAGTTTTGCTGTTGTTGAACGTTGATAGTGCTGTGAAATGATTGGGTCAAATGGATTCGAATAAATGCAGCCCCTTTGAAAAACCTGATCATGGACTGCTTACAGGCGAGGTTATAGCGGGGATTAGCACACCGACACACGCATACCTACGTCAACAAAAAGAATCCAGCGCATTTTAAGTGTTTCTGGCGCCTATGTACAACTTAATCGGCGATTTTGTCCATTCCTGCATGGCCGTGGCGACGAATATAATTACAAAGAGCATTTGAGTGGACGTTGGATGGGAGCGTGGAGAGAGGGAGGAAAGTGGCTAAGGAGAGAAGGCTGGGGTTGGAGAGACCCCGCCATCAGCCGGATTGATGGTATCGTTCAGGCGTGTGTACTGTATAGTGTCTAACTGCTATGGGAAAATACGTTTTTAATGGGAAACAAGAGTATTGCATCCTACAAATGCGGATATCAGCGGTAAGCAATGACATTCTCACAACGCAAAATGTCTTCTCGCTCTTAGTTTAGCATAGTTACCAAAACCAGCATTGCCTAACAAGGACTGATGCTGCATTTATATTTTCGAGCCTCTCATTCTAGAAATACTGCTTTTTAAACGGAATCAGAGGAGGATTTTGCAGTAAATTTAGTGCTGTTTTACTAGTTCCGAACAGCGTCATGGGTGGTATGCGCCAAGACCTCTAATATTTTCTTGTGCAGAGAGAAAAGGAAGTAGTGAATACATGCCTTATCTTCAAGCTCCGTCACTTTTTGTGAAACCAAGGCAAGTGCATTAGATATGGTTCTGAAATCGCATTGCATTTGTTGAGACCTAGTGATGTCAACTACTGTAGCCTTCTATTTGAAGCACACAAGTTAAGTTCTCCTTTAAATCTATTGGCATGGACCCTAAATGAATTATTAAGGGATAAGAAAATTGGATAAGAATTGATGTTTATTAATCTGTAATTGAATGCATAACAATCTATCGTTATTAATTTTAGCTCATTAATGACATTGTCTCCCTATAACCTCATTAGCGTAATATTTTGTTGCAAAATGCGATATAGACTTGAGCTTCAGTTGCAAATAGATGCGCTTTCTGTATTAGTTATTAGTCGTACTATCAAAATATTAAATGAATAAGGTGTACAATCGGTGACCGTTGGTAGAGGACAAGAAGGTAAGTGCTTTTACAAGTTTTGTGATGACTTACTGCTGCAAGATCCACCTGGCCATCCAACTCGATTTATTGCAAAGAAAGCGTAAAATGACTTATTTCAGTCAATCTAATCCTACTTTACTTAAATAAAATCAGTCTTTCTTAAAAATGGAACTGTCTTGAAAAATATAACCCAATAGAGGGGATTTTAGGCTGTAAACACAGTACATCGTTGGATACTTCCTGGTGCTGTCATCCAGTCACCAATAGGTTGTTTTTTGTACTTGTGTAACCAGAGGAAAAGAACTTGGCTCGGTTCTTTTGCCTCTAACTATATGCAGAAGGTATGAATTAGTGCGTTTTTCCTTTAAAAATCGATACCACTAGATAAACTCCATTTCTGATGAACTAACAAACAGTCCCGCTAACATTTATTTACTTCCCATAAAATTCAAGCCCCATTCTACATTTTTATAAAAATCTTTTTTTCTGGTAGGGTACGGATAGAATCGGCAGTATCGGCTCCATCTCAAGGCTATCTTTCACTAATCTTACCTTTTTAGTAATACTAGCCCCAAACTTAGTAGAATGTAAGTAGCTTAACAATAGTGTATGCACCGTAGTTTTGCTCCTCATAAATTACTGGTATTCGCCATAGTACAACAACTGCTTTCAATGAACCATAATGCTAAACTAAGTCGTGTTGTCACCTCAAATAGAAAATGCTTGACTCCACTTTAGCAAATAATAGAGACATTTTTGTAATATCCAATTTGATGGGGTTTGTATTTTGCTCGTGAACAGTCGTTTATCTACCTTATCAGAAAAAAATTAAGTAAAGGGTTAAGCTAATTCGGTTGCACATCCCTTATTTAATAAATAAGTGACTCTGTCAGTATGATGAATTTTTCATCAAAAAAGAGTACCGTCGTGTGAGGAATTTCTCATTTTCTCATAAATTTCGGCCGAAATTGCTAAGTACCATTTGAACCGGTGGCACAATTTATGTTTAGACACTATCCTTTTAGGATCTTTGACTTCACTTACGTGCTTAAGATTGATTATTTCAGAAAAATTCCTTCCAACGGCTAGTTTTACTTATGGTATTGGCATCGAACGATAATAAGAATAGCTATAAGAAAGGAATGTATGCATGCTCCAAGGGTTGGGGCATGGGTTTCGATAGCGTTATGCACTAAAGTGGACAGCTGTACTTTCCCATTAAGTCTATATTGAGCTTTTGGGTAAAAAAATGAGGCTTTATAAATTTTCTCGAGGGCCAATTCATCAATTTTATGAATAAGCATTCATCGAACAGTGTGAATTACTTATGTGTGAATACTTTGTGAAGGCAAATTTGAAGAATGGCACATATTAGTAGCATGAATTACTTGTATAATTAATTAAGTAACCAACAATAATGACCAAATGAACAAAAATTGGCATCCGTTAGCGAGATTAAATGCGTACTTACACATACATCCCGGATATAGGCTCATCACCGGCCTTCCTCTTTGATGTCATGCGGCGGACCACACAGTCCCACTGCAATCAAGCACAATACTTTATCTTCATCTTACAATCTGCAGACTAAATGGGATGTGGCTAATTCCACCAAAGACTTTTACTGCCTATCTAATGCAGAAAATTTGGTTCCTACCCTCACACAGCATTTCTAGCTTCTTGCCTTTGTCCAGTACTTGGTCTTCGGTAGCATCAGTACAATTCTGTGCACTTTTAGATGGTCAACTTTAATGGTGCTAGTGACACATCGGCCACTTAAGGTTTTAGGGAAAATTGATTATTCTCTGAGGAAAATCTCGTTGGAAAAGTTTAAAATTCTCAAGTGCAAAAAGTTCATTCCTTGGGAAAGCTAACCCTTCACAGCGTTATAATAGATTAGCTACCACTTAGTTGTTAATACCATCTGTACTCCTCCTGCTTTACCAGCGCCTTGGATGGAAAATGGTTGCAATAGTAAAATGCATTGCAAAAAACCCAGAGCAAATTTTACTGCTTATTGTTGACGTACAGTTCTGATGTCCTCTTTCGTATGTAAAGAGACCAAAATAATTAGCTCATGTATAGGTACTTTAAGCTATGTTGGTTACCCTCGATTCGACATTTTAAGACTTGGAAATGAATTTACTCCTAAGTATTGCCTTCTTGCTAACGTTTCTATTAACTAAGAGTCTCAGAAATTTAGGCATTTAATGAATGGGGATGACAGTTAAGTAAAAACTGCCAATCGATCTGGTTAAAATGGTATTCAATTAAAAATGCACAAAATGTTGTGTTGTAATAATGCACTTAGAACTACTGCGATACGTGACAAGCGCGACTCCAAATGCTTTTCCGAATGCCGAGGCGGAACACATGCACATTTGTTGCTTTTCGGTGCGGACTACGGCAGTGTTTTCCTTTAACCAAAATTGTGCAGTTATGTTCTGATTTAACTTTTTGGTCCATTTATCAATTAAATACGCACATGAAACGCAAAAAGATCTTAAATTAGCTATTTTGTAATCTACTGCGTAAGTGGGTACCGTTTCGGTATCCTAGTATTTACATATCAAGTGAAAGAATGTTTTTTGGGGAAATTAATTAAAATAAAAAATAGTATCACTATAAAACAAAGCTAAAAATGTAATTCTTTTAATGGTATCAATTACTTCTACTGCCGATGTTAAAAATCAGGGAATTTTTGATAAATCTAGAAGGCACTGACAGATGCTGATAGATTTTAGACGGTTAATGGTCTTCAGACTGATTGAAAAATAAGTGCTGTTGCTACCAAAGTGTTTAGTCAGACCACCAAAAAGATTTCAACGTTCTTCATTTTTGGGGAAATTGCATTCAAATTCAGACTCTAGCCAGTGGAAATTATGGTTTTTGTTTGGCAAAAAGCTGGTAGATTTTGGAGAGGTAAAGTGAGAGGGTGGGGTAATGGGAGGTCCTACTCCTTCCCCCTTTTCTTTGTCTTCATCTCTCTGCACGAAGAGGGATACCATCACGCAAGTCCCTACCTCTATCAAGCGCGTCCATCGACAAGCTTGAGTGGGTTTTGTCACCGCATTCATGTCGTTCTCTTCACCACTAGCAGCGAGTCTGTGTACTAGTGCTGCCTCAAACAAAAATAATAAACCTTTAAAACCATTTCGACATTCACATTTGGAATTTGATTTGATGATTCGGGCTCTAAAAATGCAGAATTTCATTAATAGAGTCCATGCAACCCGTTGAAGTACATTTTCAACCTTTAACACATACATTAATTGATTAAGAGGTCGAGGTTTGAGTTCATAACGGCTCGGGGACAAGAGACTAGGCAATGACACTTCAAAACACGAGTATAGTCACTAAACATAGCTTAATGGAACAAACTTACAGAAGTATGCTAAAATGATTTGCGAAATGCAGGGTAATCAGTGATTGACCATTAGTTAAGAAATGATATTTAGTATAACCAAATATTTTGGCAGAAAGTAGTCTATCTCAAAAGTGCACCATGTATTTAAATAACTAAATTCATATTCAAAAAGACAGCAAATTGCTACAAATTCGGAACACAGTGGCTGATTTAGCTTCTCTCTTGTGCGTATATTTACACAGTACTGATTTTCAGATATACCGCTAGCATTGCTACATCAAGTGTCTGCGAAACCAACATGCACTTTTCATAGCAAGAATCATTTCTTCGTTTATTACTAGGCTAGAAGTAACCGGTAGAATTGGTTTTATGCGAGCATTGGAAGAATGTGGTCCAAATGGCCACTGCCACTAGTACAGTGACCTCGAATTGACCTGAATGTGTGTTACACCCTCCGTTGGCCTGATTGGGAAGCGCTACAAATGTTATGGGTCAAACTACCATCCCCAACTCCTAAAACCTTTTTTTAAATTATGAGAGAGAATTTAAAAAAATGTTTTATGCAAAGGCTTTGGTAAATGTATTACTTTAATGGAAGAGAACGTTAAGTTAGCTGACTTAGATATTTGAACATTGCATACTCTCTTTAAAAGATGCAGCTGCCAGAATATTAATTAAAGATCCCAGCACATGTTAAAAATAAGTAAATTAACAAAACCCACTTAATGCTAGGCATTTAGTTTCCTCCGAAATCATTCATTGTGACAGCATGAAAGTCGAACATTTTGGTTGCGAATAAAAAGCAGCAAAAATTTCATGCGATTTCAGCTATCTTTAGACGTTTTATCCCCTCTATGCAGTAGGTAGGCTGGTCATAGTGCCCTCACACAAACCAGCAATGATCTACATACTTGAGTATCACGTGAGTTTATCTTCGGACGTCAGATAGTGACATACATTCTCCTTGGTTAGAACATTTTGAAAGCGCATTGTCAATGGTGAATTAAATTATCTTAGAAGGTTTAACTCGTTTTATCAGCGTCAACATAAGGTGGGGTAACCTTAAAATAAAACCTTAAGCTTCACCATGGGGAGGCAATACGATGTAACAGCAGCTGTTTGACCAATAATGTTGTCCGGCTAAGGTAAGCGATAGCGATACCCTTCTAGTCTAGTACTTGTTTCAAGTACATTAGACCAATGGGTCGTAGTGCTTCAACTTTGCTTACTTTGGACTCTCTCGATATCTTCATCATACTGTTTTACTTACGCCTCCATTTACAAGGATTGCCATCACAATGATATCACCCTCCCATTTGCGTTCCGATTCATTACATGCCTTTACTGACGCAGACATTGGTAAGACAATGTACTCCTCGTATCACATTGTATTCCTTTACGTCGTGCACTGCATCAGTTGAACTCCAAGGAAATGAAGGGACAAAGGGGGAGAAGGAAAACACAAATCCTACCAGGATTTGAACCGCACCCCTAATCCACGGATCTGCATCCACTCCAGCCTAATGCCTGCCTCAGTCACCTGCTTTCGCCCACTCCCCAGCATTTATGGATGGGTGCGGAATTTTGCGTCCCTTCCTCCAACCAGTAATCACGAGCGCTACTGATGCCTGCAGCAAAGACCGGACTTTGGACTGGACTCCTGAGCAGACTAGTCTGCTACCCATTGTGCAGACTCTTTTGCTTATAAAACGTAGGTGCGTTAGGCTGAAGTGAGTGGATTGGGACCCACGTTGGAGTAATTATTAGACAAAAGAGGAGAAATGAATTATGGGTGCTAAAAATCTTATTGAAAAATGAGCAGTAATTTAATACTTAAACCATATCTACCCCTTTGGTAGATGTGATTTGAATGGGATAAATGTAACTGGTCTTTGGAACAAAAAACGCAAAGTTTGCTGTAATTTTCGGTGTAGTAATAGGGTATTTGCGGGCTGCAAAACGGGCCAGAGATAATTGCATCGCAGAAGAAAGTGACCACACCCGCTAGCGGGGGATAATGGGGAAGTGTCCCACCCTCACCGTATCAATTAGCCCACATTTGATTTGCGTAGTAGGCGGGAGGGCAGGCAACCTTCTTGGAGGGCGCCAAAACACCACAAACTAATGCATTTCGCCATGATGGTAGACAAAAAAAGCAGGCGTAATTGCAAATTTCCCTGTCACGGCTCCCCAAAACTACCACATCTAACTCAATATGGCAGAGTTTTTACCGGTAGTTGAGGCACATGCCAAAAACCAGTCCTCCTACCAGGACTTCCTTTTTCTTAGCTTCTTCGATGGACGAACATTAACTAACTTCTTCCTATCAATGCAATATGCCCAGCAGTTTTGTATTCTGGAATGACTTTACGTCTGCTTGTTCTAAAGTGCCACTGCACCCAAAATGCCAGGTCTGCATTAACGTAAAGGGAAAAAATAGCTCTACTTTTTCAGAATTAATTTTATACCATCACACAAAGACTTGTACTTCGAGAGAAACCTAAAGTCGAAATCACTGTTACGTAAATCTAATGGCGCATTTTATGCATGGAACAAAAGTATTTTAAGTTGGGTGGCACCGCGCTCCACTTTAATTACGGACGAAAATAATAATAATCGTTTAAATTAACTAACCTCGTCCACTGTAAAATGTCTAACTATGGCGCATGAGGAAAAATATTAAAGAGAACCTAGTGGTTTAGACATTTTGTCTGTATCAACAATGAAACGGCGCATTTTTAACGGCAAATCTGTCGCGAAACTGTTTTACGCAAACCATGTGCTCATATTTACATGGGCAGTTAGCGTGAACTAGTCATGCAATATTACCTTATTTCCTGTATGCAGTGGCCAATTAACGGGCTCCAGAATCCACAAGTAAGGCAAGTGTGGAATACAGATATGATGAATGACGCGACCTCATCACTCAATAAACGACCTATAAGTCAGGATGATCTAGGAAGAAGAGGATCCCAGGGTTAGACAGAGCAAGTTGATTCCATAAAAGTAGACATCGATGGATAGCTTAGTGATCCAGTGCCCATTGAATTTAGTGATTCGGCTTTATCACCTTGCGTCTCGATGCTTCCAGTCCCTAGCCCCACGGTTAGGTGAAATTAAATGGTTATTTATAAGCCATGGTGGTGCGATTGGGCAGTTGGAAATCTGGACGAAGTCTGGACATTGTTTACAGTTCCTTGTTTACATGAATAAGTAATAAGGTTACATATAGATCTATGCATATAACACGTTAAAGAATAAGTATGTAGTCATGAATCTTGGCAGTTAACTTTGTTGTATAAGTGGGATAATTAAGTAAGTGCATATCAGAATTGTGTAGTCTGATATGTCCCGAGAGCCCAAACACAGTTGGTCGATATTTGACGGGTGATTTTGATATGCACGATCGTAATAGCGGGTAAGTAGCTAAGGCTTCTTACTACAAAAATCTACCCCGCCATCCCATGGCACTCATTTTCAACTATTTTTTTAGATTTTTTTAGGTATAAGAATAGCAATGCAGTAGTAGCAGCGGGCAAACTACCTAGCGGCTGTTGGTTTAGACAGAAGGAAGGGGGTTAAAGGATATGGTGAAGGAAAGGTAAAACCTTACCCTAACGTGTGTTGCATTATCACTTTATTTGCACCTAAATTTACTATTGCTTTGAGCTGCTTGTGGTGTTACCATTTCATTTATAGGGAAATCAAATGACCCGTTTTAACTCTCAAACACTCGCACAGAGTCTGGCCAATCTAATCAATGTTTAGCGTTTATTTTTTATGCTTGTAGCAACATGACTCAAGTTGAATGTTTGTAACTCATATCTAAGCGGAATTTGTTAAATCAAGATGTAGTGAATCCAGCCCGGAAAATTGTTTTATGTTCATTATCTGTACACGGTCGCAATTTTCCCATCTGTACGTGCATACACTCACACGCGCACATTAACCAATGGGATTGTTGGTGCGTGTGCACAAAGTCAGAATCGACCTGGAGGTACGTGTTCGTGCGCACGCAAGACCGACCAGGAGGAGACAGCAGTCTTAGTAGTGGCAGAAGCGAAGTTGGGGCGAGACATCGCAGCGGCAGTAACAGCACGGTAGTTGCAACAGCAGCTTCAGGTCGCACGCGCACCCACTTGCGCATACACACTTACGACTCTGGTCCCATTCCGCGTAATCCTCACACTCTCCTGCCCATAGCTTCAGCCTTAGCACATAACCATTGCCCAAGGCGTTTTCGGATTGGTTTTCGTTAGACAAAGCTGACGTGTGTGTTTACACTGAAACAAGGACAATAGTTGACAACCATTACATACTGGGAAGTAATGGCTACAGTTCAGATAAGTGAACCCGAGTCTACCATCGCAACCATGGCACACTCCATCTACCGCCCTGGCTCACCCTCTGGGTCTAGGCTTGAGGTAAGTTAATTCGTCATTTCAATCAGGAACACAATCTTCAATATACTTGGATTTTTACCTGATGAGTAGCTAGGTCTACATTTAGACTTGCTAGTACCTTTTCAAGATTTCCCTAATCAAACCTTTTTAATCCACTCCATACTTCGTTCACGTGACAGATTTTTAAAATGTCAGGTATACTGGCAAGAGGCGATCTAGTACATGGATGCCAAAATAATTCAAGTGAGTCCCTAGTCGATAGGTGGAACAACAATATTTTTGCTGTTTGTTAATAAGTGCCAAGTTCAGTTGAATTCAAGTAAATATTGGTACTAACCTGTTATTTCAAACCTACAAAAACCCTCCAGAGGATTAAATCACGCCTTATGGTTACTTTTAGTGTCGCTTTATTTACCAGGGTATTTCAAATCATTTCCTTGTTGACGAATGAACTGATTTATGACGAATTCGGGATATCATTTACACATTATTATCTAAAACAATTCAATTATTTATTTTTCTCGCAAAATAAAACAAAACGTTTTGCTCCAGAAACGAATTGTGAGTAATTTCACCTACGTTTAAGCAAAATTTGTTTAAGGTCTAGGTACATACTTCAAGCACATATTTGGTGCGACGAGTACACTTGTAAAAAGCAAGGATTTCTGAGTTATGCTAATTTCCTAAGAAATTGAAACATGATATGCAAAAGTAACGATGAGAAAGATTAGGCTGGACAGTTGTCCATTTAAGTAAATGTAGCTCGAGACTCTAACGCATTTCTTTAGCTAGCTCAATTATTTGCATTTAAAATGAACGCTGCAGTGCGGACGCGATAACATCTCAGAGTCACCAGAGTGTATCAATAGCACATCCCAATGACGAGGCATGTAAAATGGTCAATATTTATGTGAGGTAGCGAAATGTGCGGACAGGAGGATATTCATGGGAGATGGAGTAAACTGCATTGCCACTTTTAGGCGCGGGTAGCGGAACTGGAGGAAAGGCTTCAGGATGAGCGCATCGTACTCACGAAGGTAGGCTGTGATTTTGATGAGAGGTCTGCTATTATCACGCCAACAAACTTTATATAAAAGTGTCTACAGAAAGAGGAATTTTAAAACGTAGGTTTTATGGGAAAACGTGGTTGAGTTCAATTTGTTAATATTCTAGAGTCAACGAGACAACTGTGATATGGCGCTGGAAATTGAGATGCTCCAAGAACGCCTTGAAGAAGCCAATGAGACTATTTCGCAGCACGTAGGTTTAAAGGAATTTTGGAACAGCTGACACCTCTTATGCAAACCATTTGCCTGCGTATATCCAGGCATGTCTAATGTGTGAAACCAATTATGAATAAGGGTAGGATTGTATGGATCATTAGGACATAGTTTTCGGTGAGAAACTTTCCCAGAATGCAATTTTTATAAGATTTCTGTTTTGTCATGAGTTAAAATTAGTAAAAATTATTAAATATAGCCCAAGAAAGTGACTGGTTTAAGTGAGTAGACAGATGCACACTCAAAGGATCAATTCGGAGGGAGAGTGCCCGGTGTTTTTTAATCCGGGGAACCATTTTATGCCATAGTTGTGGAGATCGTAACAAATATTCTGTCCCACGGATCCGGCATACACTTATAGGGTAGGAATTGAAATGTAGCATGAGCATGGTGAGAGAGTACAGCCGTTGCAGACGCGTAAATGTAACAGCGGAGATTACATAAAATCAACTCACAATTAGATGTCGTTGATGCACACATTCCTGTCTACAAACATAACTTCTCTGCTTTATGTAAAATATATCATACGGAGTTTTTAAAATGGAATATTTTCCCACTTATTGACATTTTGGCTCTGATAAGTTTAGAGAATATACGAATATGCAATTAAGGTAGCTATCTTAGGTGGATACAATTCGCCGCAAAGAGGTGGAGCTTTCAATGATCCAGAAGGAACGTGATCTGTTGCGACATACGCAGGAGGAAGATACTGCTTCTCTCCGTAAACGCTACCAATCGTCCATAGACGAGCAAAACCACGAGCTTGACGAATTCCGACGCATTAAGCACAAGTACGTTATTATTTTATTTCTCTTTTATCTCTGTCTTTCATTTTCTCTATCTCTTTCCAACACACCTTCGGAAGGAGCAAGGATGAACCTAAGAGACGGTGTAACCCAAAGTGCTTGACCTCAGCCACGAGTTTTGCTTGACCTTCTTCCCACCAAGCAGATTTATGACCCAGGATGGAAATTGGTTAGGCAACAGCTTGAAAATTATATTACCCCAAATTTAATGTGAAACACAAAAAGTTAATCGATCCCCTTCCATAAACAGTGACTCTATATTAAACTTACATCAGCCTAGTTATTCGGATGGTGGAGCGACAGTAATGTACCACGTCAGTTTTTATTAAAATTGTGCTGACACTATGCACTTAGGTTATCTACCATCCGTAAAATAGTAGTAAAATAAGGTGGATCGGATTGCTTTTTGACCAACCAATTTTTGATCATTGCTGTTTTTGACACAGAAATTTGCGCATAACTTGTTCATACAGTATACCTATATATTTTAAATACATATAGTCTGCTTATCTTAACTGAACTTTCCTACTACTTCGATTAATTGGTGGGAATTCTAAGGATCGTGAGGCCCTCGAGATTAGGTGTGACAACTTAAGTTTGGGATTGTGGACTTCCCATAGTACTGCGCAAGGCAGTGAACATAACCAGCACTTCAAGAGGAGACATTACCGAGGCTGGTTTAATGATTTCATGATTTAAATAATTGATCTGTATAAAACTCAAGTAAATTTCTTTTAGGATGGAAAAGGAGAAGAGTGAACTGATGAACCAGGTGGAAAAATTTGCAAGTGATCTGTCAAAAGTGGAACTTATGAATGTGAGTTTACCTTTTTGCCTAGATCCTGTCTCCCTTCCAATAGGTGCTACTGGCAGTGCATTTGACAACCATCAGACTCTGAATGTATTGCTAAGGTATATTACCAAATTTTCCCCTTTTAAGGTCTAGGGGAAAAATCAGTCCAACAAATGTGTCGAATTTTTGAGTGTCTGGTAAAAAAGTGAAGACTTTGTGGGAAAACTAGTCATAATGAAGCAAAATACGGTATTTAAATGAGTGATCTTGCTATTTTGCTTAAAATTATGTTCGGTAAAGAGCTTATAAACTGCACGGAAGTGGCAACAAGATAATGGAAAAATGGCAAAAATTCCAAGCTCACCTGCAAAAAGTATTCATGCAAGATTATGAATTATAGTATCACAAAAGTAGTTCGTTATGATGAAGCTGTGTAGCTTAGAGAAGTGCAGTCGTCAGTGATCACTTTCGTACCTTGCAGCTAACCGGTGTATTTTAATGATTGAAGGAGTCTTTAGAGAACAAAATTGAGGCCTTGGATGCACAAAACACACGCCTTAAAGCTGGAAATGAGGACCTGTTGAAACAACTGTCGGAGGCAAACGCGAAGTACTCCAGTCTGTCGGCAGATGAGTCAGAGCGACAGAAGCATATAGACAAATTGACAACATCCCTTAATATTGCTCAACGCCAAGCAACCGTTTCAGAAAAGGAGATTGACGAATTAAAGCGGCAGGTCCAGGAGGAGTCAACGGTAAGTGTTTTAAAATTGGCTCAATAGTTATTAGTACTATAAAGAGAATTCTCTACTCTCTTCTCCTTCTTACTACCAATCGAAAATAAAGTGACAAAAATCGTAGTAATGCAAATTTTCTCACCAAAAATTATTAATAAACGATGGAATATAATCATTCTAATACTAATCAAGCTTCATCACTAATCACAAATTCACCGACTAATTCCACTTCTAGTTCCGACCGTACATGCATTAGTGATGATAAACAAATACAATGAAACATGAATATTATGGATAGAACAATTATCAGTGGCTCATACCTTGTGCCCAAATGAGTATTTGCACACAGACTGATTCACTGAATATTTAATGGATTCCGCGAGCATTTATGAGTGGTGGTTGAGGGAGAGCTAAGGGTAGTAAGGAGTGGAGCATTACACAGGCATCTCGATTAATTATTCACACGCCCATGTTTTATGGATATGGAGTGGTGAAGGTTTTTTCCTCAAATGTATGCTTCTACTTTCTGCGTTTTACTGTTGCACTTTGCGTGACACTTGTGCAGAAAACATTCTGCTGACTTAAATGAAAATGAGAACGGTATACAACATGAAAGCACGCACGCAAACTCACAATTAAAACCATTCCTACACATCGGACTTGCCTGCAGTCTGTCTAAATTTGTGATTGGAGAAGGAACTTGGAAATATTATTTTTGCGTTTCATGAAGGTGGTGTAAGAAGAGGAACCGAGTCGTAGGAGAATGATTTGGCCAGGGTAGGCTGCCTTAACATCTTGTAAAGATTTTTACCATATTTTCGGAGAGCAGATGCTAATTGTGAGCATGACCCATTTGTATTGTCTGTTGCTGTCTTCTTTTAAGTCTAATGCGCATCTTCAATCGCGCCAGTCGATGCTGCAGGCTGAGCTTGAAGTGGCGGAGGCTCGTGCCGAGGAGGAGGCAGAAAATGCCAACCAGGCACAACAACAACTTTCCAAAACAAACGCCGAACTCGCAGCCCTCCGCACCAAGCACGAGCGTGAAGTGACTGAGCTCCAAAACGAAATCGACGAAGCCAAGTAAGTCCATCTTTTACCTCTTTGTACATCACAGGCAAGGCGATAATACTCCATGTGCACTAACTAGACTCAATCTACGTAGGTATATCTTAACCCATGTTAGAACTCTTCATTTAACTCTATCGTTTAAAACAATTCTTCCACGCTGGAAAAACTGTCATACGCTTGTTTTAGCACTAACGTTACAGCTAAAACACGCCCAACTTTCTAAATATGATAAGTTTGTAGCGTTTCAGTATGAGTCGTTATTTGATTAAAATTTCTCATTTGATAAGGTGGACGACAAATGCTCAATTTGACACGACTCACCAAAGTTTCGCTTAACATCATGATAGGCGTTAGTTGGAACTGTAACACATCTTTCAAATAAATCAGCAAGTAAGATATGTTCGGAAATGTTATTAGTGCGACGGAAAAGCTTGGCTGCAGCAAAGTTCTGCTATTTTCCTGTTGAATGGTCTCTGTCTTTAAATACCCAAATAATAAATTAAAACCGGGAAACCTAAAACGACTTCGCCTGTTGGACTAGTTTAAAAGATATATTTAAATTAGTCGCATTACTCTTAAGTCTCAGTATCACGATATATTCCCCTTCTCAAATAATCTGGCCTAAAACTCCTTCCTACACTGCCTTGTATTTTCTACATTATAAATAGAGCTTCTACGTGTAGCTAAAAAACTTCTAGAAAATAGACAGATGTTTTAATGTGCAGTTGCAGATAATTAATGAAGAGAAGGCACCGATGGCTGCTATGGGAAAGGTTGCACAAACGAGTGGTGACTGAAACAGTGAGTCAGCACCTATAGCGGGGGGCGAAAGAAAGGCAATACAAGCAAAAGGAAAATAGGCAATCAAATGAAAAAATTCATTTAGTGTAAGGAATTCGTTACCCTACAACAATTCTAAACACTTAATTCTGCCTCCTACAGACGCCGTCTGACATCCCGAACGAGTGAATTGACTGAGCAGTACGAATCAGAGCACTCAAGAGTTCTCAGTCTCGAGCGCACCAAGACCCAATTGACAGGTCAAATCCACGAAATTCAAATTCAGTTAGATTCAGTACGTCACGCTACTGATAGAAAGAAAACATAGCATTTTAAAAGATGCTAACTATATCCTCAACTACTGTAGTGCCAAGTGGACAATTTGGATCTGAAACAGGAGCTCAAGTCGATCACCACCCAGCTAGATGAGACGGAGAAAATCCTAGAGGAAGAGCAGACCGAGCTAATCCAGCTCCGTACGAAATTGGCCTCTACACAGAAGGAGCTCTCCAATGCACGCAACTGGAGGGTAGAAAACGAGCCAAGGCTACTTTCTTTGGAGAAGGAGAATCGTGCGACCACTGGTGAGAGCTCGACTACACCCTTGGCACTTTTATTGTTTATTTGGATTACTTACTACTTTTTCGTAATAACTTCATTCACTGTCCACGTCCGCATCAGTGTCCATATCTATCACCAACTACGCACTTAGTCATAGGCTTGTCGTTGGGGTTATTAATAGCATCTGATTCCAATTCTACTTGTCAGTCAGCAACATTATTGAATTCGGCTTTTTTCCTAATTTGAACATATGTTCTGATAAAACTATTAAGTCATGCGGTAGTTTAAATTTCACCTGTAAATTGGAAAGTAAATACAGCCTTTTTGGTCGATTCATAAAATCTCAATATCATCTAACTTCCAATTTTGCCTTATTTTGTAACGTTTTGAAATGGTAAAAGACTGGCAAACAATGGGTAGGTACCAATAGAATTGTACAACCTATGCTTGAAATTTCAGAAAGGCTGAAGGAACTCAAAGAATCCGTCGTGAAACTGTCAAAGGAAAATGATGAGTTAGAGAGTGTCCAAGTTCGCATGGAGCGTGAAAGGGAATCCTTCCAAATGACCATCCGAGAGCTTGAAGAGGCGGTTCAAGATGCTGAGGTAAGTAGGGTTTTACAGTGCATGACAATATGACGGCTACTTCACATAGGCATTTTGTGTGCGTCGAAATATTTTACCCTTTGGTGGACTGTGCTTGTTTTTAAGTACGCTTGGTAAATAAAATGAAGCTTGCTGAAACATATTAATCAAAAATCATAGTTTGTACAATGGATTTTTACACTATCCCCATTTCTTATGCGGTAAAACATGTTTGATTGTTAGATCCAGAGGGATCTTTTGACATCTTATGTTGGTTATTATGTCAGCGTCGACGTACTGGCGATAACCCCTGAATGTTTATTATGTCCTGAACACAAAAAAGAGAACTGAAAAGTGGTAAAGAATAATACTTAAAGCTGCCGGATACTAAATAATGGTCTAACATTTTGGACAGCAATTTCCGGATAGACACCAAACTTTGCAAAAGTACTTACCTGAATCCCACTCTATCCTCATCACACATTAATGTCTTAAAATGGGAGGCTTTTAAGATGTTTTTTATAACCTTAACAATAAATGATGCCACGATGCACACGTCGCTATTTGATCTAGCAGCTGCTTCGAGCCTGGATGATATACTCCTTGCAAAGAGTTGAAACAAACAGCTTGGATGGGTCGAGTTAATTGCACTCAGTGACAGCTTTACTTGGAGCTTTTAACTATGCCTTACCCACCACAGTGAAAAAAAGCGTGTGCTGGTTGAACTGTGCAAAACAATATGCAAAATGCCCCTAAACTTGAGTGTAAATTATTGTAACGTACCCTACATGGTGACTTGAATAATTCAAAATCAAATACTAATTCATATGATAGTTACACACAAATATTTTGTGTATTTATGATGAAAGGATCCAATCTCCTAGGTCTTTCTCCCATGAAGAGCCTTTTTTTAATTTAACAAATTTAGTTTAGAGAAGTTTCTTTAAAAAGTGCGGAGCAAAATCATATCACCTCAACCACGTGCAAGTTTAGAGGGAAAAAAGAAAACCGTGCTCGTTAAGCTGTGTGCACAGAAAGCAACAGACGCCCTACATGGGAATGCACTCAAGTACAGTATTTGTGCACCATAAATTCTACCGTTTATTTTCAGGAAATTGTGGATGAAACTAGTAGTCCGTGCACCGGTTGAGTCATCGGGTGACTAGCAAATACCCTTCCCTTGTAACACCACGCTCCGAACATACGGCACTGTTTAGAATTTACAAACCTCTGCCCAACACAATGTTCTGTGACATGGGTTCCCTTCGAGCATACTGAAGGCGAAATATCGCATCAGTCGGCTGCTCGAGTCGGTTGCTCGTTTAGATTACCAAGGGCGTTACGCCACGTTTATTTTTCTCAATGTGCTTTTGAATTATAAAAGGACTTTCATTAAATTTGCAAAGGGATTCATTGGACGTTCTAACTAGTCTCGATTTACTTCCTCCAGGAAAGGATTCTAACAGTGACATGAAGTCTAGTGGTTGTCAAAGGTAGCAAAGTTTTCTAATATTTTGATTGCATTATACCAAGGAGAAAACTCACATGTTTTAAATTTTGCGTCAAAAGCGTTCAATTAGAAAATAGGACAGACTAATGGACTCTGTTAATGGCAAACAGGGGTTTACTTAAAAAAGAGAAAAATAATGTATTTTGCCACCATAATTGCTTGGCGTTCATCCGCATTTGGGAGTTTGATCACCTCATTGGTTGCTTATTTTAATTGACGGTCTTAAAAGCTTTAGCTTAAAAGACAAGCTTAATTTATGAAGTTTTTGATAACTAAGATAAAAAATACACCTAATTGAGCGCCTCGTCCAGTTTTTTCCTCTGTATCTAGATTTTAAGTCTTTGAGCCTCAAAATCTCTAACCACAATTCGGAATCATGTAATTACCCAGCTTTCCAACGTTTTCAGATTGATATTTTGAAATAGGAAAAAAAAATGATTCGACTTTTATCTGTGAGAGTGTACCAAGGGATGCACCGTTACTGCTAATGCGGTATGAACTTTCTTGCATGTTTGTAGGGGCACTGATTAAGATCGGTCTCAGATGTCGCCATTTTTATTCAAAATAACGTTCTTATGTAGAATCATCGACTGGTCAAAAAACATTTATGTCAAGTATTTATTAGATACTGACCTCAGTTCTTAAATCTGAGTGTTAATGGTCTAAAATTGCGACTTGAAGATAGATCGGACATAATACTTGATGACGGTAAAGAGTAAGATAAGAAGCCCTTTTAGGAGCTTATCAAGTCGGAGAGGCTGGTAAAGAACGCCCAAATAGCTCAATACCGCGTATGTTGATGCTGTAATTGTACTGTAAAACAAATTTATTAGAAGCTAAGCAATGGTATGGTCAAAAAACTGTTAAACTGCACTTTGAACGCAAGAATGTAGAAGTTACTTTTCCTTCGCATTGATCTGAAATTGAAACTCATCTGGTGTTCAAATGCTGCATTTATTTTAAGCTAATAAGGGTCAAGTGGAAAAAATTCATAGCTTTTTACAAAAGCCGTTTTTTTCAAAACTATAAAACACTCAGAACACAAACATTTGAAGCCACATATTTGCAAGAAGTTTCTGCCGTGGAGTTAATTGCACCTGCGCAGTATTTGCCTTATTTTGTGAGTGGAGGGAAAATTGGTAGACTTTTTTTAGTAATTAAAATACCATGTATGCAAACGACTGGACAGTGTATCAGGTAGCCTGTAACAGCTCTCTACTTTCACAAATTAGTTGTAGCGTTCTAGACAGCTTTTTTACCCAGATATGCTTAGTAATTGAAAATGCTCCGTGGGCTTCATGCCCATATTCTCCTCAAAAATAAAATTGGTCAATTTGCTAAGAAGCGCTAAAGCAGCAGTAAATTCGCTTCAAACGCTTGTTTTTTCTTAAGGATAATGTAAATATCAGACCAAAGTTTTATAACTTCTACAGAGGAGGTCATTTTTGCAGAAACTTTATCTTTTATCAGCGCGGATCATAAGTAATGCAACAGCTAATGTTGTGTGATTAAATACCTTTTGGTGCTGCATTTAACAATAGGCGAAACTGTCAACAGTAATCACTTAGCGCAAAATGATTTTTAGCCTTGCCTCAGTCAACTCCACCTACCTATGTCTATGAAAAATAAGGCTAATTTCCGAGTTTAACCCCTAAAACAGCTTATTTCTTATCATTTCCATTCACTCTAGACAAAATATCAAAGTTCCCAAAACGCCATCAGCCAACTCCGTCAGGATCTGACATCTCGTATGCAGGAGAAGGAGGAAGAACTTGAGAGTCTTAAGTAAGAAAAGCCGACATTCTTGATTTAAAATTTCAATTTTTTGTGGAAAGCGTTTCTCGTTGACGTTGCATCCTATCGAATACTCCTGGAAGCCTATAAAGTCACGAGAACGACCAATCTAGTAGTTTTTTCACAGCTACTGTTATGGTAGTAGCACCATTTTTGTCTTAACCGGTGACAATATGTGGGATGGATATGAATGAAAATAAAAGTGTCCATGAAGCATCTTAGAGCTTTGAAAACATATAGTTCTGGTCGAATGATGTGTGTGACTTGTTGCACCAAAAAAACAGGCGCTCAAGCCATCGCACCATTGAGGATTTGAACGGAGTGCTTAAAGACTTGGAGTCGAAGCACCGAGCCGAGGTGGTACGTTGGAAAAAGAAGATGGAGACGACAGTTGGAGATATGGATCATGAGTTGGTGGCGGAGCGTGAAGCTAAGGAGGCTGCAGAGAAAGCTGCGCAGGAGGCGGAGGACCATTACAATCAGCTGGCTGCAGAATTCGACGATGTGCACCACACCATGGAGGAGACAAGGTCTGCCCTTCAGGTGAGAACACTGATGTGATTTTGACCTTAAATTCCATTATGTACTTAAAGTTGTGTGATATATAAGCAGTGTCTGCAAAGTCTATTTGTGGTAAAGTTGGCCCAATAGAAGAAAGAACCACTTTTAGACCGGCAGTAATAGTGTTTTTAAATGAGTAATTGCTAACTTAAAGTCCTGAAAAACTGAATAGGCCAACAATCTTTATTCCTGCAGTTCGACGTTTTCATTTTTGCTTTTTTTCCACGATGTGCATAAGTCAAATAGTCGTTTTAAAACAGCCAGCATTCATAATTCATGTATTTCGTTCGTTAGAGTGTGCATTAATTTACTCAAGAGAACATGAAAACTCCCGAGTTAATAAATAGCTGAGAACAAGTAAAGCATAGAATAACTGTGCCATATGGCGAGCTATCACTGACCATCTGCTGATTTATGTCAAACACCAGACATGGATTAACACTATTGATATAGAATGCTACTATTTGTTTCCCGTGGAAGCATGATATGCGCAATTATACTCCAGGCATCAATTCAAAATTGAGAAATGCATAAAGGAGGGTATAAGGAGTAGCCCAAAGATATATCGATCATTAAGGCCTTAATATATGCAAGTTTTTGCATGACCTACTCATTCTGTCATTAGCAAAACTAACGGAACACGTATTTTTGATAGTAGATGTGGCTATGCACAGCATCAAAAAGTAACGCATTTTTCTGTTGTTATAGCTCAGTGAAAGCCGCCGACAGGCCGTAGCGGAGGAGCTGGAGATGCTCCGAGTGCAACAAGAGGCATCTGAGCGAAGCCGTCGCAAGGCGGAGTCTGAGACTCAGGAAATAACCAATCGGGTGTCCGAACTAAACGCTCAGGTCAACAGTCTGACAGCTGATAAGCGGCGCCTCGAAGGCGAACTTGCGATTGCACTCGGAGACATTGAAGACCTGAACGGCAGCAAACAGGTATGTGAAAACTTTTTGAAATGCATCTAGGAGCTATTATCTAAAGAGAACAGCCTAAATTGCAACAGCAAAAGTAGCAAGCATAAAGTCTTTTGAGTGCAAAACTTAGCTTCTCCGTTACGATCACATATTATATGCATCACCAAACGATATCAGATGGAATGTAACGAAACAATTTTACTATTGAACCGGTGAAATCTGAGGCATATACGTAAAATCGGCTGCATAAAGTCCAAGTGGGCGTTTGATGTCCAGTATTTTAGAGCAAATGTGATGCTTGCGAAGACCATGTAACGATGATTCACGCAAAAGAAAATCCAGTGGGAGGTCTGACGCCTGCCATGTCAACTTCCGCTTCCGTTCATGTATTAACGGAGCATTTTTCTGGGTGCATTAGACACCGGTAACTCACATTCGTGACCACATGCAGCTGGTTCCCAGTGAGACAGCAAATATTTTAAAGTGGTGATCGTTTTGCAAATAGCTTTTTGACTGTTGAATGGGTGTTTAGACTAAATTAGGATTTCTTTTAACAACAGGGTAATGAGGAGCGCATTGCAAAACTGCTGCTTGATGTGTCTCGACTGACGGCTGACTTACAGGCGGAGCAAGATCTCGCCCGCCGAGCTGATGCTGGAAGACGCCAGCTGGAGACGGACCTTCGCGATGCCAATAATCGTCTGAAAGCAGCAGAGCAAGCTTGTGAGGACGCTGAGAAAGATGCCATTAGGAAAATCAACGGAATGGAGGCACGAATTCGTGACGCAGTAGTGACTGCCGAGGCTGAAGCCAAACGTGTTAGGGAGCTCACCACCCATTTACGGTACCCACTTCCATATGGGCTGAATTGCTTCCCAGCTAGAATGTACAGCATGATCTGAGAGGAGATTGCAGGTTGCCTAAGTTAGACCAAAAATCGCGTTTGAATATTTTTTTTAAATTCAAGCCAATGTTTGGTCTTTAACGAAAACAGCAGGCCAGTATCGAACATTTTGCTTCTATTCTAAGTGAAATACCCGTAAGATAACAATTATTTGACAAAAAATATTGTGTACTTGCATCTACCTTAAATAAATCAGGTCAAATTTTCGGATTTCGGAGAGCAATACATTTCCCATTTACGAAACATTGGGTCAAGGCGAAGTAAGTTATGATTATATTTTGAATCTTCTAATTAAGCCAACAATTATCATTATGTTAGAGTCATGGGAGTATCTTTATATGACAATCTACACATATTTCATTGTTGATAGCATCTTTTTCGCAGTTCACAAGCCGCAAAAAGGGGTGGTCCACTGGCGACATTGTTTCGTCAAATAGTTGTAACAAGTCAATGATTGAGTGGGCTTAAACTTGTCCAAATAATGCGTTTGAAAAAAAACAATAAACACGTAAAAAAGGAGTAATAGAATAAATTGAGTTTCATTAAAATTTTGTCCAGTAATCCCAGCGACAGACATTTGTGTTCACTCTTTGATGCGATTAGTCAGGGGAGACCTAACAAGGAAGGCAGCCAACGCAAACGAGCCATCCTGACCGCCGTCACGATAGCCTATTGATTCACAGCACCATCCACAGAACGCCCTCCATGGCACGTACGTTGGGACAGGCCAATCAAATATGCCTATCTGTATAGCACGCCTCCAAAAGTCCCATCGCATTTCCAGGCTGGACTTTAAACAATTACCCATGGATTCTTAAAGAATGTCTAAAGTGCCCCCCCCCCCTAGTGCTGTATCATTGTGGTTTACGATTACATATTCGCTTCAAAATGCATTTGTTCATCAACTAGAACACCCATAATTGTATATCAAAAAAGTTTACTAGGTGGGCGTGTTAATCCACATATCTACTGATCGTCCTTAAGATGACGTTTCTTGACCTTTAGCCTGTGTTAAGCGTCTGATACGTATTCACTTTTATAAGGCATCTTTAGGGCACCAAAGGATTTCCCAAATGAGCTGTACTTAACAACCTAAAATTGCATTATAATAAGAAAATTTCATTTTGGTATATTCCCTAAAGTGTTTAGACACATCTTCTCTTTATATATATTTGGGATGCCGCAGTTCCGCCTGATTCCTTGCAACTCGATTCTCGTTAATCCTGCTGCAATGCTGCATCGGGTTTATTGAACATAATACATTTCCCCAAAAAATCAGTCTGTTCCTAGAATTTAAAACGATGCACAACTCTCGAAAAAACTCATGTTTTTGCATACAAGCACAAAAAACGCCTAATGATCCATCACTTGCGCGAAAATTTCGGAGCGGAATGTTCATTGTTCATCGTTGAAGAACCATATATTAAATGGATATTTTAGAGTGGTTATCACTCAAAATTGGACTTAATAGCTAATTCTCCAATTGTTTTGCAAATCAGGTTTAGAAGGTGAATAACACCAAAGCAAGTAATGGTGATGTCGTTTGCCTTACAGAAAGGTTGAGCGTGCCCATAAGGAGGCTAGTCAAGCGGTTGAAGAGGAGCGTTCATTGGCGGCCCAGATGAAGGAGTTGATGGAACGAGGTCAAGGTAAACTCAAAACCATGCGCCGTCAAGTGGAAGAAGCAGTAAGTTGCCACTTCATTGCTGTACTGTTAACATTTGGGAGGTATTTTGCGAAATTGCATACCAACGAGCCTGTTTAATTGTTCATCTCCTATATTCATGCGAAATAATTGTGGTTCTTCAATCATATACAGGTTCCAAATAAAATTCCCAATTTTTCGATGAAAAACTATCACTTTTTGGTTTTTGTACAACAATTGAGTGATTTAGGTGCATTTCCTGTACTGTTCGAATCGTCACATGATAGCAACGCATTATTCAAAGCATCTTTTTATTTTGAGGGATTCATTTGGGTTTTATGCGAAAAGGTTTTCGGATTCGAGCAGAAAGACTAATCAGAATCTAAAGTGATATTTAGTTTCCATAACCGAAAATAGAGGAGAGCAGAATTATGGAGCAGAAACGGTGGGTTTATGCCTAGTTATGAATAAAATTAACGATAATTCATCCTGTCCTACTGAAGAGACGGTAATCTCTGTAGATAATGATACATTTCAAGAGCTTTATTAGCTCTTTTAGGCTACCAAAGTATGGGGACAAAAGAGTAGTAATTGCTCCCTTAAAACGCCTACAACGGCGACATGTTGACGAGGCTGATTTGTAAATTTGGTTATAGGAGGCGGCGGCCGCAGCCGCAAACATGAAGCTGCGTAAGACTCAGGAGCAGCTGGAGGAGGCGGAACTGCGTGCTACGATGGCGGAGCGCCGCGCCAGCCTACAAACGGAGGCTGCGCGGGAGAAGCAGGCAGGATTCACGCCCCGAATGCGCTCCACCTCGTTTGTGCGCGAGGGCTCTACCTTCAGTGTGACCGATTATACACCCCGTCGCTCGCGCCGCACTCCCGCTTTTCGCAGTGTTGAGAGCGAGGAGCGTGATACCATCAACGGAGTCGCCGACTAGGATCGTAGACAGTTTCAATACATCTCCGCCTGAAGCTGCTCAGAAACCCCCTCCGCGTCCTACTCTATACTTTTCTTTTCATGTCTCACGCTCACACCCGCGCATACCCGCCTTGGTCCCCTTTTCGAGCTACTCTCACTGTATAAGCATTTACCCTCCCCCTTTCAACTTTCGCTGTCACTTTAACCGTAAAGACCCGTGAGACGCTTTTACATTGCCATTAAGTTGTGCCCCCTCTCCCGTCTTTTTCCCCTTTTATTCTTTACTTAATCTAACTATGGAATGTTCAAGTAAAATACCAACCGAACACTAGGTTCTTTGGTGATATAGAGGAGGAATCTGACCGCCGCCTAAATAAAGTACCGCCAGTTTGCCTCAGTTGGGTCTTTGATTGGTCTGCTTCTGTACTGCGTTTTTTAAGCATTTTAAATAACCTTAACTTGTTTGTCAAATGTGACAAGTCGCTAAAGTCAGTTAAAGCGAAATGTGCTTTTCTTTTAACTCGTAATTATTCCTGTCTTGCAAATATCTGTTGCTGTAGAATGCGTCAGAATCATTATTGTAAAGGCAAAACCCCATTTGCTGTGTTGCAAAAGGAAAACGTGTTCTATGACTTAATTTACAGTAAAACGGTGAATAGAGCAACTGTGAGCTGTATAGGTGAGGGTGCGAAATTACTTGGGTACCAAGCCACGGGACTCTGGAAAGTGGGCTCCTTTCAGCTGATACTTGGGTATTTTTCGTCTAAAAATAAAAGCATTTGAATTTCAAAATAACTACAGGTGAAGAAATACAAACGAGATTTTCTAAGGTTTTTAAGAACCGCCTCAAGCACTCTAAGTAGTACATCCAGCAAAGGATGAAACTTCAATACTTTATGGCATTACTACGTATTTAATCCGATGTGCTTCTCTCACTAAATAGAGGCATCGTAACGGCAAATGCTGAAGAGATGCAATAAGGGAACAACGAAGCTATGTGAATAGAGACATTTGGACTAGTCCATATACATCCCAACCTGCGAACTGATTTGGAAAGGCACACGCGTCCGGCACTAAAATGAACTGCGTGCGTGTGAAAAGCCAACCTCCCTCCCACAGTCCAAAAACGTTACTCTCTGCTGGTTTAATCATTTCATGTCCGTAAAAAAACATTTTGCATAAATCACAAATTCTTTAATTATATGGAAGCTGTACCAAATCTCGTATGAATAAAAGATCTCCTAGTCACTGCCATAATTTAAAGCCCAAGGCTTCAAATTTACCACAAAAACTCATTTAGTAAATCAACATTCTAGAAATCGCTAAAAATATTAAAACCTAATCTTTAACAAATCGGAATCGTGATATAAGTAAGCCTTTGGAACTCCAGTTGATATTAATAGTTTTGAAAGTAACTTATTGGAGGCAGCCTTCAACTAACCAAAGATGCAGATTAAATCGTGTATTTTCTTAAATGCTAATGAATATTAACAATTTCTTTTAGTTCATGTACCATCTGTGCGGGAATTTAGCCTAACAAAAGGCAGACTAAGTGGCACCAAGTTGGGCATATAGAAGGAATAGCCTCTTCACAAGGTGTAACGCATGAAAATGAAGGTGGGTGCAATTTGCTTCTATTCGCCTTCAAAGGATAGTGGTTATAAAAGAGAGCTTAAAAACATGTGATCAGTATTTGCGGCTCAAAAGGCCATTTATAATCGGCTTTTTCTGTGTCCGTTCTAATCATTTACAAAACCAAACTTATCACCTTTATCCTAAATTGTTCACGTGTCATGTGAAGCTTGTTGAGAAGAGTTGTCGCTGCAGTTATGCATAATAGTACTTGAGTATCCAATGTTCTATTTATCCTGATTCCATTTTGCTATTATCGTTCTGTCCATGTTTGTGGTCCTCAATGCTTTCCTATCACCACGATATAGTTACCCGTAAGCGTCTACACCCCAAAATGCCTTCGAATGGAGTTGGCGTAGGAAGTTGACGACGGTACGGCAGAATATGATCGACAGTTTGATGCCTTTTGCCCACTGATGGTTCTTAATTTATCATCATGTACAGTTTGATAAAATTCACATGATGAAATTAGGGCAAATTTGAGATTATATAAACAAACGACAATCTACATCAGCATTACCGTAATGTTCCCATTCTGTGACACTTGTGACTTTATGCTTCTCTATTTCCTTGCATACCACATAAGATTTGATTAATTAAACCGGATAAGTAATCAATTTGACGGAAAATCAAACAAGTGAACAAAATTGAAAAGCTGGAACGAAATAAACTGTCAAATGAGTATTTCTTCATAAAAAGTATTTTATAGATATGCCAGTGATAACACATAAGTGTTTGATTCCCCGTGAAAACTGGTTTGCTTGAATTGTAAATATTCCTTAGACTTTTAAAGTACATTTAGCTTTAATCAAAGCAGAGTGAGAATGTAAGGTTTACAAGTAATACTTTCTCTAAATATCCAAGCAACAAACTACTTACACCATTGGGTCACGCTCTTGTACTAAGCGTGCCTTTACATGGTATTTGGAATAGTGATAGTAGTTTTCGCAGGAATCAGCTATACATCATAAGGCCTTAACTAAACGTGAATGTATCTTCAGTTGGTGAAAAATAGGGGGTGGTAATTGTGGAACTAGAGAAGGTACAAATGCGGAAGCACCGATATTCCCTCACTGTGAGTTAGAAGGCAGATATATTTATAAAAATACTTACTGCCTGTCCCTCTTTTTCTTATTAATTGGCCTCACTTTGAAAATCGAAGGGCTGAAAGGCAATGAAGCATACTTTTTCACACATCTATCGCTTGCCAAAACACTGCTTACACACACTTGAACAACGGATATGCGAAGGTAGCCCACGCCACGGTATTCCAAACAAACGGTTAAGATTTCCATCTCTCAAAATCACAAAGTTTCAGCACTAACATTTTAGGCCTTTGTTTCATTTCTGATGTTTGCTGCTCACATAAAAGAAATCGGTCATTTTTCAACACATAGGGAGGAAATAAACTAATGCATCTACGCTTAAGGTTGTATGCTTTTGCTAAATTAATGCATGAAGATGAAAGAGGCGAATTGATGCGATTTGGTGCAGATTTTCCAGCTTGCATGGTCTGCAAGCCCTAATACATTATATCTAGTGCTTTGAGTTAAATATATTGTTCCCACTTGCTATATACTCATTTTTCGCATTCTATAGGATAAAGTTTTACAACATCCGGCTGTAAATTGGAGACACCATGAATATAAATCGGAATTGTTCTAAATTCACTACAGTGACACCAGCTAGAAAGTCAGTAGAAATGAAATCTAAACACACCTCCCGTCTAGTTCCAGATCCTCCTCATCCTGTAAAGCGGCCTCGAGAGCAGCCACGATCTGTGGCGCCAATTTAGGGGGCTCGTAGTCCAGGGTGGTCCGTGGAAGTGGATCAAGGTTCAGGTGAAGAATGTTCTCCCCACGAAACCGCATACTCGTATTCAGACGCGCGGCTAGGCAGGCATACCGACAGACTGATCGACGCCGACCCAAGGCAGACGGCGGGAACGAGAGCACAGTCGTGGTGAAGCTGCTACATGGAAAACAAATCACCGTTGAAGGCATGAAAAATAAAAAACTACCAATTCGAATAATAAAATGTTACCAACTCCGATAGCAGACATGTTTGAGAAATAAGTATCGTAGAGAAGCAAAGCTGGTCTCTGACTATTTCAAGCTACCGACTTTTTAATCTTATGAACGATTCGACAAGACTTATGACATCCTACTTTCTGAGAAAATACTTATAACAAATTGTTTACTATTGTGGGTGATGGTATTTGAAATTGAGGAAATCAAACAGTTTTACTATGCTCCAGTGTTAATAGAAACATACCAAGCTTGATTAATCCCGAAGATGGCCAAGAATACAACCATAAAACTGCAGGAGTTACACCTATAGCGTTGTTGCTTCCTATTCTAACTCGAATCAGAAACTAAACATTAAAGTGGCAGTTGCTTAAAGTGAGCTCAGAGAGCTTATCTTGGTTGAGAAATTTCTGCAGGGCAATACATGAGGCCATATTTAAACTTCCATAACTTTTTTTTCCACATTTTTGAATTCGTAACTAAGGCAGATTAATTACAAAGGAAATTCCGAATCATCATGGCACAAAGGAGTCTTTCAGAGGCCCCTTGCCTTTGTTTCTCGACAGAAATACATTCTTGAGAGATTCCATATTAAGTCATAGTATATTAAATGCCATAAATGTCAATTATTCCAGTTTCTTTAAAATGAAACCTGTGCAAAAGTAGTTGTGTGAAATTGAGATTTAAGCATATTCAACAACAGAACAAGTTCTGAAATATGTTCATCGTGGATGGCATAAATTAAGAGGAGTGCTGCATACGTGGTACCATCTTGATATTGGATAAGAACAAATCACCTACGTGACAATTAACCCTGAGGTAATCTACCGGGAACGTGCTGAAAATTATTGCTAAAAACAAAACTGTGATAATATAAGACGGTAACAGACAACCACAAGGCTGAAATCAGATTTACTCCCTTTTGATGTAAAGCATTATTGAAACACGATCTTTGGCAGACTTTTAATACTGTTCACAAAGACATTTGCGCGCACTCTCTTGGAGAATCCCTTTATTAGTCATTTGCTAGGACCTGTTTTCGAGAAAACAAAAAGGAGTATCGTCAAATCTTACTTTTTTTACAGATTTTAAGCACTATCTCACGAATTGTTGCAAAGCCAATGAAAGTGTATGTAGCTACATGTCTATTTAATCTACTAGAGAAGTCATTTGCTTTGCCATCATCACATGAATGCTGGGTCAAATGCTAAATACACGTTCCCATGCCTTCTAGATTATTAGAAGCTCAATCACTGCACATTAAGAGGAGTCTAAATTCCGACGACTATTTATCCTTTCCAGAGTGCGGTAGCTAGTAGTAATATCTTTGCAATGAACTCCAGGAGTAACGGAGATTTTGCTAACCGACTTTTCAAGCAGGAAAAGGAAATGTTGAAAGATGAAAAGCCAGCTCCATAAAGATATTTTCACAAAATGATTAACGAGATGATTCACTGGCACTATGCAATTATTAACTCTACATACGTCCTTTCATTTGTCAAAACGAAAAGGTTGAATAAGTAGCATTAGCGTCGACTTCTGCCTTCATTTCATTCTGTGAAGGTAGTTTTCATAAAATATAAAATTTGCTCAACAAAAACGACTCATTTATCGCGGACAAATTCTGCTAAAATAGTCAGAGAATATCAATTTGAGGGAAATAAACAAAACTATACTGCAAAAAAATAGTTTTAGAATCTCCACACGCTTAGTGGGGACGAAATCGTAAAAGACTAACCTTGACTTGACATACATTAATAAAGTTTGGGAAGTAGAATGATAAATCCAATTTAGGTAAATTAATCTTTCGTTATTCTGTCGTTAATTTATGTGGTTTTAAGGTATCTTCATGTTCAAAAAGAGAAGATAAAGTGGCACGATATTTTCGCAGAGAAAATATAGCATTAAATTGTGTAGTTAGCAAAATATAATTTGACCTGATGGTAAAGAGTTTTGGTAGCAAAACAGAAGAAAATAAAAACGCAGAGCAAAGTGGGTCTACTCGTTATCTGAGGCAACCTATTTGTCGCCTTCACGAATGGCTGGTTCTATTTCAAAGATTGGGTGTTTTATTCCCTAGTTTAAATTAAAGGATGCTGCTCAATGGAATGGAAATAACTTGAAAAGGGTTTGTAACTTAACGGCTTTTATCAAACTTTAATAGCTAAGACAGGAGAAAACTGAGAAGACTAAGAGCACATTAAATACACCCTTCAAAGTAGAAGGGTAGTTTCATAAAACAGAAATTGATCATGTAGAATAGTGGAGAAATTTGCCAAAAATATGTACAAAACACGAATACTTATTCGTCAATTTCGTTGCTCATGTGTACATCGTCCATGGAGGTAAGAGAAATACATTTGCAGAAACAAAGCACTTAAATTGATACTTGTGTTTTTTGAGCCTCCAGACGCTTAGTTTTCGTATGCACTCTCTGGGTAATTTGGGTACATTCATAAATGAAAAATGGTTCTAAAATTCATGGAGTATATTTTATTAATTAATCATAGCGTTATAGAAATAATGTTGACATTACCTAGATTTAGTCACAATACGGCCATATCCGATTTCTACTTTAAATCCAAGCAAATATCAGCTTCTAAAGAGCGTTAACAGTCATCCAAAGGTGCCAGTCGCTCCTGTAATTCCAACTATTTAAAACCGAGGCAGCACGAGTCAACTTCCTTTTGCATTTATTTTACTAACCTTCTCTGCTCACTTTTGATTGGAATCTACATCGAATTAAAAAGCGCTATCTTGAATTTTTCACTCCGATTTTGCTGGCTCCATTAAATGCTACGACGCGAAATTACTGCACCCCTGCCTTTACAGCATTCAATGTGACAGTGCACGTGGAGGCAGAGTTCCCAGGATAAAAAGATTAATTGTGCCACTAAGAGTGATCAAGAAAAATATTAGTCGCGAACTTATAATCGCAGTGCGAATGAACCACTAACAATACGGATATAAACTGGTTTGTTATTGGGAACATTCCGAAGTATGCATTTAGAACGTATTAAGGTAAACACATGGAATCATTTGAACACATGTTGGTAAGTCAATATGTCCGAGTGAACGATACGGAGCGTTGCTTAATTTGGTCATCCTAACTGAAGTAGTTGGAAGTACAGGTAGTTATTACTTTCATCTCATATTTCAAAGCACCCAGATACAACAACTCCTTACCCCTCAGCAGGACGTGCTGCGGAATCTGCGGGGTTAAATCGCCAAACCCCGACTTCCTCATCGAAGTAGGCGCGTTCCTCAAGTCTTTTTTGATCGTCGAGAGGCACAAAGTTCTCCAAAATCAGTTGATGCAGCTTCATATTCCTCAAAATTTGCCCTTGAATTTCCTCCTGCTTCTGTCTCTCAATAATGTGCTCATCCTGCAGATCCTTTGTCTCCTTTTTAATTTTCTGAAATGCGCGCATAAAAACCTTAATGACGTTTTTTTCCATCATAGAAAGTATCGTTTTGCTTACTTAAATAACATAAGTAACATACTTTTAAAAGTAAAGAAAAAATTGGCATTAATTTCTTAATGAGTAATAGCATTTTTTTAAATTAATGATAAATATGTGCAATGTTCAATGCACATAAATTTATTTAATGAATCGAAAATCCTCAGCTACCCATATCCCCTCAATCTACCGGAAATTAGGTCGATGCCGCTACAGCTTTTGAGGAGGCTTAGCCGCAGAGAATCCTGTAGTATTTTGAAGGGATTGCAATTGTTTCAGGGATTGACAAACATAGGTCAAAGTCCTGTTTATTCAACTTGAAAACAAAACTATTGCACAGTTCAGGTGCAAACGCTTACATCTTTTCATACTTTTGCCTAATAAAGCATAGATAATCAACTTTTATTTGATACTACGACCGATTAGAGTGCATTTAAAGTCATTTATTAAAGGTCTCTTCCCAATCATTTCCGTTGCTTAGATAACGTTCTTAAGTGCTTTAAGCTCTAAAAAAGTGCCGATCTCACTAACAAGAGGTTTCATAGTAGTTAAATCCTTTTATTGACGGTAGCCATTCCCTCGTAATGTATGACTTCTACCATATTGCGTCTACTTCCATGTTTAGATTCCTCAAAAATGCTGTCCCCGTCTACTGCGATCAAAATGCCTGTCTACTGATCAATCATTGCCGAATCAACAATTGACATCACAATTACAAATCTTTCCATTTATTGGTTTTGGTATCTAGTCCCTAAAATTAGCTGACATTCCGTCACAGTTTCCTCAGCACATTCGAAACCATAGTTCTGAGGCACTGCAATTGAGGTTACTATCAAAAAGACCTGAAGCTATTGGATATGTAAGGAATGAGAGAAGTGAACCTGGATGCGTTCAAATAGTTTCTTTAACTTGGAAGTGCAGACTTCGACCTCGTAACGAAGGGAGGAGAAGCCCTCTTGAAGCGTCGCCACATTGTCTGACTCGGCACGGACACGAGCACGCATTCGGTGTTCATGGTGCTGGTGAGCGGCCAGGCGCCGACGGTGCTGCACTAGCGCCTCCTCTTGCATACGCGTTTGCGCTTCCACCGCTGCTACCCTAGCCTCTGTCCCACCGCCGAGGAGCTTAGACTCGAGGCTGCGCAACTTTGCCTCCAGTTCCGCTGTCTGTGCCTGCTCCTTCCTTATTCGTATATCCTTCCTCTAAGACAGAAGCAGAAATTGAAGTAGTAATAAGTTATTATCCTATGGGAATTGAGTAACAGAGGGTAATACTTTGAAAAGAATGTGAACCGACGACTGGCTAGGGAGAGAATCCAAAAAGCACGGAACTGTAGAAAGGGGGTTTATTATTACAAAGAAAAAAAGGCAAAATAGTTAAATTCAACTTCCTTACTTCTGAGGCCTGGAAAAGGCTCTCATTTCGTATGTGTATCAAGCGAAAACCCACTTTGTAGGGTAATTTGTTGACTATATAACCACCTGATCCTCTCCATTACCAACAACCACTATTGGAATCATGTCGCAAATCCATAAACTTTCCCTTCTCAAAATAGCACTCGGATCGTGGACACTATGTCAGCTTCTAAAATGGTTTTCATTTCACGATTATCTTAAAGGGGCAGGGGAACTCACAATCAGCTTGCGGTGCAAAGAATCTGAGTTAAAAGGAAAAATTTGTAAAACAAATGGGAGGAAAACGACAGTTTTAACCTTTAACTCTTCAAGCAGGTGAGTTTTTTCCTCAGCAATCATATTTTGCTCATTGATAATCCCCCCTTTTTCGACGGCCAACTTCTCCTGCAGCTCCCTCAGGTAAGCATCTCTGCCTGTGGCAGAGTCTTCCTCACCTCCGTCAGTTTCATCGGGACCTTAAAAACGATGAGACGATTTTCCACTACGAAATTGTAAATCCACAAACGAGAAAATCACTATCAAGTGTTACTTACCACCTGCCCCATTACTGGGCTTCAGATGCATCGGTGGCATCTCGCGAGAACTGAGCAGTTGCTTTAGGTGCTGGATTTCCCGTTGGTACTCCCGAAGCAGAGCATCCTTAGGGTCATCGTTGATCTTAGGGGTGTTTTTAATATTCTTCGCTCGACTAGCATATCTCAGTGTGTTTACCGTCTCGTCGTAACTGTAGGAAGACGGTCCAATGTTGGCAACCATAATGGTTTTCGAATTACCTCCTAAGGAATCTGCAAACCGAGCAGTTGAAATAATATTATAAGGAGCCGATCAGCCACTAACAAATAACCATAAAAAGATATCTAGCTCCACGGTCCCAATTCATTTTAAAAAGCCATTTTAGAATTTTACGCTTATGTTTATTTCTAAAGTGGTAATACAACCTTTGAATCATCATAGACTCCAAAGGACAAACCTTGAAGCAGTCTTGTAAGTTTCGAATCTCTATAGGGCACGTGAGTACACTTTTCATCCACCAAGGCAGAAATAACATTTCCTAGTGTATGCAGGCTGAGATTGATTTTGGTGGCTTCGATAAGGCGCTCGCCCTTGGGGTTGCGAATGGAGGAGTGTGAAAATTGAACAGTCTTACCTCGGAGTGGGTCTTGCCCTGGCGTTCGCTGCCTGCTAGATCAACCAAGTTAAGTTTTCCCATTCGAATATGACTCCGACCATCAGGATCAACCTAAAAAAAGTCAATTGCACGTTTGTACAATCAATGCGTACCTCACAGCTTTCAACTGTGACGATAAAGATGGCATGAGATCGAGAGCTTTGTTCATTCATAATCGTAGCTCTGTATTGAAAGAAAAAAGCCCGGCGTAAGGAGAATCTGATTGATACGTACCCAACGGACCGATTACTGTGGCCAATACTCATAAGCTTTTCTATCTCTTTGATGTTCCTTGTTAACACAGTTGAAAGGTCCTAAACCGATACACAAAAGATTTCTAATGATGATTTTAATAAACCCTGATTAGAAGCAATTAGGCCGAATAATTAACTAAGACATCACCTAAACAATGCTACCACACAACTGCCTGAAATTTTCATGGGATTGCAATTTTGGCCGCTCTTCGATCCAATTGTGAAGGAACACTATCTGCCGTCTTACATCGATGGTTCCACCATTAACTCCCAAAATAACTTAAATAAAGTAAGAAGCGCGATGCAATCTTTGGAATTTGTAGGAAAAGAGGAGGATACCCCTACCCTAAATGGCGAAATTATTATGCGTCAGTAATTCTCAGTGTACAAGATTTCATTCAGTAGCTAATTTTGTCAATGAAAACTCGCGTGCTCACAATTTCCCCAAAAGTGCTTTAACGAAATATGCCCTTAACAAACACTGTCACTTTTAAGGCAAGTCATTGGCCCTTCATTAGTAAAACCTATTTTTTGGTCTATTAATTAACGCGTATAACAAAAGACTACCTTCAACGATACACCTTTGAGTCGTGACGTAAAAATGTACCACTCCTAACAAAAGACAAGCTTTGTATTTAAATTTCAAGTAAACTAGATGCCATCAGAATTCTAATATTGTTACAATCAAAAACAAATCTCAGCAAATTGTCGAAGCAGAACGGTATTTCTTTACTTGTGGACCCAAGTACGCAGGATCTTAAGTTACCACGGTTTCTGCTACAATCCTGATAAAGTGTGCATTTGCTATCATCACAGCTTCCCATCCCTCCTCCAAGCTGGTAACCCGCTATTCTTTCGCGCGTGTTTGCCTGGTTAAGCATTCAGGGATGGCTCGAAAAGCAAAACTGTTAATAGTGAACTGATTCTAGCTGACTCAATTCCAGCTCTTATTTACAGAATAACATAGCACTCCGGGTAGGTTAGTCAGACGTACTAAATACAGTCTGTTCAACAATAACCAATTAAAGATTTCAGGAAATTAGCAATATATAAAGATACCTTCTCAACTCAAAGATTACGACTAAGTGAAGATAATTATTAATCTCATTGATTGACCTTCATTCATCATCGACCAAAATAAGAAATTAGTGCACATTTTATGACACGTGAAAAAAGCCCCAGAATAAGAAACTAATATAACGGTGACGAAAACGTAACGCCACTGGCATTTCTGAATACCAAAACTTGCTACCCGTTGAGCTCCTGGTGGCAAATGTAATGTGCAATATGCACAAGTTGTTACTAGGAGATTTGCGTAACTCACTGTGACATGAACCCCTCGATCCGGAGTTTCTTTTACCTTTAGTCGTTTTGTCGAATCTTTTCTAAGTAAATCACGTATTTCTTCCTTGTATATTTCAAGATAGCTAGCCCGAACCAGGAACTGGGTCGATTTTGATCCACTAACATAGTTAAAGATGTGATGAAATGAGTTCGGCATGAGTCCACGTAAGTCAGGATCATCTTTGTCACCTATGTGTGTTCGGTTCATCATATTTGAACAACCTTGAATAGTGAAGGTTTTCCCAGTGCCAGTCTGGCCATATGCAAATATAGTCCCATTAAATCCCAGGAGAACACTTTGCACAATATCATAAAATGATTTTTCATACAATTCTCTTTGGGATGAGCTATGAGACAAGTAGGTTCAGCACAGGGCTTACCGTGGACCATAAGCAGTATCAAAGGTGTAGACGACAGAGTCACCCACAAAACCTTTTTTTGTTAATTTAACTTCCACACAACCTTTGGATTCGTCGACAGAAACACAACTTGAGTGAAGCATGCTCGCCGAATATGATAGCAAACCAAACCTCTCATAGCCCGCATCAATTTCCTTTCTATCCATTGGACGACATCTGACAATCACCTTTACAGATTCCTGTTTATCATCATTCACTCCCATTTCTACTTTCAAAATTAATGATCCCCACCAAGGCAGCGCCAGCCAAAATAAAGACTAAAACTTACCATTTTGTATGGTCGGATGTTTGCGCTACATAGTAAAACACCAAGCTGAAATTGCTGTGAATTGTTTATCAGCCCCCAATATGCACAAGCATGTTTCTAAATTGATTATAGCAGATTAATGCCATATCTCAGCTTTTAAAATTGATGAATTACGAATGTGGTTACTGACGCTCGTTCAAAGACGTTTTGTAGTGAATGAAAACTGATTGGACGCTGTACTATTATAAGCTAGCTGATTTATGCCTTTTTTTGTAAAGAAATTTTACAGTTTAGCACGCAGAAATTGTTTTAACTTCTCCTCACTAAATGCGGCTTATTCGTGGTTCCTTCCGTACTCAACGTAAAGGTGGTACTCAGGTCTGGTTTGGGACTACGTCGCAAAAATGGGGTCGATATTCCGTTCAGAAGAAATGCAGCTTTCTCAACTTATCTTACATACTGATTCCGCCTATATGTGCATCGCTCAATTAGGGGAACTAGGTGTTGTTCAAATTCGCGATGTAAGGCAACCTTGGTCCAATTTTTGCTAGACAACTCCTGAAGTTAATGCCTTTCAGCGTAAATTTGTTGACGAAGTGCGTCGCTGTGATGAAATGGAACGAAAACTACGTAAGGATTGCGATTCCTTACCGTATAGGCTACATTGAGAACGAACTTCAAAAGGACGCTTTCCCTATTTTCGAACCTGATGAAGTTCCCAAGGCACCACCTCCACGAGAAATGTTGGATCTCGAATCTAATTTAGATAAACTTGAAAATGAGTTAAGAGAGGTGAATTTTAGTCTCGAGCAAATGAAGAAGTCCTTCATGGAACTAACTGAACTGAAGATGGTCCTTCGTCGCGCTCAACTATTCTTCGAAGTGGTATTTTCTGAAGTTTTCGATTGTTTGGAAGAAGATTGTGTAGATGTATGTCGTTTTTCTTCGCTTTAGGGCTCCTACGAGGTCAACATGAATCTCGGCGGTGGGGACGAAATGCTTGTGGAGATTTCTGAATCTCGGGACTCGAGAGACCGGCGCTCCGGGTAAGGCCCTTCTTACATGGCAACCTAAAACCATTGTTAAGTGTCATCGTCTTGTTCTTTGCGCATGACTTGCTCATTCGGCTTGCTTCTCAGACATAACATCCGCTTCCCACTCTAAATACCAACACTTTCTTCTTCTCTGTGTCGTTTGTCATTGATGGGTTTATAGCTACATTGAAATGGTCCCTCAATCGGATGATTTCGACGTTGGTTTTCGTCAAGGTCATACCACATCTGCAACGTACAGCAGTCACCATGTTGAGTGAGTTTTTAGGTGTATTTAATTAGTCTTTGTCCAAAATTGTGCGTCTGTGGCGGAGATTGGTCACATTAAGGAGGACTGTATAATAGATTCCGTGATTCTCAACCCTTAACTGTCAATCGTAGCCTTTTTATCTGCATCAAATTTGTATTGTTAAGTCTATATTATCCATGCTGCAGTTTTGTTGCTGGTGTGATCATCCGGGAGCGGACCTTACCCTTTGAAAGGATGCTATGGCGAGCTTGCCGCGGAAACGTCTTTCTCCGATACTCTGACCTCGAAAGCATTGAAGACCCCGCTACAGTAGGCCATTCTAATGCTGTGCTAAAGATGTGCCAATTTTCATGCTTGAATCGCTGTCAATTTTTCTTTATGTAGGGTGAACTGTTGGATAAGTGCATGTTCATCATTTTCTTTCAAGGACCGCAGCTTCGATCGCGAGTGGAGAATATTTGCGATGGGTATGGTTTCATATTGGCTGGTTCCACATGGTTTTGGTGCTGTGATGATTTTTACTTGAATGTGGGCTTAGCAATGCCTTTTAGTCTAGTTAGGTTAAGTACAATCTATCCGTGTGAATGCTCACGCGTATATGCTTTCACATTTCTTTTATACAATTAGATACTCGATTACTCAAGAGTGTATTTTTAACGCTTGTTAATCTTTCACCTATACTTTCGAGCCATGTTATTTATCGTAAACTAATGTTTTATGTGGTTGGAAAAGCGTATTAGTGAAAGAAACTTAACGTTTGTGCCTTGTTTCATCACATAGTTGCTAAAACGATTTAATTGAATGAGTGATTGATCAAATTTGAGCACAGTGCCGCGTTCCACGACCTTGCTTAAGGTCATATTTAATGTTGGTTCAAATGTCTCGTAAGATTATCTTTGTATTTTTGTAATCTTTCCATTATTTTAAGTAAAATTCTTTCTTAGGATTTTAAACTATTGAAACACGATTTTTATTACTATCGCCTGTATCCGTGTATTTGTTGCCACTAAAAGATTCAGCAAACCAGCTGCTGTTTTACCTTATTCTCGAAAATCCTCACAGTGCCCCTGAAGGTTCGCTTATAGATCGTTAGAGATTGTAGATTTGCATTTTTCGTGTTTCTACTCTCATCGTTTGAATTCATTTACACTTCTCAGTGGTGTGTTAGCGCAGGTTGTTATTTTCTGTCTAGTTTCCATGCAACTCTCTACGCCTGCCCTGACACTCAGGAGAAACGTCAGGCGATGTTGCTGGACGTCACTAGCCGTCGGGAGGACCTCCAAGTGGTGCTTAACCGCACCTTGGAGCACCGGGCGCGCGTGCTGGAGACAGCCGCGCAGAGCTTGCGCAAGTGGTTTTACAAGGTGCACAAGATGAAGTCGGTGTACCATGTATTGAACCTCTTCAATCTCGACGTTACCACCAAATGTATGGTAGGCGAGTGCTGGTCCGCCGTCTCCGACCTAGATGCTGTGCAGATAGCCCTACGACGCGGCATGGAGCTCTCCAACTCCAGCCTCCAGCCCATCCTCAACCGACTTCATACTACCGAAAAACCTCCCACCTTTCATCGCGTCAATAAGTTCACGGGCGCCTTTCAGAACATTGTCGATGCCTATGGTGTGGCCAAGTATCGGGAGGTGAATCCGGCTCTCTTCACTGTCATCACCTTCCCCTTCCTGTTCGCCGTGATGTTTGGTGATGCTGGCCACGGTGCTATCATGTTTCTAGTGGGACTCTTTTTGGTTCTCTGGGAAAAAAAATGTCTTGTAAGTTCTTTCCTCTATCCTAAAACATCGTACCATTATGTGCTGCACGATTGTTCCGCGGCACTTCAATTAATTAGTATGCATTTTGTAAAGTAGGATGGAAATTACTCAAAAGGCTTTTCTCTATTGATCTTGCCAGTAATGGTGTGGATTTATTTCAGAAATGATGGTTGTCACAATAGCATCTTTTTACGTTACTACTTTGTTCGGCTTAATTGTAGATGAGACTAAATTAGTCCCAATTTCTCTTATGCGTCCTTTCTACTACCAAGCGTCATGGGGTTTGATAATACACCTTATGTCCTGCTAGTCTTCAACTGTCACGATGACCCCGATACTGGATACTAAGTTTAGGAATTTCCTTTTTGGAGTAAAGTACTTATTCATTTATGCTGAACAGTGACGGTGATGCCAGCTTATTAGAGGCCATGTATTATAGCGTGAAAAATTAGTCGTTAAACTCACACTCTCATCAGTAGAAAATAAGTGCACGGTTTGATTGAATCCAACGCCTGCTACTGCACAGGGGTTTCTCTTCATTACACTGGTGTTGTTAGGCAATGAACTTGTTTGGTGTTATTGAAATTACCAATCACGAAGGGTGAGTTTTTTGTTGGCGTGATTTCTCACGATTTTGGTTTACTGAATTGATTTATGTAGAAAAATAGCTAACGCACTTTGCTGAATAATTTACCGTCCAATTTTCATTTATTTTTTTTTGTTTGAATAACATTGGATGGATGATTAGAAGAAGCTTTCACAATGAACTGTATTTTTTGCATCATAACAAAATGCCAAACTAGTGGTGACCACGTGAACGTACTACTTCAGATAGCTTAAGAGTCTTACAGTAACTGGTGTAATGTGTCCGTTGTAATTTTCTTTTAAAGGCCACACTTTTGTGCGTGAAGCTCGTTTTGATAAAGAGAAGAACTTTCGTCCTATTAAATTGTCTTAACGTAGAATTTTCGCCTACTGGTAAACTTAACTATTTATATTTGTAAATTGATTAGCATTTAACTAGATGAGTAGCGCACTGACTTTTGTAAATCGCAGACAAAGAAGATAAAGGGTGAATTGTGGGACACGTTTTTTGGCGGTCGGTACATAATCCTCCTGATGGGCGTCTTCTCAATCTACACGGGTCTGATCTACAATGACATCTTCTCAAAGACCGCCAACATTTTTGGCTCTTCGTGGTTCCCCCTTTTCGACAACCGCACGTTGGAGCGTGGTGAGGCTCTGCAGCTGAATCCTGACACGCATATCGGCGCAGACGCCGCATCAACTGGCATGTTCGCCGGCTTCCCCTACCCCTTTGGTCTGGACCCCGTATGGCAGGTCTCACACAACATGATCATGTTCACCAACTCACTCAAGATGAAAATGTCCATCATCCTCGGTGTGTTGCATATGCTCTTTGGTATTCTCCTCGGTGCCTTCAACTACAGGTAAGTCACTTCAGTTTTTTTTTTCGATCATTTGCCACTTGGTTCATACGGCAATGACGCTCACTATATTTGTCGAATCCGGTGTTGTGCTGGGTGCTTTCGCTCAAAGGATTCTCACTTTTGGAGCTTTATAAATCATGAAGAAATATAAGCTATGCAAAGTGGGTTGTATCTCCAGTAGTACTGACATTTGCTCCCTTCGTTAAGTTGAACGACCCCAAAAAGCGCTAGCAATGGCTAAAATCTCATGAAAATCGCAATCATGTCTTTGGCATACATTAACTTTGCTTAGTAGGGAATCAGCGATTTCAACCTCAGAGTAGTACGAACTTGCAAAATTACAGCTTATTGTTACGCATTTCAACCAATAATTCTTTATATTTGGCTAAACACTAATATATCATGTATAGCAGCATTTTCCACACTACCTTGCACAAGAATTTGAAATGCTCCTGTTAGCTAAGCTATCTTTCGCATCTTGTGGAGTTTGAAACTCGGTGAAATTACAAAGGCAGTGTTTTGTTTTTTTTATCTGTCGCTTTCTACAAAAGTCCCCGTTCGTCTGCATCATTTCCCCTTTTCGTAACTCGCGATTGACCCTACAGCACAGTTGACTCTGAAAATCCTGTTACTGACCTGCCTTCAGTAACATACTTATTGATTAGGTGAAAATTTGAGTAGATGTTATCAAATCGTAGGCTTGACCAATGATTCTTGGCTTTATCACACCGTTTCTGAATCATCAGTTGGGTAGTTTTAATCAATGCTCCACTTGCTTTATGTATATAAGTCATTTTTTGGTTTATTAAAGCTCAGAACATATATTTCGTGGCAGAGCATATCGAATGGACGTGACGAGCATTTCGCAAATTTAATCATTACCCAACTTTGTTTTACGCCTGTCAGAATAATTTGTTTTTTGGTTCCAGCAGCTTCCTCCCTTTACTCTAACCGTCGTGCACTTTGCTTTTTTGAAGTCGAGTAGTTTAGGCTTATCTGAAGGCATCTTTTCGAAAAACGTTCTGTTTATCCTCGAACTAGTAATTCTTTTTCTGATTTTCATGTTAAAAGACCAAGCCAAAATTGGGGTGAATTGGCTTTGAGTTTAGGAGGCCTGATGACTTGGTCAGCGAAAAGTTCAATCACAATCGCTTAATATTTTCGCCGCTTTTGGGTTTTCCTTTCAGTGGAATGTTGATATCTGCGTTACAGCGTTCACTTCTACGCCTAGGTTCTTCAAAAACTCCCTGTCGATTTACTGCGATTTGATTCCTGAAGTTCTCTTTATGCTCTCTATCTTCGGCTATCTGGTGTTCATGATCTTTTACAAATGGATCGTTTTTTGCTCAAAAGATGCTGCCACGGCTCCAAGCCTTCTTATTTGTGAGTTACCACATTCTGCTCGTGAAATTAGCTACTGTTTGGTCCCAGTTTTTTATGCCTTGTATACTCGTAATCGGAATTCTCAATTCTTATCATCGTCGTTTTCGGCCAACAAAATGCATGATGTGTACTTTAGTAAGTCATGTTTTGCTCTTCATTTTGCTTTTTAGCCCTCATAAACATGATGAAATTTGACTACGAAAAAAAGGACGATACGCAATCCCTCTACAATGGGCAGGTATATGATAACATATTGATGTAATCAATAAACATTGTTTTCACCTTTCCTTCCACTGTTAATCTCACTTTTCACCTTGGAAGTTTTAGTTCTCTTGCTCCATTGATGCACTTATCTAATCTGTTATTCTTGCCCTTTGCCTTTTTCACATCCTCTGCCTTGTTTCTCTGTCTTCCACCTCGTTTCGCTGTGCGAATTTGAAAGGAAGCGGCCTCACTAGAGTCTTGGTATTGTGTACTCTTGTTAGTGGTACAAGTAACTAATTTTCATTCCTTAATCGCTTAAAAGTGAGGTTTTTCCTATCCTCAGATTTAAAAGCAGAATTTTTTTTCCATCTAGCTTCTTCACCACCTATAAATCGTTAGCTTTAACCTACGGAATTTGTTGGAATTACAAGTCGGATTTCCTTGATAATGCCTTTTTCGTATTATGTACGCCGCTAAAATTTCTGTTCTTTAAATGGAATCAATCATCAATAACTGCGAACAATTTCATCTGCAGCCAATAGTCCAAAGCATTTTGGTGGTGATAGCCCTGCTCTGCGTGCCCTGGATGCTTTTAGCGAAACCGCTCATCCTTCATCGGCGTCACAAGTTTCACAGGACCGTAAGTCGCCGCCGTTTTCACACACTTTATGGCCGTTTAAAGTTTATTATCACCTTCATACCTAATTGAATCTAACGAGCTGACTTTTTGAAATTCAGCCTCCCTTTCTCAATTCGAATTCGTCCCCACAGTCCTGTTGCCTTTGGTGTCTTCAAGTCTCCCTTCTCGTCCCTGTAGATTGTTGACTAATGAGTTGTTTGTTAGCTAATTAACCAGAATGATCTCGAAGGCCTTCATTAAAGGTTGCTTTTGCTGAATTTTGCAGCTGGCCGCGATTCGCTCAGCCGGATTTGGAGAGTTGGGAAACACGGGCAACTCTGTGGTGGGGGCTGGAACGAGTGACTACGTGCCATTTCGCAGTGAGGCCTCGCCTAAATTTGAACCACCCTCCGATCCCGAGGTGCCACACGCTAGCGGTGGACATGGCGACTCCGAGGAGGTAACATCCCTGGTCTGGACTTAAGCTCTCTTCGTTACCTCCTTATCTATGCGCCTTCCCGTGTCGTGTTTTGCAAATTATTGCCCGCTTCATACACTTGCTTGTGCATACTAGGCTTTGCAATCATTGATATCACATACGTTCTCTACTGGTAAGCATCAGGACGATTCCTTGTGTACTTTTTGGCTACATTGCACTAAGTGGGATGATTATGGAGCGAACTTGAGCTCTCTTTAGAAGTGATCGCCCAAAAGTTATGTATAGCTCTTTTACCGTTACAGTTTGTGTTCGGTGAAGTGATGGTGTATCAGGCCATTCACACAATAGAATTTTGCCTCGGATGCATCTCTAATACGGCCTCCTACCTTCGTCTGTGGGCCCTCAGTCTTGCACATGCTCGTAGGTTCTCACTCATCTCTTGTATTTCGATCATTGTAACTGCTTATATCAGGAGAAATTGCATACGATATCAACTAGGAATCGGTCTTAGCTTGTGACCCTTGTCATTCAGAGCTGTCTGAGGTACTCTGGGAGATGGTGATGATGAACGGCCTCAAGGTGAATGGCTACTACGGTGGTATCATCCTCTTCTTTGTGTTTGCCGCGTGGGCTGGCCTCACAATCGGTGTTCTGGTCCTTATGGAAGGCCTCTCTGCCTTCCTTCACGCTCTTCGTCTTCATTGGTAAGGGTTTCAATTCATGTACATATCCGCTTCTTGTTACGTTTTTTTTCGTATTTCGGTTTACCGACAGGCGACCACTGAAGCAACCTTAGCCATGACTCATCGTTCGTTTGACCTTGTTTATATGTGAATAACCTTGTCAGTTTAAGTGTTTTAGACTGATGAGGTCCTTTGCCTTTGGACGTTGTAGGGTGGAATTCCAGAACAAATTCTACGAGGGTTCGGGCTACCTCTTTGAACCATTCTCCTTTGCCAACATCGAAAAGCTCAGTGTGGAGTGACTCAGGAACTTTGGCAAAAGACACGTTTGGGACATGATTGACATCCCTCTTCATTCGTCTTCTCTCCCTTGTCCTTTGGCGAATTTCGTAGGCCTGTTGCCGACTCCTCTGTTCTGACTTGTCTTGCACACTTCGTTGCTCATCCCAACTCTGAATTCACTTGACCTGAATAAACCTTACACCTGAATCGGATTCCACTTTTCACCTATAGTTTCATTCTTAATGTCAACACCTGATCTTGGGCAAGATGTCGTAAGAGCATTATTGCCGTGACCTAACTAGAACAGTCTATCATCAGCAGGACGTTGAGTTGAGTCGTTCGTAGTCATCAGCCACGGAGTACCTTAGTCACTCACTATTTCTGATTCCATAGGAAAATGAAGCTTGAAAGCTCTCCGACGCTGATATTTCTCTTTTCCCATTCGTTGCCACATGGATAGTTTGTAACGATAGAATGTCTAAAGTCGCGGTCTTTCCTATTCTGGCTCATTTGGAATACTAATGCTTTACTTATTGCCTCTTGGATATCAACTGGGACCCTGAAAACGGACGAGACTTTTGGACGTTCATTCCAGTTTTTATACGTTGATCCAATTGCCCGCTACGAAGTCTGACAAATTAGAGTGAACCCACCCACTTAGCCTCCTGTCGGGTTTAAGTAACAAACAAGTCCACTTGGTCTGATAGGAACGTGCGCTACTTCAAACAAAACACGTTTTTATTAAACAAGCCGGGAATAATGTACAAAGGATTCACATGAATGTAGCTAAGTTGATGGATCAGGGGTAAGATTTCTTAAGCAGTACCGCATCTTCTCAATGACATCATTGCATTCTTCTAACGTTTCCGCGGTCATTCCGTTGGCAAGTATTTCCAAGATGTTCCTAAAGCAGGTTTTGTACTGGTGCAGATTTGGAGTTCGTTTCTGTGGTCCCACCTCCATCGCTCCATGGTTGTGCCACAGTTCGTGCCGAAAAATCGTGATTGACCCGTTTCTCTCGACTGCACCGACATTTGCTCTGCAATCTTCCCTAGGCGATAGATAGAAAGTGTTTCCAATCATGAGCACCTGAAGTGTTAGTTACCCAAAATACTGAACAACCTACGTTTGGGAACAATTTAGGAAGGCAAACGTACTGTCAATGGAATCGTAGTGACTAAAGCTTCGAGCAAATCTGCAGTCAGTTTTCTGCATAGAAAGTCGATTGCTATTGGGAACCCTTACCGTCTCAAATTCCTCGAACTTTGACAAAAAAGCTTCCATAGCCATGACAAGATGATTAGAGGGGAAAATCTCACGGAAAATTGGGTCCGTATTGAATGTATCGGATGTGGGGAGTATCCTTTCAGACAAATGATTGTGTCGAATCCTTACAGCGTCGACTCGCAGCTTCCTCTTTTGCACCTTCAGGCGGAAGCATGCAGTACAATTGGTGCGAGTCTTGTGCTCGCATTCAAAGTTGACACTTCTGTACACCAACTGCTTGATTGACTGCGGCGCAGGTAATTTGAACTCTACTGGGTCTCGCATAACATATCGACACCCAATCAACTGTGCAGAAAATATGAAACGAACGTTAGTGACAAGCTTTCATCTGTCATTTCAAACTGAGCTTATGATCGCGCTAGTCGGAAGGTGGATATTTCACACATCTCTGAATTATGATCGTATTTTTTCAAAAAATAATTCCACTCAATAAAGGATACATTGGATATACTACGTTTCGTATTTTTTCCATGCTTCAATAAGGTACACGCGAATCGAACTCTTCCTATGCAAAACGTTGAATTGTCGGTTAATCCATTTTTGGGAATACTAAAAACCTAGATCTGCTTCTCACCTCAACCATTCCATTCCAGCAGTCATAGTTTAAGATTACTGCAGTCAAGCCATCCTGTATTTCACCTATTTACCACTTTATAGGACGGTGATTTTAAAAATCATTGAGATCAAATACACGGCATGAAACAAGAATTGGAGCATTCGAGAGAAGAGGGCCGATAAACTTACCAGCTCGTAACCACGAAGGTGTTGAAGGAAATCATCGAATGACGAATAAGCCGCACTCTTAATGGCATTGGCGACAACCTGACGCTCGGTCATGTTCGTGAATACTGCACGTCAGGGCAATATTTTACCAATGGAAACTTCGTTGACTCACGCCTCATTTCTATTGGCTGGTGGACTGCAGCCTGATCCAATGAATGATGCGGTTTTCAGGGTTAGTCAACCACTGACCAGTCCAATGAGGTAAACCGGCCCCACTACAAAGTTCATCAATGATATCACTACCTTCCTCTGATACAACTGTCACCATTCCCTGGGGAATTACCCTGTACTGATTGAGATTTGAAGCTGGCTCAGCGGTTGATGCAAGTTCTCCTTCATTGCTTCATGGTTGGGCCAGAGTGTGATTCGAGAAATTGTGCTAAACTCCTTCCTCTCGCCTGCTCCAATATTAGCTTTTCTATCTTCCCTACAATGTTAAAAAGGACTTCTTTTTAGATGTAAAAGCTTGCTTTAACGCAGTCAATTTTACGCAGTCAATTTCTCCTTCGTCTAATTCCTCATTGGGATGTCTAAATACAACTTACGCTTCAGAAAAGTAGGGTTGTTTTTACTGGTTTCATAAGCATACTCACCCCGAATAAACTTACATCCGGTTTTCAACTAAAAACGTCACCGAAAATATTACTTACCCTTTAAAACTAATCATAATATATCAGCTACTTTTCAATCCACAGGAAAATTCAGTTGGAGACAAAGATAGTTTGGAACTCTAAACTCCCATCTAGTGATTAGGTTGAATTCGTAAATGAATGATGCGCACTTTTCTATTAATCAGGCTCAAATGGAACCAGGCTACACCCCAAATCAACTCCTCCTTAGATCAGTTGTTTTTAATCTCAAATTAACATTCAATCAACTGAAAAGTCTATGGAATTCATTTATTAACAAAGAAGTTTGCGTTAGGTTGAATTTCACTAATCAATCAATCGCTGTCCCATCATTCCAGGTTACCGTATCTGCCCTTAGTGGATATCAAAAAACTAGCTACATTTCCTATTTAACAGATTTGCCTTCAGATTCCCTCATTGAGCCCATCCTAAGGGAGTTTTAGAATCAACTTTGATATCTTCATTTAAACACGCAAAAGAACCAGAGCAATGGTGAAGGTAGCAACTTGCATTCCCGAAGATGGTGAAGGAGCACATTGCATAAAATGAAATCAGTCATGCTTGAGGTAGCATTTGCCTGGTTTATAGAATGACTTGCGGCCGACTCGTCCTGGATTAGGTCCAACCAGTGGGGCACTGGACTTACAACCACTCGCTTCATTTGATGCCCTCAGATTAATGACATGATTCGAGCCGGCAGATATTTTAGAAAGTCGCGTGATACTGACGCAACAGCTAACTCTGTTGTGCCTTGACTCGGCATGATGTCAAACGTGCTGCGACATGAATGTCTCCCCTGTGGCTAAAATGTCGGTCATCCTTTGACCTTAATCTAGTCCGTAAAAAACCACAGTAACTATTATCTGCATCCGGGTTGCAGGCTAACAGTAAGACGCAAATAGGTGATGTGGGGTGAAGCTGAACACTTGCAGCGCTAATGACAAGTTGAATCACGAACTATGTTTCCAGGTCGCTATGTAAATACCTGAAGAATGGCTTGAAAACTAATTGCTACATGTGCAGGGCTGCGTAAGGTCGAAATTACCGACCATTTATGGCTTGACTCAAACACACCGCAAGTTATCACGCGGGAAGACGAAGTCATTCGTCTGATGCTGCGATAAAGCTACTGTCTACTTCTTTCGTGTTAGCCCACTTCATTGTTTACCTATTTCCCGATAAGGTCCGATTTCAATTTTGATGAAAACGCGTTTTCCATTGACGAACCTACTTGAACTTAAAAGAATACCATTTAAACAACTTTTTACAAAGGTGCTAAATCAGGCATTAACGCTTTTACATCTACTCACTCCGAGTAACAGCGGTCAGAGCTTAACTATTTTTGCGAAGGATATATTTCTGTGTGTCGATAATCCTTTCCATTAGTTTATGTGAATTTCGTGTCAGAATTATAGTCTCATTTGAAGTTTTAAAATGTTTGCAAATACTGAAGTACCCACCTTGTAATTAAAATAAAATAATAATTTATTTAGTAGACTTTCCCTAATTGTGACTCATAAAAATGCAGGCAATTGTTGGGATAAGAAAGTTAGAAAATCCTCAGCATTCCCATTGGTCGGCTGCCTGCCCATACTCTGGCGCAATGCCTGAAACACAAGACAGTCTTCTTTCCGTTGGGCTGGCTAAAGTGCTCTCAAACACTGGTAGCGTTTTAGCCATAATTTCAAGTTATATAATGGTGAAATTCAACGTCGGTTTTCGGGATGTGCTTTGTGGTAGAACCAAGAGTCCATGACCTTGCGATTAGTGCATATTGAGTTTTGGTGCAGTTACGAAATTTTGTAAACATCCTCAGTTGTTAGACGGTAGTAGTATACTCACCATGAATAGTGTTTCGCGTGGTAGTACAAACAATAATCTGGGCTATAATGGTCTTATTAGATCCATTAAATTCTTTGAATTGCATGATCCCAGATCACGTCAAAATAATGATCGCCAATAAATGTTTTTGAGCCCAAATTTGCAAATCATTTCTGTCCCTACTGCTAGCTTCCACAAGTCATTTCCACGAGGAACAAAGTTGGAGAGGATAACGACCGTAAATACGTTCGTATCTGCTATTTAAGACAGTCGATTACTAGGCAATTATGTAGCTCCCCGAGACTTCTCTGAAGACAAAAGAAGGCAATACTCGGGAAGGATATGTATATTTGGCATACAGAAGGGGTCGGGTCTACTGGCATGGCCCGAAAACTACCCCACCCAGCTAAGGTACATTGGCAGAGACCCTAGTTGGCCCCTTTGCCAAAACCAGGAGTTAAACCACCAACGTATTGCAAATATGCACAGCGGTTCCTAACTCTGTGCAGTGGTCACAAAGTATGTTAATCGACGTGATCATGCTTTACATAAATCGGCCACAAATAAGATGTCTCAAGCGTGAAAGCGATTCTGTTTGTCAGACGCGAAAAATCGAGTTAATTTTAAGTTTACTGCTACTCCAAAGGGAAAGAGATGCCTGGTTGAGGTTATTAAAACTGCTTTAATTCAAAAGTTTCACAAATCACTGTCAGAAAGTGAAGAGTGCTTGTGGAAAACTATTAGACTTTATATGAAAAAACGAGACGACCAAAACCAGAGGTTTAGCATGGAGGAATTAAGGAGATTAATCCTCCCTGTCCCATGCCCTATACTTTATTGACCTATTTCGACCGAATACTTGCCACTCTTTACACGGCAGCTAACGAAATAGCTACGCCTTGTCTATGGATCTCCCAGTAATATTTTACCATTATAAAGTTTTCCATAATGTCGAATGAATAATTTGATAGTTAAGAAATCATCTATTTTTCTATGGTATCAGAAGAGAGGATCGATTATCATTTTAGTAATAAGGGCTTATGAAACAGAGTATTTAAAAAGCAGCATGATTTTAAAAACTGTAGAGCTAATGTTAGTTTATTCTGCACCCGCTTCTGAAGTCATAGTTGTTTAAGCGCAATTTAAGTACTTTAACTTCAGCGACAACTTTCACGGAAAATAGGGATCATGTAGGAACTCCGCTCGTTAAAGCGGAGGGAATCGCATTGTTTGCAAGTGCCTTATTTACTATTACGTTTTCCTAAATAGGCGCAGTTACATTGACGGATTTTAAACCTGTTATGAGTTTTCTCAAATCAACTTTCTTTTATCGAGTGGTGTGACTAAAATTGGTGCACTTGATCAAATGGTTTTATCATGATAATGTGTTAAATAGTCCACTCTAAAAATGTAATGAGCAAAACAGATTGTTTTTCATCTTTGATTTACTTGACGTCAGGTTCTCAGGAAAAATTTCTGTTAACTCAGATGCGACAAACTCCAAGTGGCCAGTTACGTCGGATTGGAGAAATTTTGTCCTTCAGGTCTGGACTTCACTCAACATCTCACGTCATGCAGTGGTCAACTACACCACCCTAAACTACGACCAACCATGTACTTATGTCTGCCGTAGTGCTTTATACTTTCCTGGCCAAAAATAATTTCGGAATTTTTGTTCTGCCCTTGCCTTGGAGAAATTAGTTGTGATTTGCATGCGATTTTCCAAAAATTTGATCGTTAGCTTAATATTGGTAATTTTTGGAAATAGGATGGAAGCCGGATGGGCTTATCTCATAATTGATGGAGTGTTTCAAGTTATGCATTTTTATTTAGTGGAGCTTGGTGGATAAATTAGTGTGGCAAAATGATGGCAAACTGCAAACTCTGATGTAGTTCCCCAATCTGTTGATAAATTGCCCCGCACAAAAGTTCGACTCTGTTTCACAAAGAATCTCAAACATTTACGTATTTCAATTTGTAGGGACAGGTCCTGTGTCAAACGGTACCAAGGTTTGTGAGTGTAATCTGACAGGATCCCAACGAGTCGGTGCTTTCAATAGCAATAGGTAGTTCGATGGCACAATGCTAGACGAATTTGGGTCAGGGGTTTATATATATGAGCACAGCAAAGCCGAAAATACAGCCATCCGCGATCACATCCGAAAGCTCATGGGTTAATAAGACACCACCTTGACAGCAGACCCAAAGTGTGCGAAATCTATTTGGTCGGCTGAAAGTCATACATAATTATTTTATGCTTCTTAACACGATATGATATTCGTTCTATTTTGCATACATGGCTGGTGGATCACATCGGTTAAGATTAAGACAGTTTAGCGCAAATGCGATTTCGAGACTGCTAATTTGAACAGTCATAACAATTTTGCAGAACGAAAGTGGGAGAAATTTTCAAGTGACAAGCCAAGCAGGGCTTTAAAATCATTGCCTGACTTCATGTAGAAATGGAATGAAATTATAGTAGCCGGAGAATGATTTCCCCTCTTCACCTTTGTTCGTTGCAAAGTTTTAATTCAAAGTACGCTACAGAATATTTGTAAAAGCGTTTAATTTTGCACCACCTTATTAATATAAGATCAAATAATGCCTTATTAAGCTGCACCCAATGCAGTCCTGCTGTTAATCATAGATCAGTTGACAAAGCTGCATCAGGCGAAAAAACCTTAGATAAAGGGGTACATCTGAGGGCAAGGCTTTGCCACTGACTGCTTGGAGGTTGAAATACGTAAAGGTGAAACCAATCAACTGCCTTCCATGTACACAGAGAGAAAGCAACATGCGCTACCCTAAACAAACATTTTTCACCGGCTTAGTAACACTTCCCACAGGAAAGCTTACTGCGTATCCAAAAAAGGCCCACAGGTTTTTGGAGAAACTATAGGTGCGTGTACATGCACTCTCAACTCTGATCGGTGGGGCTCTCTTGTGTCGCCTACTCGCCAAATAATTCTGTTTAGGGAACAGAAGGATAGAAAAAGTAAGTATTTCCTTGTTCTAAGTGGGACGAGGTCGTTGACTGAAAGTACTTTGAAACAGTTCTCCCAATTGCCCACACTTTAAATTTGGACTGACCATCATTATTCTTAAGTGACTGAAACTGCTGTTATGGTAGATAACCGGCAATTAATTGGAGATCACCACGGGCTGCTGATTTCTCAAATCAAGTTATTTAAAGTCCTTTGTCACAGCCCAATCGACAATATGCGCACGCATTCGAAGACCACGCAGCACCCATGAACTTAAAAATCAAGAACTGGCAAACGACCGCTTAATTATGGACGACGACAAGTACCTTAAACTATAAAAACTTGCAGTTTCAGGATTAGTTTTGTCAATCGTCAAAGTCAAACTTCGTTTTCTGCTCAACTGAGGAATAAGCAGAAACGAACGCTAGAACAACTACCCTTATTCCAAACCTTCCAGTAAATACGCTGAACAGGATCTGGCATGCAACGATTCAATTACTTGCATGCTGGTTCGATGTGTGGAATACTACCACGGAAATGTATCCCATCTCCGCAATAAAGTGAAAGAAGCGCTGCTGCGGAACCATATGCAAGCATCACAAAATCCATGGCGTACAAAAGGCTCGTTAACTTGGTTTAGCACCAATTCGCAAGCTTAACTAACAGATATTGGCTAACCGGGCTAATTGATGTATGAAATATGAGAGAGTGCATAGGAGGGCTCTCTTTCGTGCATTTTCAACCAGAAGCTCGATCCCAAGAGTAGTCGCAGGACAAAAGTATTCTCATTCAAAAGAAGGTATCTAATTTCTCAAACCGCTTGTTTTTTTAATCGCGGCACTAGCTGGAATAAAAGAAGAGCAGATTATACGGGTAGAAGAGAAAATAGTGGGGAGAGGAATGGCAGTTGGTGAGGGCAGAAAGAAGAGTGACGGGTAAGTTACATCGATTTCAATATCGGCGTGGGGAATGAGGAGGAACTTACGTTGCCTCTTTGCACCCATGCTTCCACAACTCAGACACACGTACGCCCGCACGCACACGGAGAAAGTAGTATTATGCTCTAGTTGCATAGGGCGATGGTTGAAAGATGTCTCAGCGACAGTAGTGGTGGTTGTCGAAATCAATTTATGCAATGGGAAGCGCAAGGGTGGTGATAGTAGCGACAGTGGAAAGAGGAGGAGGGTAAGTGAAGTGAGAGTTGAGGGGCAAAACTAGGCACATTGAATCACTTCCTTGTCTTTCCTTCCTCCCCCTCGTAGTGAACAAAACGTGGAAAGACTACAGTAAAACGGCAGTTCAGCGGTCGAGGAGCAGGAGGTGAGAACCGTCTCTCGTCTCCACTCCCCCTTCCTCTCTACTGCTTCGTATGTATGTAGAGGGTGAAGAATGATGGATATTCTCTGTACAGGATGAAAGAGACGCACAAGTACTAAATATTTACAAGAGGTAAAGGGTAGATGGGTGGGTAAAAGGGTAGGCGGCTGGGAAAGTATAGGTCAGCCTAGGTGAGCCGTGACGACAACAATAGTAGCGGTGACAGTGGAGAGGAAGGCATTTGATAGTGTAGAAGCAGACAGAGAACTGGGCTGTCGAAGCAATGCCTGATCAACCACTGGGGGTGCGGCCTCACCGCCTAGACTATCCGAGAGCTGCTGGTGTAGACAGCGCTCCGTCAGACTGAAATACTCCCCCTCACCCCTATCTCCCCTCACTCCGCCGGTCTGCCACATCTTCGTCTCTGCCGAAGCTGTGATGGGAACGTCCGCTGCCAAGTGGTCCGCCGAAGACGGGTGGGAAGGGGGGCCGGTGGGTGGGGAAATCTCGTCCAAGATTACGTCAATTAGGAAGTCATGCTCCGAGAAGCAGCAGTCAAACTCACAATCGGTGTAGTAACTAACCGAATGTGGGCTGTCCGGTGGTGCGTATTGATAGTGACTTTCTACAAAGAGACGCAGAATGAGGGCCGAATGAATGACTTTAATCCGCAACCAAACTCGTACTTTTGATATCCGACCTCATCTCAAACAAGATAGAAGGTGTGAGAAACCCACAGCAACTTGAAAAGTCAATGAACGCCTTAAAGGAACTACTAATTTGCACATTTAAGATATAATTACAGCAATCAGTGTGAATAGGAGTGAGAAAATATGCATCTTTTTGGTTGCAAAACGCCTAGGTAGTTTTGTATTAAATAAAACACTAAAAGGTGTCTACTCACGTCCGTATTTCATCCCCGTGAATCAATATAGTTGAGCAAAAGCTAATTACAAATGAATTCCCTAAATTTCACGGCACGGTCCATGTGAAGGCTAAAAGCATCAAAAGTGCAAATAGTATTAGGTAAACTAAATTTGTTATTTTGTTAGAAATCGCATAGATTACAGGTGAATCCAAAGGGAGAAGTTTTACACGTAAGGGATGATTGGAACAGCCATTATAAAACGACAAGCGCCGAGGTGACACTTTTGAAATAATCCTCGCCTTTTCTCTTTCATTCTTTAACGGTGGTTTTTATTGCCCGATTTCTCCCGCAATCTGCCAATTTTGACCGTTGAGCTTACAACCCCAAACTCGGTTTGTGAAGGAGATGAAAGAGCCCCATGTATACTAACAGAACATCCATTAGGTGGTCTTGTGAAATAAGAGGTGGAGTTGCTTGAAAAATGAATTTTTAGAATAGACTAATGTATATCCTGTCTGCATGAATTAGCAATCACGCTTTTGGGGTAATTATTTGTGGCAGCAGTGTCAAATTAGAAAATATGGTGCAGGAGAGAATAGAATGAGAGAAGAGTTTAAGAAGACTAACAATCGAGTAAGAGTTTCGTTACAAAGGTATCATTCAATTTGCACTCATGTAGTCAAATCGAAGTTAAGAAAGCATAAAGTGAGATAGCTCGAATTTAATTAAAATAGTTCATAAGATTTTGAAAATCCACGTGGAATTAAAAACCATAAACATCGACTCTCCTCCAAGGCATCTATTGCACTAAAATACACAAAGAATTTATGATATTCAAAGGAAGATGGTTCATGGCAAAGTCACAAGTGAGTTAACGAGTCTCTAGTCAGTGCGTCCACAGATTCCAGGTAAAAGAAACTCATTTCCTTCAAAAATTGCTGAGTGAAATGAAAAAAATCCGTCAATAGACAGCATGCTTTAAAAAATGTGTTAAATCTTACTACAATACCTTTACCAAGTGGGTTCATTTAGGCAATGCAATTTATTAACGGAAAAAAGAAATCGAACCCACCCCGTTTAACTCACGCATTGGGTAAAGAGACACAAAATTTAGGCCAACACCCCATCGAGTGAATGCTACAGACTTCGGCTAATTTGAGGAAGAAAATTTTAACCTGAAAATTACATCATCGATGAGACATTGCTTGCTTGAATAAAACCCGAAAAGAATAATAGCGTCAAATATATTATTCACTGCGTGGAATATGTGATGCGTTATGGTCGAAGAAGTTAGTGATTATTTGGAGATAAAACTCCTATTCCGTTCAATTCCAAACTTTAATGAGAATAAGAGTAAATCTTATCAAGGGAAAATAGCATAAAAGTTCGGAGAAAATAGTGATTTACAGGGGCGAGTCGGGTCACAAACAGATTTTACACCTCGATAGGATTAGTTTTCAATAGATTATTTAAGGTCTCAAAAGAAGTAACAAAAAACTTAAAAATTTTTCATAACAATGAAACAGCTTACAAAGTTGTTCCATATGACGAGACGATACAAGCACAATGCACAAAACGAGTAGCGATACTTCATTCCATTCGTGTCGCAAAATCGGTGCAAAATGATATGAACTTCATGTTCAAGAACAACACCCAAATAAATTCCGTTATTTTCTCCTTTGGTACCACATTAATTTCCCATTTTTTCGTAACATAATTGACTTCAGGCTTCTGATTTCAACTTAAACAATTGCTTTTATAATAGGCTACGTTAATAAAATGACTGTATCAAGCTTCTTCCATCGATGAATAGAAGGTGGGAATTCTTTGCCGAGACAAGGATGCAAAAGCCTGTAGTTTGAGAGTTGCGCGCAAACGTCTAAAAGAGCAGAAGTGGAGCGCGCACCATCACAGAGGAATGTGGGCTCGCCACCGTTGGAGGTGGAGTCGGAGGGGTTGAAGTGGGGACAGAGAGTCTCCACCTGGGTGCACCAGGTCATGCAGGCGGGGACCCGCTCCAAGACGAAGATTCCAGTTGCCGCAGCCGTCGCTGCACCTGCTTTTGGTTGAGCCAGCAGTGTCCGGTGGAGGGAAAAGGAGGCGTTTCGCAGTTGATTATGTAATTTGGCGGTTTCGGTGGTTTTGATCGAGCTCGAAAGGAGGGAAGTGGTGGTCGTGGTCGTGGCGGTAGCAGCAAAGGCAGTTGTCGGCGTAGCCGACTCCTCGCCACCATCAAGAGGGGGCAATTTTGCCAGTGGATAGAAGATTGGGAAAGCTGTTGTACACACCCACGACCAGTAGGCTTTCTGTTTTATTAAAGATGAAGCCAATTAGTACCATTATTACTGTGATACATGGTTGATTTAGTGATTCTGCCGTATTTAACAAGGTAACAGTAGTGATAGGCAATCCAAAATCCGCCAAAATTTTCAACCAGTGTTCTAAAGGCAGGAGACAAGGGTTTAGAAAGGGTAATAGCAATGGAAAAAAAAACACGCATTAAACAAATAAAAAATGGCTGACATTTGATCCAGTAGGATCAATTGTATTGAAGTGAAATGAAAAGTTTTTGAGGACCCAATGAAAGAAACATGGTAGGAGGAACACCATCCAAAAATCAGATGTTCCCTAATGCTAACTTTAACGATGCTTTTTTGAGAAAGAAACGGAGGATAAAACAAGAACATTTGTAAATAGGCGAGCTTCTCAAATAACAACAAAAAAATAAATGCGTTTTTTACAAAAGCCTAAACACTTTATTTGGACTTTTAACAAACGATTTCATAGGACTTCATTAAAAGTCGTAATTATAGGGATTGTCTACTGCTAAGAATAGCGATGCATCCACGACCATTCGACCAAAAAGATGAATTCTCTACGAGTTGACTTTACAAATAAAATGTCCGTGACTGCGATGAGGCCTATAAATGGTGCTCTTTACTCTTAATTTGGCTGGCTTTCATGCTTTTGTTAATTGCTGACCCTTGAAAGGGAATGAAGGATAACAATTAATAATGATCACAAATGCATTGAGAAAAACACCTCAAGGGGTACATCATCATATGAACAATGCATTTATGATTTCAACTTTAGTCCATGTTTTTTACATTAAACAATTACCATATAAAATTAAAGGTACCAAAGTGGTTTGAACGCATCCCAGAATTCTCAAAATGTTTTTTCCGGGACTTTAGGTGGCAGAATCTCTCGACCAAAATAACACTGATATGACATTAGTGATGGAAATGTAAGTAAAGATAATAACTACAATTTGTCAGAATTTCCTTACGGTGCTCTCACTAAAGCATTTCACCCATTTGTTAAGCGCGGAACTGGAAAGGTTGTGAATACAGTTTTTCGTCGCACACACTGACGGCTAACTTAACCTAGATAAGTGGTTGCATTTAAAATATTCCGAATATACATTATAAAAAAAAAACATTTAAAGTACAAATCCAAGATGACCACACTTAGATCATTTTACAATATTCGCAATCCTAGAACTCCTAGCGGAAACAATTGAATAAGGGGATTCACTAAACTTTGGTAAAGGGAAACGTAAGTGTGAAAAAGTGCTCGAATAGCATCTATTTTAGTAATTTTTAAAGCAAATAAATGAGGTGGGAAGATGGTGAGATCTATCACAGTAAAAATCACCCAGAATCAGTAACACTTCAAGTAGGAATTGTAACAGTGAACAGCAACGAGAGAAACCAGTCCCGAGTTTATCCTACTATGGACGTAGATTAGTTTTACCAGAACCATTTCACAACATTTTGAGAATTGTTTGAGGGTGGTCATAAAGAGAAGCACACTGAAGGCTCTTTAGTAAGACGATTCATGCTCACATGAAATGAAAGACCAAGGCCGATTTACCGCCTGGTTTTATGGGAGCTAAGAGAGGAATTTTAAGAGACCACAGCCTCATGATAGGATTGCGCGCAGTTGTTTCATCAAAAGGCTAGGTTTATTTTAGTAGAGCTAAGGTACGACAAATTTTTCGTGTTTTGCTTTTAAAGAATACAATTGGGTGCCCTTCTTGAAATCTTGACCGATAGACCATTCTGCTTAAATAGCAAACAGTGCAAAACAAAAAAACGCTAAATGGGAAGGCGCGATCTGCACAAATCGAGCACATTGAATAGGCATACAATGGGAGCTTACCTTTATGCGAGACAGCGATGTATGCCATAAGCTTTAGCCTGTCTTAATAATTACCAAACCAGGCCAACGCGGCTTACTACACCAGTACCGTCACGTAGAGGGGATTGAAACTAACCAGTGTTGTTTCTTCGTCTTTCATGGGACCAAAATAACATGTACATTGAGGTAGCGCACTGCAAAGGTAGGAGTAGCCAAAGGAAGATGAAAAAATGTAATCAAAAAAGGTGCCGCTAAGTGGGATTGAATTCCCACTCTAAGGACAAATCGCTCCCCATACATTAACCGCAGTAGCAGTTAAATTTACGTAACAACGATTATGTGAAAATTAATATAGTAGAATCTCGAAGCATCCTATGTTAGTGTGAGGGTCTTTCAGCATTTCAAAAGCGAAATCCGAAGATAATTATATGCACGTTTAAAAAATTGTACAAAACTGAGTAGCTATTTCTATTATAGTACCGGAAATAATTGAAATACCATTCTTTTGACGGAAAGGAGTTCTGCGAGAGTTGTAGAGGCTTATTTTTCTTTATTCTCGTTGTTTTCAGAGGATTATTCCCCAGAATGACAATGTGGCAATTGTAAATTCTGTTCCAAGAAAAAATAAACATTATTCTAACTTCACTTTTCTATCCTTGAACAATCCATAGGTGTTGCTGACTGAAATGGCTTGACAACTGTGTTTGCTCTCATTAATTTCGTTCAAATGAAAAGACACGTAAGTAGAAGACTTGAGCAGTTGAATGCTATTTTGTTAACAAAAAGAATTGCTAACATGTTAATCGGTGATAATGAGTATGACTTTCAAAACCCTCAGTAGTCAAGATCAGAGGAATTGCTCAGCAAAAAGATAAGCGAAAACACCTCACTGATTTGCGAAATACGCTCTCTGATAAAATGGGCCAAAAATGGACCAATGTTAAACCGAATTTAGTGTAAAGTGGTGCAAAAGTCTATCTTTTATGTTTTAAAAAGAGAATTCCAAATGTTCACGATATCTTTCAAAGCTAGCTTTCGCTAGTTTACGTTTTACATAGTGTGTATAAAATTGCGCTCAGTTTTTTGCTCACTAGTACACTCTTAAATTCTGTAAAACACGTACAAATTGGCGCTGTTTACCACCCTTCTTCGTAAATACCCAAGACTTATGCAGGACCTTCAGATCCTATTTAAATGGGCCATGAAATTTGCATTCAAACGTGGAAGTGAAAAACTATAAGGGTGTCTGAGAGCGTGCTCTTCAAGTAGAGCAGCTATTATCCGAATACTGTACCTTAATCGTACCTGCTTATTTCTAGATTGTCATTTAAACCATCTGTCTGTCAAAACTCAATCAATAGGTGATGACATCTCCATATGCACTGAAAAAATTAACTGATTAAACCATTCGGTTTCATGCATTAAAAACATCAACATTGGGGTGAACTTGCTCCATAACGCGCTCTGACATCGCATTATTAATCAAAATGCTCTATCACACAGACAACCACGGGTAAAATGCTAAATTTTGTCTCTACACCAACATCGAGTCGCATGAATAGGTTAAATGTGATCTTTTGATTAAGGAATTACAGAACTCCCAAAGAAATACAAAGAAGAGTAGCATTAAAAGAAAGGTGCTGAAATCCGATAAAATGCAATGACAAGTTTTGCATAGGGTTGGAAATAAACTACATTTGCCCGCACACGAAGGATACGTCGTCTACGTTGCCGTCAATTAAAACAAAATCGCAGGAGATTTTCGGATTCAAGCAGAAATGAATAAAACAGCAGGACGAAAAGGCTGGTCCCTGTTAATCAGGTAAAACCTATTCGGTGGAAAAAGTTGCAAAACTCCAGTTTCTGACAAAGAGGAGCAATATGAACAACTCGTCCACCAAGCAACTCTCGGTGACACTATTAGAAGAACAAGGTAGTTTTTATTCCACGAAGAAAACCCGAAATAAGTCCTGAAATCGATTTCATCAGAAATTAGAGTTGGGATTCAAATGCTGAACGCGATGAGCAATGAAAAAGTAATTTACAATGTATTCGGCATTTAGCCCATACTATGATCATAAATATGGAGTCACTGAAAAGGCGGCTTAACTCTTGTACACGCAGTTCATTACACACTAGGTTTTAAAATAATTCATGTTTAAAATATGACTAGAGTGCAATCTTAAAAACTGTAAAACATGCTGCCGCAAGTCTTCATTTACGACACCGACTAGGAAGGATGCTGTTGAGTTTGGGACATTAGGTCCTGGATACCAATCGTCGGAAAATACCACTTTTAGAAGTTAAACTGTTTAGGGATTGTAGAGAAACATAAATTAAACCTCAGAGAATGGGAACAGCAAAGACTCGTCCAACTATGTGCGAGATAAAAATTAAGGAGGAATGGCGTTTCAGCTACGAAATCTGTCTGTTTTGACAGTCATACAAGTGTTGGCACACACGCACACGAAGGGTCCCTCCGTACTTCTGTCTGTCCAAAGTGCTAGCCAACTTCGGATAATCAGCAGAGGTGAAATGAAAAATAATGACATCTATGTGGTCGCATACTCGTAAAGGTAAGCCCAACTCTCTCACGAGCCAGTTAGCCCGCTAGCCAACTAACAACCAGGTGGCTAACTAGCTCGCTCCCTCCGCACTGCCGCACTCGTGCCCCCAAGGTAATCCCGGGGCAAATCACGCGAACGCATGCGTGCGTAAGTATGTGCGTGCGCACGTGCACGGCTGCCCGTACGCACCAGTCGATAGACGCACGCGAGCACGCATGCCAAGCTACGGACGGACAGCAAAGGCAGGAAATAATATATGCCCACACACGGTATGTATATTTTTCGGAGAAGCTATTACATCCAAAGCTGGTAAGCAATCCTTTGCCGTGTTTGACTAGCATTACAAATCCCCATTATGCATGGTCTGGGGATGGTCCAATTGGTATATGCAAACAGTTGTGATAAAGCGCAAATAATGTTACAATACATGATAGAAATGCCAATCTCTCTGACAATATCACTTTCATTATGATTGAAGACGTTTCACGGAAAGCACAAGCTATGGGAGTAGCATCTGCTCTCAGAAACCCGAGAGGAGGCCACAGTTGCACGTCTGCCCCACAATAGATCATAGTAAGCATGCCACAATAAGAGGAATGGATTCGCTAAATCGATTTTTTACTTGACACTAACCACTCTTCAAGCACAAATAATTGGAATTCAAAAGGTACCATCATTCAGACGTTAAGGTCAGCGACAGATCCGTGTTCCTTAAACAAAAATAGCCGACCCCAAACTGAAAATGTCAAGGTTATTGAAACCAGACATCATGAAAAGTGTTGCACTGAAAAGTGTTTCGAAGAAAAATCAGGATTTTGAAGAAAATGTTGGCCACAATACACTTTGTAGTAGATGAGGTGGGTAGGTGTAGTGATCCCTATCGAAGGCCACTCTTTCCTCATGGTACGGGGGATTTTTTTTTCCAAAAATCTTCCCTTACTCCAAAAAATTAACTTTTACAGTTAGTGTGACAGTCAGATTGGGAAAAATGGTAAAGAAAACCAACCGCGACCCTCGAGACAACACTGGGAGTGAAGCAGCAACAAATTATTCCAGTCGGATATCCCCATGGCTTTCCTATCAGATATGATGCAGATACTGATTTGGATGGCTTAAGTTAAACAATAATAGAGATTTCAGAAAAAAATTATAATGGCGTCAAGTTCAAATAGATGGGAAACATGAACCCTAGTTCAAATATGGATTTTCAATCCACAAATCGAATTTACGATTTGGTAGGAAGTCAGGTCCACTTCACGGTGGAAAATAAAAAAAGGCAAGGAAACATCTGCTTGAAAATCCCGCCTTGTTTCAAACTCCAAGTTTTGTTAAGAAACACTTGGTGGTCAGAATTACTCAAGCAGAAATTATGGCGAATTAGAGCTAAAAAACGCAACCGTCGATTAAAATGAATGACAACTGCCTTTTTGACCAAGATTTTGATCATAAAATACGGCTATATCAGCATCATCATCTATTCTCCTCGTAAATTTCATTATCAATGGGAAGGCTTAGTTACCCAAAGTCCAGTCAATTTACTAGGAACCAGAAAAACGATTGTCTTGTTCCAACACTCTTTTGAACTTCTTAAAAAGGAAAACAGCCGCAGAAAATGAATAATTCATAGATGGTAAGGCATTCTACGAAAAATGCCTACAATTTAAATCATGAGTTAGCATACAAGAGTGGCACCTATCCTCGACCTCTGATTTCATGCAAAATTTGCAAAAATGTGTTTCAAGTGAGGTCGACTATCAAACATTGTTACTTGGAAAAACATCACATCCACCCCAAGCATGAAAGTTACATGGCTATGCGATAAATTTTTCAAGGTTTCGAGTCTGTAACATTACATAGCTGACTATATCTCACAATATTTGTCATTGACATTTGACGTGCTATCTTCGAGTACAAAATCCATGGCTCTCCCAGTAGTGTGATTAAATTTTTTTAGGTTGCGTTCATGGGTTTCATTAGTTTAATAGTAAGTTCGTGCATAGAACAATGAAAAATATCCAATTAAAGTACTTCCATAAAATCAGAAACCAAAATTACGGTGGGACGAACATTGAAGCAGTGATTATGCATCCCTTCGTTCGTTAGATAAAGAATTTCATCGTGTGGCTTTGGATCGTAGTTACAAAATGTTCGCGCGTATGCCAAGATGCCGTGACCTTACAGTTACATGTCTTTCCTGAGGTCGCCCGAATTCGCCGACATAATTTCAAACCTATTCAAGGGCATCGCCACTAATATTAACACTTTGAAAGTGTACACACAGGAGATATAATCAAATGTTGATTGAGGCAAGCCCGGATATCCCAACCACCAAACATTACCCGCACAACACCACAACCAGTGTTCCCATTATAAAACCCGACATCTCAACGGTCAAAACGTTTTGCATTGGATTTATTCCGGCATGCCCTTGCCGCTTGCTTTCATGAAATGATAAATACTCTTCCCACTTCATTCGTTCAGTTGACAAGCCTGCTAAAACTTAACTTTTGTGGGAAAGGCCTATTTTGACAGAAGGGGTCTAGTTAAGGTTTCAACTACTCAAATTTATGGAAGCTTACAAAACCATTCCTCTACGATGCTGTGACAGTCATAAGTATGACCTGATCAGTGTAGGATAAGCGAAGACCGCTATTCCAACTCCTGATTGACCCCACAGCATTAAAGTAAACGAGACAATCCCCTATTTAAGACGTTCATAGTTAACAGTAGCGTAGTGATAACAAAGGTGTTCGGCTTTGTACTGCCATGATAAAGGAAACTTCACAAATGAACTAAAAAAAATATACTACGAAAAGGAAGACGAAATGAAAGAAAGCTAAAAGAAATGAAAAAAAGAAGCTTAGAGCAATGGCACTAGACTCTACAATTCACACCGTACGCGGAGCGACTAGAAGTGTGGAGAGCGAGTGTAAGAGTATGAAGGAGGCAAAAATACGCCGGTACTCACGGTCACCAGATGGGAGGGACAAAAGACGAGAGGACCGGAATTATACAGTACGGAAAATAAGAGAAACCTCAACAAAGCAAAAGAGTAGATGTTCCTTTTCCTGTCCTCGCCCCAACTTTCCGCACCACCCGTCCCCCGTTCCACACTCTCACCTCCTCCCCTCGATCCGAGTCTCCTGCTGCCTCACACTTCTTCGTACGACGCTGCAGTAACCAATCAGCCTGCGCAGATCGCACTCCCTTCTCTGCATTCCCGCCCTCTGATTGGTCCACCGTGCGGGAGGAAGCAAAACTTTACCAGTAAAGCACTAATGATAAGATTAATTGTAATTCAAAGCAGATGGATTCTGTTGTTCTTCCTCCTCCTATCAAGCCAATGTGGCTAGCCTACCACTAAGGCTCAGCGTAGGGGCAAGACCACACATGGATACAGTTGATGATAAAGTGCTGTATTGTGAGCAGAAGAATTGGAATACATGTTTTTTTAACAAGAGTAAAATTCCCATCAACAGACACATGCGAAGCATTCCCAGAACAGTCGAAATCGGTATACACTAAGAGACCAGGAATGTGCTGACTGAGAACGATGCAATCGACATAAATTGAGTCGAAATAATGGAGAAACAAGTAGGAAATCTACTTTGATTTGCAAAAAAAATACGCAGTAGGCGATCGGGAGAGAAAATTTAGTGTAGACATGTCTAAATACTTCTAAAAATATAGCTAGAGTAAGCATTTCAAGTCGGTGGTTAAAGCATGAATAAAACTGAAATATTTAACAAAGCAAAAGATGCCAATCAGAGACCTAGGGATTGAAACATGGATAGGCAATGCAAGGTCAGTGAGAACCGTCACTCCGCTGTAAGGAGTAATATAGTCAGTGGAGTGTTCCGCTAGAACACAAAAAACTGACTAAATATTTATTTATGAATTAACTCTGGACGCGCATAATCGAATGGGCCGAGGGGTAGAGGTCCGCAAAAGAATTCAGCTCGTGGCAGAACAACGGCGAACACAAGCATTCACTTGTAAGGTAACGTTTGCCGTGGGACAGAAGAAAAATTACTTAATGCTTTAGAGAGCATTAAGGGGAAAACCCGACTTTTTACTTCAAGCAAGAACTAAGAATTCTGGACTTAAGTGGAGGAAATAATCCAGCCAAACTCATTAGTGCCTTTCCAATCCATTCTGCATTAAAATGCACAAACACAAATTCAAAGAAATGAAACGTTTTGTGTACATCCCAAACCTTAAATTGCAGAGGATCAACAATTAGGAATTGGAAAAACGTTCGTTAAGACTTAGTGATACAATATGAATCTGAATAAGGAGCGAATCGGTTTTCGTCTAGAAAACTTGAAAATGGGCATTCTTAATTCCAGACAATGTTTTATCATACGAAAACAGATAGATTTAGGCAAGGGTCCAGTCGACTAGATACCAGAGGCATAAAAAATAGGCAGAGTTGAGTTGTAGGCATGAAAATAAAACAACAGGAGTCAACAAAATCCGAGTGGAACCATCATGATTCTGGGTGGGCAAAAATTAGGAAACGCGTTTAAGCAAATTACGCACCCGACACTGAATACACTCGTCCAACATGGTATTGTTGGTACTGTTGGCGAGAACGCAAAACGACCGCTCTAATATATCCATAAACATGTCCAAATCCATCTTGAGCGAAGAGCGTATCTTGGTATCCAGAGCCTCCAGACTTTTCCTACAAATACTAGGTGTTTGGAGGTATCTATGATAGAGTCCATCAGTGCTTCTAACGCCCTTATCCTCTGAGGTGCAGACATACGTTGACGACTGATTGCTACCTTCAATCACATCATCAATATGGGGCAGGAGGTAAAGCGGGGGCAGGCTTGAGCATATTTCGTGATAAGCGTGACGCCGTAGAAAGGCTGCTCGTGTACATGGATCGGTGAGTTCGTCACAAACGAAAGTCACAAGGTCCGGCGTCCAAGCATGTCGCTCGGGGTGTTGAAGAGTTGTTCGTTTAGTCCGTCGTCGATGAAGATGCTTAAAGAGTGAAGAAACACTGACTGGGAAATCTTCAAATCCATTTGCCTTTATCACCATGTTTTGCTGACCTATTGCTGTGGAGGAAAGAGCCGTAACTAGGGCTAGACTATGGGTGACGACAAGTAGGAAAATTATAATGCAACGGTAGATGTCGGGAGAACCAGAAGACGAAACTCCTCGAGAATTGCAAGGGAATACAGAGTTTGTTGGATGATGAGATTGGTTGAGATTTCGGTGAGAGTCGGATGTGGGTGTCTTCTTATTTGCAATTTTCTCGAAGGTAGCACACCAGGCCGTTATAGCGCCATAATTCGACCGAATACACATAGCTTAACCAGGAATCCACGCCAGAGCGATTTGCATGTTGCTGCAACCGCTGGTACCCGTGTTTTACAGGCTTCTCAAAGGTCGCTGCACCCAAGCTGCTGATAGAGGGGGTGAGAGGAAGGTCATTAAATTTGCAGGGATCAGAGCACTAGCGAAATCCAGGGAAGGGACTTGCAATCTGCAAGCTGAAAAACCAAAAAACCTCTAGCGGCGTTTGCAAGGCACTTAAAAGTTAGCATTTTACGGTATGCTGTAGAATAATAAACATGTACAAAGTTAGTGGAGCGCTCGAGCCCGTTTGTTTCACATACTTCCATTAGTAACAAATCGAAATAAGTCGAAGAGCTGAAAACCACAGCAACCGGTAACAGAGGTGGGAAAGCATACAGTTCCTAAGCTTCCTTTTTAAATAAGGCGAATTAATTCTATGGGAAACGAAGGCGCAATTCAACCAACCGCATTGTTAATAAGAGAACACAAAAGCACAAAATGGATACGTCCAAATCATCCATAATGAATATTGAAGTGGCTTAAGAGGAATAAAACAATCCAGAAGGCTATTTAGCATTAACCACGAATCATAAGCCTACGCATCCCAAGAACAAGTTACTGTCACGAACCGCATGGCTTCCCAACCTGACTATTTGCACCAATCGAAAAACTCAAACGCCAATTCCCATATTGTTGTACAATTGTGCGTAGTAAAATAAAACGCACTCAAGGCCGTTTCTCTTACCTTTAAAACAGAAAAAAGCTAAGAACCCCTAAATAAATCCAACCAAATAAAATTTAAAAATTGGCAAACAGAATAAAGTGAATTCAACATTTGATATAAGCCTCCCAGGTGAGAATCTGTATTTGTCAGAAAAAATTTCATTTGTGACAAATTGATGATATCGCCGTATTTATGAAAAAAAGTTTAGCTGCTTTTTTGTTCTCGAAGTACAACAAGGGTAAATGAAACTAATGGAGGGTCCCCAACATTAGATTATAATTTTATGACCAAATGCAGAAGCTTTTAATCTGTACTCTTCGGTCATATCTCCCTCTTCAAATGTGACAAGATTTGTCGACCTGTAAATTTAGCCTCTCTCATCCATTGGTCCCCCGTTCATGGGCTGAAGTACTGCTTCGAATCGTAGCAATGGATGACGTCAGATTCGGTTCGGATATACGGATTTTACTGCCCATCGAGGAGTCCTCTACGAAGGGTTCTTATGGCCCCCCAAAGAAGAGGAAAATGCCAGCGTGGTTGCAGAAGAAGTTGAGTGGTCTCCCGAATGTTGATTCTGTCTGCGCTTCTATTTTATGCCTCTGAAATAGCTCATACCACGAATACTTCCTTTTTTCTTGCGATGTGTGTTTATTTATCAAGAGTTGCTTTCTAAGTATGGGTCGCCGGCCATGGTATGAAATCTTAGGGCGGTGTCGTACCATCGCTTTGATAAAATTGGTTCTTTGGCAGAAGGGATTCTCATGTTATTTGGTCGTTGCATTAGATTTGGCATCATAATGGTATATCTTAGGCTATTTTTATGCAGATATTCTATCGAGTTTTGTATGAATGTTGTGAAAACACAATCACCTGAATTTGCAGTAAAGTGGGACGGTGTCCTTGATGCACGTGACAGTGATGGTAGTTAGTAGTGGTGTTTTTGAAATTAGAATCCATCTTTTGTGGAAATTGTTCATTTTTTCTTCCCTCTTTTCCCAGCTCGAAACCCTCTCTGGACGAGATTTGCATCTCAGGCGAAACACTCTTGAAGGAAAGTAGCGTCCCCTCCCACAGTTTATACTTTAGCAAACCAAATTAAATTGTACTTGGACTGAATAAAGTTTTCTTCTATTCAATATTCTTCCCGTGTATTATATTCCCCGTCAAAGTCTTACAGATATCTCACTCTTATTTCAGGTGCTCGCCCAATAATTTGAGTTTAAAAAAGCGTTACTGTCATGCTTTGTGTAACGACGAGAGGTATCGCTCATTTACTTAGCCGCCTACGTCTTTCATTCTTGTGCGACTCTGCTACATTCCTATCGGCCACATTCTCTTCCAAGGTTTGTCTATTTTTTGTTGCTAAATGCTTTGTGAATAGGCTAAACCCCGGTCCGGTAAATCGTCTATGACAGTTCCTACAGTTGATGTTTGGGATGGCATTAAGATCTCAGAACTCTCAAAACTGACAAAACGTCCTGTTGGCAGTATTATCCGCTCCGTCAATAGCGGGTTGCTGGGATCGCTTCGAGTAAGCGCTACGACCTCGATTGAAAATCGGGAATTGCTGACTGGACTTGTATCCCTTCTGGGGTTTAGACCCAACTTTGTCAATCGCAGTTCACCCGAAACGACCAAAGGGAGGTCTCCAATGGATGGATTTGACGTCCATCCCAGGTAATATTTTACGGCCTCCATTTTTCAAGTATCCTCTCCTCCTCAAGTTCTGTAATGTACATGAACTAGGTAATCATGCTGAATAAATGTAAAATGCTCACGGAACTTGATAGCGGCTTCTAGTACATGCTGCCATTTTAAGTTTGTTTTATGTCGCATGCTTTCTAGTCAATTTACCACTCGATTTAATGCTCCAATTATTTACGCTACTATACGTATGTTTTTTGTATGTACAGAATAAATTATAAGAATGGGTTTGGCTTTAGTTTAGAACTTTTGGCAGAAGTTTGGCAATTGGAAATGGGTCTTATCCGAACACTTCAGTTGAACTAAGGAAGTTTAGTTTAAATGGTTGACTAAATACCTGCTACAATGCCAAAAACTCCCCAAGAAGCAAATGTTAACCCTCTTTTTTAAGACCTCCGCCGGACTCGACGTGTTGTGTACCTCGACCACCGGTGGTGGCAATAATGGGCCACGTGGACCACGGCAAGACGACCCTGTTAGACGCGCTGCGCGCCTCGCGCATTGTGGATGAAGAGTTCGGTGGCATCACTCAGCATCTCTCCGCTTTCTCCCTCTCGGTCGCGGAGGCCGCTGCCGTAGCGGGCGGGGGTATTGGCAGTGAAGGGGACGGAGGCATCATCACCTTCATCGACACTCCTGGCCACTCCGCTTTCTCGGCCATGCGGGCGCGCGGTGCCAAGGCCACCGACATAGTCCTCCTCGTGGTAGCCGCCGACGATGGCGTCATGCCTCAAACCGTTGAGTGTATTAGATTTGCCAAGGAATTTAACGGTAAGTCTATGGCCTTACCGTATGGCAGAACCGTACATCTGGGATTTTGTACTGATCTAAGTTGTTTACCCCCTCAGTGCTTGCTTCCGTAGATGTCTCTTTAATAGCAGAGTGATTGATTATTCGGATATAAGGAGTTTGGGTGTTGGTTGCGGATTACCGGTTAAGGAATCTCTTTCAGTCACTGCCCTTGCAGTACAAAGTTTAGTTTTGTGCACTTCATTGTCATTCTTGGCCGCTAATAATGAGGCGTACCTAGAGAAATAATCGAGGCATTCCGTTAATTGTTGAGATCTTTAGATTAGTGTTGTCACTTAAAAAACCAGCACACCTACCGACTGCTTTTCATCCAAAAATTTCCCAAACCCAAATTAATTCAGTGGAAACTGATGTCCCGGTGTGTATTTATTTGTTTAAATAGATGCTTTTTGTAGTTGATTGCTCGTGTGCTTTAGCCATAAGGTTAAATTTCGATAAAGAGCAATAAAGTTTTAGGTTTCTGACTGCTAAACTGACATTCCGTTTCTGTACTTGGCCAAATTTTGGATTGATCTGCCTGATGGGTTAAAGATTTCTTACTGCAATGCAATTCTTGTGTGATTCCTTCTTATGAAAATCACCCATGCTATAATGCCTCAAACGGATTTCTGGATTGGTAGAAAGCTGTTTCTTTATTTTAGCTCAGCTCCTCGTCGCAATCAATAAAATAGACAAGTATGGTGTTGATGTGGTATGTATGACCTTTTATTTTCTTATTCCTTAGATTTTTTTTCTTGATGCCTCATTCTACTTGATAATTCACTGTTTTTTCCACTGGCCTATAAGTCGATGGAAGCACTTTTGAATCATGCAGATCTTAGTAATGCTTACTCGTCCTCTCTAACATGCTTAAGTTTCAATGTATCTGTAATTGCGTCTATTTTCCCATGATGTAGTGTACGGAAATCTTGTGTTAGCCGAAATAAAGGAGTTCCATGTGCTAAAATATCATTCAAACAAAATTATTACACTAATGCTTTGTAAAGCTTCCCTTTTTATGACCTCTACCGACATTGGATGGGAAAATTTTCTGTTTTATGAAGTCGCTTTATTGAATGTACACATCTTCCCCGTCTGTTATAATAACTCATCTAACTTGATGTATGTGCTTATGCACTGTGCACCCTACATTATTTTAAATGAAAAAATGGGGTCTGCTAATGTGGAGGAAAATTTATTTACTGGTGCACAAGATGTCTTGTAAACCATGGACACTGATGGTAGGAGCTCGTGTAGCTAAATATGGAAAAAAACCTTTCACCACAGCGCATCTAAGTATAAGCACTTAACTGTCCCTGTGCACATTGACCGGATTCGGTTGGGACTGCAGGAGCGGACGATTCAGGGCCTAGCGGCTCACGGTGTAGTGGTGGAGCGACTGGGTGGCGAGGTGCAGGGAGTGGAGATATCTGCGCTGCGGCGCATTAACCTCGTCCCCCTGTTGGAGGCCATCGTGGCGCAGGCCGAGGTGATGCAGGTCACTGCAGACCCTACCGGGCCCGTCGAGGCTCTCGTTCTTGAATGCCGTGCCGAGCATGGCCTGGGGTAAGTTGACTGGCCAATACTTCCTTGCTTTCACCAATTATTTTCTGCTGATTACTTAGATGGGATTAGAACTCAGATTTAGGGCAACTCCCCACAATAAGCGATAAAGGATCACTGATGGCATGGTCATATTTTGATAATGAAATATGCTTCCCTCCTAGTTACTGGTATGCATGGGAAATTATACCTATGAAAAATGGGTTATGTTATATCTGGTCTGGGTAGTTTATCGAAGATAAATGATAATGTAGTCACTAAAGCGTTGAGCGATCCTCTCAAAGAATGTGATTTTTTTGCTCTTAACGGAAAAATATGCCAATTATGTCTTAAGGAATGCAAGGGTATTTAAACATCTTCATTTTTCGTAATAATCAACGAAAGATGTTTGATGATGGAGCCATGTTTTGACGACGAGGTTTTCTTGTCATATAATGGCACATTGGAGCGTAAGCATGTAACAAGTGCCCTTTAATTGGTTTGTGAAACAGTTTGGTCACTAGCGTGACAATGGATCCCCATGATTAACCTCAAAATTGTACGTGGCTTGTGGACAAAATATACCACGATTGCTTCTGAAAAAAAACAACTTGGAGTAGACTACAAATAACTTTACCTTGGCTTTATAGTATGGTAAGAGATCAAAGGCTTGAATAGCATGATCAGTGTCGCATATTTACCACCGAGAACATAATGCGACAGCGAATTGTCAAGTAAGAAAGAGTTTGACCAAATAAAAATTCAACAGAAATAGTGTAGGGTGTGGGTTTTACTAAAAATGTCGTTTGTGCTACCCTGTCTGAGTATGTTTAGCTCATGTCATTCTAAATAGCTTCCTTATAGCAGCTATGCTTATTTTTTAAACTTTATGTCATTTCTTGCTAAAAAGTTCGTGCCACTGTTTGTCGTTCGGTTTTGCGATACATTTACTTTTTAATTCAGATTGAGCCTGGTAAAGTTTGTACTCTGCGTGTCTTTTACTCCTCAGTACTTGTCTTAAAGTAGTGACCATGGAAATTATCTGCCTTATTTAACAAGGAAAAATACCAGTATCTTTTCTTCTGATTAAGGTAAAGTGTTTTCGATTTGCTATTTACCTTTAAAGAATCAATTTGATAAACAATTTTTCACGATTTATACGGACCTGAATTGAGATTGGATTTTGTACCACTTTTTAATTGAGGTGAGCCATACAATTCCTAGTATTTGACAATTGAGAGTAAATATTACCCATCCACTTTTTCCCCCTCTTCCCAACGCAGGAAGGTGGTGAATTGCCTGGTGACGCGGGGTGAGTTAAAGCAGGGCGCCAGAAGCGGTCCTCTGGTGGCTGGCGAGAGCGTAGGTTGCGTGCGCATCCTTCGCAACGACCGTGGCGTCCGTGTGGACTCCGTTGGACCCGGCTACACCGCTTTCATCGCCGGCTGGAAGACTACGCCTCCTGTGGGTAGCACTATCCTCGAGGTCGCCTCAGACGTAGGTACTACATTCTTTTGCCACTTTATAACCAAGTTTCTAATTGTTTGTGTGCTTTTTTCTACGAAATTCTATGTATTTTTTGCATGTAGTAGGTGATTTCGACTCTGGATATTCAATTATTTGATCTCTTACAACAGACTTCTTGTTTGGTGGCCTAGGACAGAAGAGCTTGCTTGACTATAATTTCACAGAAGATCCTGGAGACCATCAGTGTAGGCGGCGTGAGCAAAATTCCATGCTACCCTTTTAGGGATTGAACCGTGGGAGGTTGCGAAGTATCTAGATTAGGATGAATATCACTTTGTTACCAAGCCTTTATCATCTTACTTTGGGTATCTTCCTTGGTACTCCTTGTAACTATCCTTCTGCTTTGGCCGTCACGAATTTTTGACTGAATTTAAATAAACCACACGAAGACTCGGAATTTAACATTTGTGATATATTTCGTAGATATTGGTAGATTTACATCAGATTTCGACCCTAAAATACATAATACAGATCCATCTGCACCATTTCTGCCTGGCCGTTTCGTACACCGAGAAACTAAAACCATACCTACTTAATGAAGTCAATAGTATTGTAGTCGAGGTTTGGCTATACGGTTTTCTAGTTGCACATCTGGAGTGTTCTCGGCTAGTTGCAGGGTAAAAAGCTGTCAAATCCTTAGGTCATGATTTAAAATTACCATTTTTGTACTAATTTCCCAATGTTCATTGTTAATCTTCTAGATTCCATATTTCTTTGGGCGTATGAGCTTGCCATAAGCCGACGCGTTTTGGCTGATACTTCTGTTATAAGGCCAGACAGACGTAGTCGTTCTTTTATGCCGTTTATTGTGTTATCCGTCCGGTGAAGTCGGGTTTATTTTTTCCGGTGTGAGTTCACCAGCACTTTCAGCAGTGTAGCGCTTAAGCTGTATCATTCCGTCCATTGGTGTTGGCTTTGCCGTTTGAAGCCACACTCTAATGTACTCCAAAAGTCTGCACGTGGAGAGGTTTAACCCTTAAAATATTGAATCGAGAGCGGACACCAAGGCTCAGCATGGAATACAGTTGTGGGTTCCTAACGTTGAGGTGCCGCTGTGTAGGCAGAAGCGGAGGCGGCGGTTCGGACTCGGCGTCAGCGGCGGTTGGAACAGAAGTCGCGAGTAGACCGATTGTTTATCGACCAGCGGAAGGCCGAGTACCGTGCTGCTTACGAGGCTTACCTCAAAAAATGCGAGCAAATGGACCCCGTTGCTTCCCGTCGCTTCGCCTCCCAGTTCAGAGTAAGGCACACCCTCTTCCCTTTCCTGCTTGATACAATGGCATTTTCCATGACCCCATCGGCTCCCATTTTTTTGTTTTTGAGACATAAATCCACAGGAAATCTTATTATTCTTCTCATGCAGAATATTTTTCTGTCTTTAAGAATCATCAAGCCACCTAATTAAACATCTACTCACGTTTGACTTTAAATTCTGGATGTAACCAGGTTCAGTTACCGGCATTCTACTTAAGATTGAAACTAAGGCATTAATTGTGATAGGTATTGGGCGCTTAGTAATTATGCTTTGTAGTTTGACAGTCAAACTTAGCGACGGGATTCTTAGTATGCTTCGACTCTGCTAGCCTAGCAGAAAGCCCACTTTGTAAATATACTTCTAATAATGCACGACCCAACTTGCTATTTTTTGTGGGCTAGAAACTATTTCAGCTTAGCGAAGTACGTGCAGTAGCAGAATTTGTATCTAATACTGTTCCACTTCTTTCAAGCGACTCTCTCTGACCCTTTTTTTGAAACTGAGAGCATCCAAATGTTTGCTAAACCTGTCATTCCGTTGTCAAGTTTAAAATCCACTTTTAATGCTTTTAAAGGGTAGAAAATTGGGTTTTTTACAATTTAGAAAGACCAAACAACATGGTTAGCTAATGTGGGCAATGAAAAGGAAGCGAAGGAACTGCGTGTTCCCTTGATCGTCAAGGCCGATGTTGATGGGAGTTTGGGCGCGATTTCAGACATGCTAGCAACCTGTCCGTCCGACCAGTGTTGCGTGCAAATCGTCTCCTCAGGTGTCGGTCCTGTCACCCCAGCCGAAGTGGATCTTGCGGCAGCCATTGGAGGTAGGTTTGGGCGCGTCTTTCTCATTTTTAGGTGTTGGTCCTATTTATCGATGGCCTCTGTCTCTGTTCAGCTGAAATATTCACATTCAACGTCGATGCACTTCCGGGTGCGAAGTCAGCACTCGATGCGCACAACCTCATACTCCACTCGCACAACATCATCTACAGGCTTGCTGAAGACGTGCGCTCCCTCGTTAATGACAAGCTACCTCCTGTCTATCTTGAAGAAGTAGTCGGTGGGTCTGGTGATTTTACGTTATTATTTAGTTCTTAAGGAGTAGCTACGGTTGTGGTTTTGATCACGGGATATTTATCTGAAGTACGGCAATCAATTTTTTTCGCCAACTGAGTAAATGTTTATTAGCGCATTCTTGCTTAGTTCCAGTTGTAAATTGACGTAGTAAAATTTTATTAACCCACCGTGGGTTCCAGCAATCAGTTGAATTTTGAGGCAATACTCGTCGAGTTGGCGTGTTAGCTTCAAGTTCGTGTTTCCAGAAACTGTTTTCCAGATGAACACTAAAATTCCGATCGATTATTTTCAACAGCGCTTCAGTAAAGTTGCATTTCGACTTATTTTGTGCGAGATTTATCATCCCCTTTCATAAATATGTTAAAGTTTTTCTTCAGTAGTGTCAACAGCTCTAAACAAACGGATGAGATGAGGGAGGCAGGTAGTCTAATTTCATGTTTGCTCCTTTTGCTAAGGTGAAGGCGTGGTCCTGCAGACCTTTGAGGTCTCCGTGATTCGTACCAAGCGTCAGGAGGAGGTAGTGGTCGGTGGATGTCGTTGCACGCATGGCAACATCCTCTCTGGAAAGTCCTCCAAGCACGGTATGTTTACGACCTTGGGGTCTACTTTCTACCGGCTTGTGGTGGTATGAGTTTTTGTGCGCTTATTCATTAACTTTTCATTTTGGGACAAAAACTTCTCTTTAAATTCAGCTAAAAGTGGCATGCTTATTACTCTTTGTCTTCTCGAAGATGTTCAAATCAGAGATCGTCTTCTTTTTAGGGATTTTGGTTTTATTCGATCCTCCCCTTTTTCTCTGAAAGAAGGCGCCTATAAGTTGTATTTTAGAGCTTCATTTTTCGATGGAAGGTGTCCGTAATTGAACCGGAAGTACTTATTAACAAATCGTCTGAGTAAATGGGTTGATTTTGGCTCGATGCAGCTATCATATATCGCCATTTGAACGCATTAGGCATTGTGATATTTTCATCTTCTCAATGACCATGGTTATTTTGCATCATAGGGTTTGAGAGGGTGTAACGCTACTGATGTGATGGTTTAGGCTTTTATTAAGATTTATCACTGCATGAAATCAGCATAAATTTTTAAGACGATGGGGTTTTGCGCGTAAAGTGACGCACTTGACAAATAAATTTGGACGACTTCTGGTGGAGTTATGCTAGATGTTGATAGTAGTTCAGTGGATCCAACAGAAGTGACAACAGGATTTAGAGCTTAGATGGGTCATTCGAAGACTTTTGTCAAAAATACCCATCACAGGTTCCGATAGTGCCTCACAAAAATTACTTTCGACCTGCTGGGAAGCTTGTAAAAGTCCTGACAATGTAAAGCTTTGACACAAAGTAGCTATTTCTAAATGGACCCAATGCAAATGCATCAATCGAGTCCCGTTTTCCAAAGAATCACTGTCAAAACTTCCTAACCACACGGAAATGCTGTTCACGTAAAAATTGCACTTCTCTTTCCTGAGCTTTTCTTTGCACCTTTATAACCATTTTTCTCAAACTCCAACTAATTGACAATCATCCGGTTTAAAATGGCCTTAATTGATCTGTTTCATTTAACTTACCAAGTTTAGTTCCCACTAATTTTATTTTTGGGAATGTACTTCCCTTAATTATGCACTCAAAATTGGCTGAAATGGTCACATTTCATGTTTTCCCTCAAAATACACGTTTGCTTCATCTACAAGGATGGCGTTTTACGTCTAAATCCCCAATTAATTTGGACCGAGGTTCACCGTATTCTTCAAAATGAGCAATGCGTACGAAATATCAATCACAGTATTTCGCTGACTTCATTTTTTCCAGCATTAAAGGACGATGTCATTACCATTTGAAGGAAGGATTCGTGTGTCTTCTGTTCTCACTTCAGGTACAGATCCGATTCTGTTTCGCGTTCTGCGTCCAACACTAGATTCTAACGACCGAGGCGACACGGGAATGCGATCCAGTAAACGGATGACAAAGCCAGAGGAGGCAGTCCGCTTGGAATACGGGGAGGCACAGGAGGGCGTCCCGACTAACAGCGGTCGAGTCTTGTTGGACCGCGCCCTTTGCTTCTCTCTGCGTCACGGCCGCAGCGATGTTGACTCGGTGCGACGGAACGTCGAGTTCGGCATTGTCCTCCTCCACACCAGCACGGAACACCGAAGCCTTAGCGACCTCCATCAACACCCGCCTGAGGCCTCCACCACTGCCTCCGTCTTCGATGGCTGGGCCCGTGGTGACATGATTCAGTGCTTCCGCATCGTCAAACGTCCTCAATCCCTCGAGTGGCACATCGACCACCCTCCAACCTCCGAGATTTGAGCTCGGTGTCCCTCTAGGGCTCTCACGCGTACATGCATGAACAGCCTGTGATCAATTTGTAGTGATTTTTTCGACAAAGTAGGAAATTTGAGTGCAATTTATGGGGGGTTTGGGATACTATTCAACTCTCTAAGGTTACGCCGTCCATCCTTTTAACCTCTCACGTCTTCTGTGCTATTGTGAAGCCATTTGAAAAAAACTTTCTGCATAGGTGGCAGAGTAATAAATGCATACCCAGTGATTACTTCCTTATGAGTGTATTTTAAAATAGTTCACTGCTTTTGTGTCATGGTAAATTGGTGCTTAAAAAGCCAAATTAAAATAAACTGACTAATTTCCATGCAGAATGAGAAAGCGAAAACTAGATGGACTCAAAAGTGGCTGAGGAAGTCGTTCTACATATGACTGTTCCATACCTTGTACTTTAGTCAGGAATGGTGAGGCGGCTGAATCTAATGAACTCGAACCATCATCATTGCACTTATGAAAACAATGATCAATCGGTGGAACTCGTATGGTTTTTTCTTTCGCTTTATTGGATGGAGAAAATAATTCAAGTAGGCGAGAAATGTAGTCTCACACAGCGATGTGCTCGTGGTGGGAATGCTCAGAAGTGATTTGTGCTCGACACACAAATTCGGGTCTTTGTAAACATTTATCATTCGCATGTTGATCTTGGTCTCAAACTCAGGTTTTTGCTCAAACTTCAGTCTACCTCGTCATTTGCACTCCCTCAATAGTTCCATCTACACGTTCAACTTACTTGTTTTTCGGCATTGCTGGGATAGTTATTCACAGTCCTTGCTTATTTTCCCAGTAGATCAAAACCTGCGGTAGGAGTAGTAAAGATGTGGGTGATCTTGGGATCCTTTAAAAATTATCAGAGGTAATGGGTATTGTTGTTCGTCCCATGTACACCTTTCGTGGCCTATGGCAAGATCTAATTGAACCGATCTTTCATAGAGGTTAGTGGTATACCTTAAATTCACATCGAATTACAATTGATTGCAGCCTTATTCAGGCCAAGGCATCTAGCGTCTTCTTTTCCTACATGACCCAATTGCTCATGCAACGGTTTGTGCCAGTGAACCGGGGACTACTAGGTGCTTTGGAGCCCCAACATCATTTTGGTACAATAAAGCTTTATCCTCTAGAGGTCGTTCGATCATCCCTGCCATATCCGTCTGGCTGCCATGTCCAATGAGATCATCTCTTTCGCTGTGGATTTGTGAGAGGATGCAAGGAACTTCTCGTACGCTAGAGTCGTGTCGGAGCCGGTACCTTGCGTAGCCATGGCAACACCGGCTTGTGCCGGGTCTGGTCTGCGAGAAAGTGCGTCTGAATCACCATGTGTATTCCTTCTTCTGTACTCCACTGTGAAATCGTACTATTGCAGTTCCTCGTACCAACGTGGCACCAAACGATCTGTCTTCTTCACTTTATGTGAGAATAGCGTGTAGTTCGCGTTGGGTTGCATTTTGTGTCGCATTGGTTTGTTAAGTTTATTGCTCTTTTAGGTGATGACGTGTTTCCTACCTTCGTTATCCGTCCACGGCTGCACCGGTAGCTTCGGTATTTAGTACGAATGGCGGAGCACTTGGTTAGAAATTCGTTAATGCTAGAGTCAGTGCAGAGCAGAGCATTCGCTTTAGTTCACTAAACACTTCTCTCCTTTGAAATTCTTGTCGCCTACTTTTCCGTTAGTTTAGGCAACGAGCTTACGATCTTAGCAAAATTCTTGACGAAACGCATGTAGTAACCTGCCAGGCCTGAGAAACCGCGAAGTTCAATCTGATTGGTTGGTATTGGCCAGGTCCTCACTTGCTTTGTGGAAGGGTCAGTAACTGCCATCCCATCTGACGAGACAGCCTATCCTACAAGTTGCCTGAGCATTGGAGGATTTGACTTTTAATTTTATTGTTAAACCTGCCTCTTGTAGGTGATTCAACGCTAATCTCAGATTGACGTTATGCTCTCGAATATCCCTACCGAAGCCAAGTATGTAATCTAAGCATATATTACAATATTTTGGGAATAACTGGATTTGTGGCGTTTGCAGAAGGGGTTGGAAAGTTGCAGCTGCATCACAGACCCCAAAGGGATTTTTGGGTTCCATAGGGCCCCTTTGGCTGTATGAAAGACGGCTTCTCTCCCTCCGTTTCTGCCATCTCTACTTGCCACTATCTTGACTTGAAGTCTAGCGTGGGGATCCACTTTGGACCGTGCAGGGGGTCTATCGAATTATTTATGCAGGATAGTGAGAAGGCATCCTTCCTTGTTACTGAGTTCAGTTTCTTCTAGTCGATGCACAGCCGGAGACTTCCGTACTTCTTCTTTGCTAGAGCAATCGGTGAGGCTCATGGTGATTTTGATGGCTTTACGACCTCGTCTCTGAGCATCTCACTGACAGGATGGTTTATTTCATCTGGCAGAGGAAGTAATATGTGTCCAAATGGCTGCCAGATCGATCTAGCTCCAAAGTTTAGCACACTGCAATGAGAGTGTATTTGTGAGCTCAACTAGTAAAGCGCGTAGTTCTTTCCTCTCATTGGCAGTGGTAAGGGTAAGCGAAGCGCAGAGTTCATCCAGTTTGTTCAAAGGCATAACTATGGCTTTGAGTAGGGCGTTGTAAATATCATCGACACTTTCTTTCGGTGACGAAAAGATTGACGTGGTTTTAAAGTCTTGGTGGGTGGAAAAGACGCTTGTTGCAGAATTCAGGACGGCTTTAGGACTATGTAAAAAATCGACACTCATGAGTCACGTCTCAGGCCAACTATGAACATACAATCAATTTAGCTATACAGGTTTCCTAGCCAACGTCTCTCCTTCTACTGGCATCGCCGTTCCTTCTGCTGAACGCGACCCGCTGGACAGTGAATCGATTCTATTTCGATAGAGCAAGGAAAGCCCTGGTATTTATCATTGATCTGACCACACCAGATTCGAAGCGGAAATTTCGTGAAGCTCTTTTTAATTTGCCTGAGGTTTACAAGAATGAATGAGAGCCATTTGGAAGTAATCAGGTTAAGGAAAAGGAGGGCTCACCAAACTCTGACGGGTAACGCAAAGATCCTCGCATTAAAAGGCATTGAGTTCAGTCGACTGTTGCGTTTGTTGTAGCTCGGAATCATCATCAGCCCTCTGGAGGAGGTTCTCGACCATAATGGGTGGGTGAACTCTGTGTCCAAACTAAACAATTATATATCTATCGACTGTTGTTGGATGTGAGGCATGAGAAGCTTCCTCTGCCAATTGTCACAGGTTATTCCCGTACTGCTCATCGCCTTCCCCACTTTTTTGCTCCTGATGGAAGAACTATGGCTAGTATCTGTTCTTCCTGATAGATGACCAGTTGAGCTAGGGAAACGCAGCACTCCCCAAACTCGGTATCCGAGGTTATTCCACTCTTTGCGGTGGCCAAGAATGGGTTCAAATGTTGGGGGTGGAATCGAAGGTTGAATCCAGCTTTTTCAAGCCAAATTTCAAAGTTCATGTCTTCCTTGAAAGGCGGAGGAAATATGGCGTTGCTGCCACCAGTATGGCGAATTCAGCGTATCTCTCTTTCGCCTTTACTTTCACACTCGAAACGAAATGATAGGTTAGCGGAGTCATCTTCTATCCCATAAGCGTCACGAAATTGTACAGGGAATCAGGAGTATATAAATTTGGATTCTGTTTCTTCCTCAGGATTCGATGGCATCTGCTTGGTCACAGGGTTCACGTATGCCAACCGCATGTCACCTGTAAGGTATATTTAGACAAACACGTATTACATGAAAGTACATAAAGGGCAATTCAACATTTTATCGTGATTTGTGGCAGGACCTTGATTAGGAAAAAGGTTGTCAACGAAGTTTAACCCCAAGACACTTGCTAGACGCTCTGTTTTGCACAAGTCTTTAGGAGGTATTCGGTAATAAGTAGAGTAAAAGATTCACAACTTTTGTATTTAATGGTGGACCTAAAGATTTATTACCAATGGTAGTTCTTTTATCAAACCCGTAAGTCATCCATGCAATAAAGTGAGTTTTTGTGAAGGAAGAAAGGGCGGGAAAGACAATTTTCCTTTTTACTATTCACAGAAGATCAAAGTGATCTCTAGTTTATGACTCCTGTCCGTCCTCTCAACCTCATCACAAGTGCTCTTTTCCACCCTCTCACCTCTTATTCTCGTCGCACTGTCCAAGGCAAAGTTTATACCAAACTCACGCAAATGGGCGAACACATCAGGTAGTGCTCGATGGATCACCCATTGGAGGAGGCTGTTTAATTGCCTTCGTGACTAGAAGAGTTCTTCTCACCATGTCCCTTCTTCCTCGTTTTTGTCTTCAACTTTTTCATCAATTTATTCTCCCGAAACTGTGATACGGCATCAGATGCAGATGCCTGTGTAGGGAATTAGTAGTGGACAGGTACACGATGTCCTCAGGAGCGCTAAACAGTGCCCTTAAAGGCCGAAGCATCTGGATGGCTGAGTAATTTGCTCCCATCAGCGTCATATGTATGCCTCGATGAGTTGAACTTCTTATGCCAAAAGTTTTGGTTAGCTTTGTGGTGCCGCTTATTAACTAGGTTTTACCCGTCCTTCTGTATCCTTTTACACAAGAGGGAAATATAGGCTACTGAGAATTGTTGCATCGTGTCTTAAAAATCCAACAATGTACTACGTCATTATGATTCATAACAATCTTATAAAGTGCAAATTACATTTTTAGAACAGCGGAATTAAGACTCTGAACAAAAGCACAAACTGGTACGTAAATTAGTAGAATTGGAATTAGCGATTGCATATGACAAACGAAATGTAACACTCATAAGTCAATGAGACTTCCTCTTCGTCAAAATAATTTGTATGCGGGTACGTCATTAAGTCTCACTTTTACATGGTATTTGAAACATGCGGTGTACGTGGTAGTCTTACAACACGTTCACTTCATGTGATTGAAGGGAACCAATAGGAGATGCCACTTTTAAAAAAAGTGATCGGACACGCGTCTGGGGAGTGTCAGTGTGCTTTCAACTAGAGAATAACTTTTACATCACTTGAACCGACTATTCTATTTTATGAGTGCTTTGTCAATCAAATCAAATTTCATCGATATGGCATTCTTATTCTGCAAGAAATCAGTGTGATTGAGTGGGTTTCCCTGAGGCTGTGACTGTACTACCGTTTATGACAATTCAGATCACTTATTTGATCCGATCATATCCACGCCATGGACCGATATGGGGTCAGGATGGATACAAAACTGTTGTCTTCTTATACGTGGTATTGCCATGACTACCTTCAGTAGTATTATATTCAAGTCCTCTGTAAAGGGACTTTTACTGAAATATCTGTTGATCAAATGGCTTCATCTCGTTCCATACAGATTTTGGTGCACAAACATGATGGTCCATGTGCACTCATCAGTCACGATAAGGAGGCTACTTATTCATGCAAAAGCCCTACCTCTTAGAAAGTGACCTGTTGGCATGCTACCTCCCAGTACTAGCTAATGATCTCTGAGGCTAGACCACAACATCGAACGATTCTTAAACCACATTCCTTTATTTATTATTTCAAAGCATGTTTTAACCTTAGAAAGTAAATGCAGATATGGGGGATTTTGCAACAATTTCAAACTGCACCAAAGTACAAACATTAGCTTCATTTTCATAACCATAGTAGAAAAGTGAAGCAAGTAAATGATAGGTCTTGATCTTTCATGTAAATTGACAAATAATGCCTATTACGGAGTGATTTTGTTTTAAACTGTCAGGCAGTGTTCTGATAAAATTTTGAACATGGGTAGATTATGTACCTTGCTGCTCAATTTGTTTGGTGAAAAAGAGTTTCGGATTGATGATTTGTGTGTTTGATTGCCTAAACTAACCCCGTACATCTTTCACATTTACAGTGTTCCAACTCACAGGGAATTCGTAGACGCTCGAAGATTGTTTTTCGATGAAATAAAAATGAAAGAAATAGCTGATGACTTACAGTCGTTGTACTTTGAGTCTCAAATGGATGCAGAACAATTCGGCTCAGTGTTAGCAGTCTTCGAAAAAAATAAACTTATTTTGGTGACATCAGGCGTACCCGTGGTAATGGACTGCAGGGCGCTATTTTGTGCCGCGTTCGAGTTCATTAAATTGGGCGCTCGCTTAGGTGCCCTGAGATATCAAGAGTGCAAACATCCATCCTCCGCATAATAATAGTGTAAATCAAAACTTTTTGTGGATTTATCATGACTTTAAAGTATAATTCCCTTCAAACAGGCGATTTCACCCTCCCCTTTAATGTCAGTGATGAGTGCTGAAACTCGACTTGATAGCAGTTGCAGAAACTAACGCTCAGATTTTCAAAAATTAAGAGAAATATACTATTTAACAATGAGTAATTCGGAAACTTATTCACAAAAATGATGTTTTTCCCGCGATTCTGTTGAATCAGTAAGTGCGATTCTCAGGTGAGGTCCACCTTGTTGTTACCCAAAATATACCCTAACATTTTGCTAAGATTTTGCTCTCCTAGCAGTAATTTATTTTTGCTTTTTGCTAACCGAAGGAGCTGTTTAGCTCATTGAAAATCGCTGTATTTGCATCAGACAGAGTTTCTTTATTGCTTGTCTCAAGTAGGCATTTTACTCAGTATGAATAAGCAAACTCCTCTCGAGTTTCCTTGTGAATACACCCCTAGAAAATCCATATTACTTCTAGAGTCCCTTCCTCCTTTGAAATAGTCTGAAGGAACCATCTGACGCAGAACTGGTACATGGTGACCTGCCCCGTTGACAGAGGTAACATTGTGTTGGTTTCGCGTACTTATCGCTATCAGTGTGAGAATGTGTCATGTGTGCGAAACCAGTTGACAGGGTGACCCTGTAACTTGATTACGCCTATCGTACTGCGCGGCTGTCTTAAATGATGTTAACTGTCATCAAGTTTATTTTTTAAACTGCTCCAATATTTTCACAGTCTATTTTCTCAGTTTACATTTGCTTGCGTAAATACTTCCGTAAACTTATAACCCGTACTGGTGGATTTACCTACTTAACAGATACTAAATGACCTGTGCAATGTAACTGTGATGATATGCTCTTTCGAAGAGAGGGAGTCAAACAATGGGAATAAATTAAATGCCTTCCGAGGCACGGAGACCGCTAGGTTAGTGTTTCAAGACATGAATCTCAAAAATTTAACTAAAATCCGGTTAAGGTTGTCGTGATTTTTCTAGTTCATGGAGTCATTGTGTTGGAGGCTAAATTAGGAAATATTTATTTTGCTTTATTAAGTAAATTACTGCATTTGCTCCAAAGTAGTGAGTTTAGAAGAATTCCTGACTTCGGAAAACTCTACACGTTGATACTAGAAGACTGATTGGCTCTTTTGTAAAAACAAACCTGTGGATAGTATAGCAATTTCTTACATTTATGACATATTTTCTGTGGCATGTTTCATTGTCAGTATATGGGCTACAATATTATGCATTAAATTCTCTTTTGCCTATGAAGTACTACATTTGGCTCAACTTAGACATTTTAACGTTGCATTTTTATTAAACAAAAAGCAGGTAAAATGACCAAAATAACTTGAGTACATGTAATCTCAACGTTCCAATTTATGATGCGAATGCGTTGCAAAATAATTTCAACGGTAGCGGTTTTTAGAAGCACAGTGTGAGTCTTTCATAAAACATGAACAGTTGCCAAAATATTGCGTTTCATTCTTCCATTACCACACTTAATGCTTCTCCTTAATATAAGATTTGAATTCAGAAGTTTCTCTCAGTAGGCTTAGAACAAATGGAGATAATGCGCTCCCATGAACACATGGCACAAAACACGTCTAACTTGCAGACATCGTGAACTATTCTTTGTACCCTTAAAAACTTCTAAATCTGTATGTCACCCATGTATTCAAAGTGAATTTCGAGTTTCTTACCATGTAGTTGCAACAAGGAGTTTTAAGCTAATGCAGTATAAAGATTGCAGAAGTTTGTCACATGAGCGTAACAGTCTGCACCGAAACCGATGTGATCCGAAACCCCCTTTTTCGAAACGTAATTTAACATAAGAATAACTGCCCATTTAATTACACGGTTCGTTCGTCTTTGTTAGGCGGCATGCCCTCAATCTTTCCGTACGGCAACGATAAACCCCTCTTGCTCTTCATGCTTCCTTACGTCTCTTTGGAATACTCGGTGCACCACATTCAAAAGTGATTATGTACGGTTTTAATAATTTAAGCATTTGGCTTCAGATTTGTGAATTTCTGCAAACCATGCGGAAAGTCTAGTGGGCCGGTACCTTTCAGCCATGAAAATGGTGGAGTCGATTTCAAAACAACGAAGAAGCCTGTACTTTAGATTTTGCCACATGTACTATTTACGTACATGGCGTGATCCCAAAAGCATAGACTAATCATATTTCAAGACAAAACTTTCCCTTTGAGCATTCTCAAGACTCGTGTTTGTGGTTTTGAGTCTTAGATGCTCGCTGACTTATTTCAAATGCAATGTTATCTACATTGGACACCAAATTTCAGGTTTACAGAGATAATTATATTCAAAGATGCTTTCTTCATCCGTTTGTTCAGTACTTATTGAAACCTTAGTCGCTTATCCTGTGACAACGAATGGAAGAGAAATATATCTGTGTGAATCTTACTAGATGTGAAAAGTAATCCAAGAACACTAATTGAATAGACTAAATTCTTGAATAACTTGCATAATTACGTGGACATCAACCAGTTTCACGCTTTGATCAGAGTAAACAGATTGAACAGGCCAAACTTGTTTACTTCCTGCTAATGACTGCCGTGGGTACATTACATACATACACGGAATCACGTGTACTTTCTAGCTGAGGCGATTGGATGCCCAAATTGGATAAATTGAGATGAACGGGAAGGGTATGCAAACGAAACCGCAATCAATGAAGTGTGCTCTTAGCCTTCCCCTAGTCTTGGCCCTCGTTGGATTCGCCTCGGCGTACACCTTCCTTGTGCCAGTTGAAAAATCCTGGAGGAGTAAGCACAATTTCGCAAGCATTTCCTAGTTTGGGTCTTAATTGTTTGCAGGTTAATGATATTTGGATGCTATGATTAAGATCGCAACAGCCGTTGTTGTAATTATGGGGCGTTTTCATTATAGCACCCATTTTACAAAATCGGCACTGCAAGAGCGTCTAACGTTTGCCCACAATTTCCTTGATCTGGCAATAATAGACGATGAGGATTTTGAGTATTTTGAAGAAATAAAGAGAAATAATGGGTTATCAGGTAGTATAATTTCACAAACGAACGCGTCAAATTCAGAAGCATAGTCGATTATCCTGTTTTTTTTCAGTCTATTATTTATGCCTCTTAATAGCTGGAAGACTGTATGTGTATTACGAAGGACGAAGGTATTATTTGACAGATGATCCTACAAAACGTCTCATCGTCTTTCTTGTAAACGACTGCATTGTTACCTTGAATCTCGAAAAGTCTAGACGTGAACGCTATCGTAATGGAGACGCGTAAGTAAACGTGTATAACTTGACATATGACATAATGTTGCTTCAGCATGCTTCACTCATCCGTGACCAACAGTTTTGCAGTCTACAACAGCGATAAATTATTCAAGATTTCCTTGTATAATGCTGCACAAATGTCTGCATGGTTTCATTTTTAAGAGGCTTGGGGGTATTGAATTAATATGTTTAAAACCATATCAAATCTCATGAGCAGATTCCGAAGAAGATCATGGCGCCAGAAAGTTATTAACATGAACTCAGTGGCATTTGTTGCAACGCCGTATTCGTTTCGTCATATCAGCACCAGATGAAACGGTTTAATTGAGCAGCCTCAATTAATTGGACCACTGATAATACATACAGCTTTCCTTTTCGTATTCACACATTATTTCAAACTGATCAATCATCGGTTTAGAAATAATCACAGATGCATTCACGCTTCCGTATGTACGGTGGAGGTCGTGTGGTATCACAAACGCTCCTCATGGTTATCGTTCTAATGTAAACGCAAATGGATTTTCGTGTTCCACTTTATTCATCAAATGCTTGAATCGTTACTTAATTGCTGTCCTTGTAACCCAGAAGACAGTAACTTCCAAGGGCTTTTACTCGAAATCCTGGCAACACACATATCCCCACACTAATCTTTAGGACAAATCAAAGATAGTCAATCATCAGAAAGCATTGTTGCTTCCTACTTGCATTTTAAGGCACACAGCATACTGTCATACCACACCATTTCGTCCATTACAAACTTTTTGATTACACAATCGAAGTACTTTTCCAACTACGCTTATTTCACCTCGTATGTTAAGTATTTCCTCTTTTTGCTTTACAGAATATGCAGAAACCAGTTTGAGCAGTATGGAGACGATGCTTGGAAAAGCTACGTTGATGAACGTCTCCGAAAGTATAGTAGATCTTACAAATCATAGGCTCTCCACCTGTTACTCCATTTATTCACTCCTAATTTACTTGGTTTATTTGATTTCTGAGGGTTAAATTGTAATGAGTCTACTTGACAATAAAGGAACAATATCCATTTTATCGAATGCACCTGCCGGTCAGTTCTATTATTCCAAGACGATTGCCTTGGAGTTTGTGATGTCTGCGACTCCTTGGAAATATTAATAGTATGGAAGGGAGCGTTGTTTAGCGGTCCTTAAGCGCCTTTTACCAATATCCAAGCAATAAATTTAATGTTAAATTGCCTCAGATGACGATATAGATTTTGCTTAGCAGCTGAGTCGTTTAGATAAGTACCAGTGACAACTGCCTAATCTTCATATTACTGCAGGCAGCTAGCTTCACTACGAAGTGGATTTCACTAATTGTGACTTCAATTTATTGTGGTTAAAAGCATTGAGAACTGTTTCAATCAATGTGCACTACTTTTTTACTCTAATCGAAACCTATTTTGTTTTACTCGCATAGATTAAGTGCATGTCTTCCCAGTGACGGAGTAGGTGTTAACTTTTAGAATGCTTAATGAGGGTTTGGGTCTTATCAATACCAACGGGAAATACGAAAGCAATAATAGTCCTTCATGTCTTGTGCTTTACAGTGCAATATTTTAGCCTGCTTTAAAGTAAAACATCACGAATGCCTCTAAAATGTCGCCAGAGGAGATATCGTGTAGTTACTTCTTTTTAACATTAGCAAAATTTTAGCATATTCATATCCACTACTATCTACAAACTTAGAATAAGATATTGTAACAATCCTCAAACTTTCAAATGTTACGATGCAAAAAACTGAAGCTCCTGCTACTTCAGTTGGTATTTTGATGCTGAAATTTATTGTATTTTTAACTTTATGTTATTTTTCTTGTACAATATCGAAAGGCTAGGTTTTACCAAATGAGAACCCAGTTTACTTAATGTCGGTCTGTGGCACACAACAAAGAAAATGCTATTGTGTGAATTGAGTTGTAGCTTTGAGAAGAATAAGAAGGGCCTAATTTTACCTATTAATTTCAGTTTTACCATAAATTTATCATCATAGACCAATATTTCAATCAGACAAAGAGAAGGAGGTGAACAATGCATAGTAGGAACCATGATTTTGTGACATGGCAACTTGGAGATGATAACTGCCTCTTCCCAGGCCTCACCTCCCACACACTTGTCACAGTCTGAGTACTCCATCTACGTCAGAACTTTGAAGACTACCTGGGGGAACCATCCAGTGGACGGGACCATTCATATAGGTTTACTACCATTGCTTTCGCTCTAATTGTTCTTTTGCCTCATTTTTCTCGTTTCTCCCGAACAAGAGCTAACAATGTTGGTAATAGTGCGACGCTCCTTTTATTTGCCTACTTTCATTTACAGAATGTTAGTAAAAAATTAAATTAAGCCATTTGCTTCGGTGAACGCCAATCGCTTCTATTAAGCAGCACGCAACATTTTCATTCCACGACGCTAATTACCGAATAGCAAAGGAAAATTTGATGGTAAACTCTCATGGAGTTATTAAATGTGGGATGAGCATATAAAACGGAGTTTTCAAGCTTTTCTAGAGTACGGCAAACTTTGCTAACTAGTTGCGTTATTTACCGTCATACTACATTTTTGTGCAACATAATTTATCACCATCATCACTTTCTCAAAAGGTAAACCTATTCCAATGAGTAATAGTTGCCGGCTAGTTTCTGATTTAAAGGTTATATATTTAGAGTAGCAGGTACGTATTTGCAAGGATTATTTAACTTTTCCAACCTATCGCTCTACACTGACCCCACGTCTCGAAATAACGGCAACATAGAGCTGTGCTGATCAAAATCAGTAAAGGGCGGGACCCCCATACGGCACACAGAGATATGGAATGGGCCCTAGTATACAGACCAATCGCTGTCGAAATCAACTTGCTGATCTCCTCTTTGCCCCATCACATTACACCATCTCAGTCTCTGCCGAGCATATGCCCATCAGAAAGGCCTTGATTTCTTCTTCTTATTCTGCCTAAGTGGAGGTCTAGGATATGTTGCGTGATCGTTAAACATTTCAAAGAATGCTTACTAACTCACTCGCTAGTACTAGCGGATATTATGACAACATACACTACATCTGTCTACAGAGTCAGCGCCAGCATTTTCAGTCCAATATATTTGGACTGAAATTCTCAAATTAAGTACAAATTTTACCACTTGTTGCACAATTTGCATTTATTGTCACTTCAGATATCAAAAGCAGCTGAATCAGGATTTGGATGTATCAATACGTAGGTTTCATACCCCTCCTCCATCACCTTAGGGCTTTACCAATTGGTTTCTTTGGAAGATTTAATGTCTGCTCTTTCAACATCTACTCATCCATCGAATACGTTCAAAGAGTTAGCAGATCAACCTGGCACAGTATATTAACGCCCCGACTGATGGGTGTGTGACATGACTACCGTCTGTTAACTAATGGCTTGCTTTCATTGTAGCATAAAATAATCAGAGCAACTTATATTTGGCTAGATGTCTAGCTTACCGAAACTATAGTATTGTGTTACCATTCGGTCTTACCAGCGTTCTTATTTCGAAGTTATGGTGGCGGTACAATATTCGGTGAGGAGTTTGCGACTTTAAACTTTGATGGGATGTGTTTTTAAGTTCAAAAAAATTAACATTCAATTATTCCTTACATAGCAGATCTAGCTTCCCCATAGGCGAGTGGACAAAGCGACAAAAAGTCACAAATATAGGTGACCAGTTATGCAGCATTAGACAGCTCTATTTAAATGCACTTATCTGCAGTGCATTGTTTACATAATTTCAAGGGGCAATAGACCTATCTGAAATGAACAATTCACTTTGTTTGAATGAAGCGACATGAGAGGGGCAAAAAACGGCAGATGTGAAAAACAGCTGTGTGCCATAATTACGCCCCATGTTGATGCATATAGTGCCACAACAGACAGGATTTGTGAACACGAATTCAACCACATCACCACCGAAATGACCACTATCTGAGCGTTCACACGATTCGATTTGAGGTCCTCATCGGCATACCAGTGTGAATTTGTTTAAGGTGAGGTCGCGAAAGGATGAAGCAAAGGGCACAATTAATCACTGCGTGACGGCGTCTCGGTTCCTTGGAAGGAGTCTGATGGAACGTGTTTGTAACCTACTTGACCACTTTGTAGCCTTTTTCTAGAATTATTTCGACCAAAATTAATTGGTCTGTGCGTGGATAGAAATATTTTACAAACAGAGTATTTCCACCAATACATGCTGCTATGTTATATAAGGATAACCTATTTTGGTTTTGTTTCGAAATTGGTTTAACACATGCATCATGCAGAAGACTAAATTAATTGATACAAAACAGCACTTTGTCAGAATTTGATAAGCTTTATTTAAACAAATTTTGCGTGTCTGTTCTTACATAACAGTTATTTGAGAAGACATAGTTAGGGTGATTTTTCCACCAAAATCTCGAGTCTCATTTAAATTCTACCTTCCTCTGGAAACAGAAATGGATTACACAACCGTGAATTACGAAGTATCATCAGTAAAGTCTGTACATTATCTGATTTCGTAATCTTAACTCTAGGCGTCACTATACGAGACCGTTTAGGTGCCGAGAGACAGATTACCATGTCTGTATAAAAAAGCAAGGAACATCTGGCCTCATTTATGCACTTAATCATGATACATAGGCTATCAGATTTACGTATCTGTGGCACCATATGCCACCCAGAGGTATTAAGACAATCATTGTGAAAAGACAAACAATTGAGCTATACCCCATTGCCAAACCGCATGAATAGGCACCGGACCAGATTTAATCCTAATCCATTTGTCAAATGTAATTGACCTTAGTTCTCATTGGAGAAAATTGACGCCTATAAATGGCTCACGTTTGTCATTAAAATTCCACCAATTTGCCCTAAAGCATCAACTTAAATTTTTTCACTTAAATGAAAAGGTGGCGGTATGCGTTCTTGGAGAATTTTGGAAAGTTGGAGTGACGTATAAGGCGAGAACAGTCACTACCCCTGGGCGCACTGCTACGCCGAGGGATTCCTGCTGTTAGGGTACCTTGATTGCATCCTGTCAAGTATTTGGCCGTTTCGCAACATCCATTTAAACGCGTTGAGTGCAACTGTAAGTCCAACATACTTGAACGTCAGGCAACTTACTGCTTAAGTGATGTAGGAAGGATTTGAATAGATGAACATTGCAGATACTCATGACTAAGCACTTATAAACTCTATGAATTGGCGTCTAGACTAATGTTGGCATTAAAATGCTCAATATATGAATAGATTGCAAAAAATTGCCTGATTTATTGTGAAAAGTAAGCTGTTAATCGTTGGTCGTAACTGTTAGGTCGCTCACTGATGGAATTCAGCATATGAGGAGGGTAAAGATGTACGATGCGGATTGATGGTGTGGAATAAATGCTCAAAGTGGCCATGAACAACCCTCATGACGCCCCGTATATTGAACCCTTTATACCTCTTGACTGCCAAATCCTCTTCGCGGGTCACCAGCTCACGACTTTTACCAACCTAGTCTGTAGCTCCTCCACGTCTCTACTGCTCCGACTTCTGATTACCTACGATCACAAAAACACTACTTATTATGAATGAATATATGCATTAATTAATAGTCGGTTGATCTGAACGTGAAGGGGCCCAAAAAGACAACAACTACTAAGCGATGGCTTTGGTGACTAACTTTGTATTGCAATCGAAAGGCGAAACACCTTTTTCATGGTTTGCTAAATAATGTAAAAGTAAGCAGAAATTGTATTTCTAAACTTTGAGTTTCCGCATTCGCTACACCTAAAAGATGTTTTCGAATTCGTTTTGTAAACTTGGGTTTACTTTGAGAGTAGAAACAATGAAGCATATAAAAACATTGTTAATTTTCTTTCCTCAATGATGCCGAACCCTTCTATCACATCTTACAGGCGTTAATGTGGTCTGCGTATCCATGGTC